ATGTACTATAATCACCTAGTCAGCAAGGAGCCTGTATGGTATTCGGACTACGGCAAGGCACGACGACGCCATGACGGGACGATAGCCTGAGGAGGAGGAGACGAGGTGGGCAGAGAAGAAGAGCGCAGACTCACGTCCGTAGCAAAGCTCAGAGCGAGATCGGTCTGACTCGATTCGAAATGTGTTTGGATCGTGCTCTTCGCTGCGTTGAGCGCTTTGCGAAGGTATGTGACGCTGCTCTCGTGACCGTCGCTGTGGGTCGACGAACGGAGAGCCATGGCATTGATGCTCAGGCGAAGGTGCTCGGCCTGCAGTCGGGCTATACGTGCCGATGCGCCGAGATAAAGCGCATGGGACGATCCTGTCACGTCAGCCTGATACCACGACAGACATCCCACCATCCTTCCCCTCCCAAGTGCCGAGACTCCACACGAAACAACACCCAGAGGTGGGAGGAAGAGACATACCGGACCAGACCCAGAGCTTGCACCAGTCGTCCAACCTGCCGTTCAGATTCGACAACATCGACAACAAAGACTGGTCGTCCAGAGACCCAACTGGCGCTTGCTCCTCTACCCACAAGACGAATGATCGAGCGACACGAGCCAATCGAGCCGTCGCTGCAATATACGCGTCGCCATATAGCGACAAGCTGGCTGGAGTGCCTGGCCGGGGGAGCGGATGAGATAGGCGGGCTTTGAGGAAAGCTTGGTCGTCGATAGACTCGAACTGGGTGGATTGAGGTCGACCGAACCCGAATGAAAGGAAGGAATCGAAGCTGCACCGAGTCAGTCATTCACGTGCGTGTCTCGTATCCGATCAGATATCAACAGGACCTAGGAGAGGGATGTACCTGAACCAAGCCAGCCTGTAACAAACGATGTCAGCCGGCGCCCATCCACAAGATCTATATGTTCCTTCCCAAAGGGTAGTCAGGTCAGAGTAGCCACTTACCACGTTCTCCATTGTCGCCGCACGGCCGCATCCATCTCATCAACCGGAGCCTCGAGCTGTGAGCCGTCCCTCTTGGTAGCAGCCACAGCCTGCCCAACGGCCCGATGTATCCCCAGTCTCCTAGACACACGCGCCGCATGCCCCGTCAAGACCCACGCGTCGGGCCCCTTTCCACCACTCTGTAATCCCCAAGCCGCAAGCAGCAAGATGGCCTGCACGTCTGCCAAGGTATGCTTTTTCCGGAGCAAGGTATGGGCGAGGTGAGATTCGGCTATATCGGCGAGGGCCGCTGGGACATAAGAGTCGATGACGTGCGATGTGGTCGAGTGACGGAGGTAGAACCGCGCGGAGATTGCCAAGATTGCGGAGAAGAGTGACGGATAGCGCTGGACTGAGGTAAATGGGTCGGGAAGGGTGACGTCGACAATGGGCAAAAAGGGGTGGCAGTGATTCATAAAACTAGAGCCTAAACGTCAGCGGCGTGGTCGCTCATGAAGTTGGGAAGGTGGAGAGAGGGGCGCCGGATCACTGACAATGTGTACAATGTTCTAGCCGTGTCAAGGTCGATCACACCCGAGGTGACTGGTTCATCTCGTACACCCCATTGTGGCATGGGGGCAGGGCGCACTGGTTGTTCATCAGGGAGAGGCGAGCTCCGCTTTGATCCTTCCCGGTTCTCCCAGACCGATGGCTTGGCCGAGTCAGCGGCTACCACCCTTCACACAGGAAAACAGGTCAGACAGACTTACCTGGTATACCAGTGCCTGAAAGGGGGGCTCAAATCTATCCCTGGTGGCCGAAGCTAGCCGCTCCTCGGCCTCCTCCTCGTTGTCCTTATGCTCTCTGCGCCCCCCTGCGTCGTATTCTCTTGATGGCGATATTGTCTCGGGTCGGCTGGAATAGGAATGCGGCGAGATCAAGTTGACTTCTGGCGAATTGCCAAACCTCACCTGCCCTAGCCCCTGGGTCGTTGGAGGACCGGACGTGGAGAGCAGAGCAGATGTAGCAGTATTCGTAAAGGCTGTAGCATCGTAGGTCGGCGGCGCGGGCACCGGAAGAGCAGCAGCAGCAGCAGCAGCAGGAGCAAGAGCAGGAGCAGGAGCCGTGACGGGGGCTACCACTGGAGCGGCGAGCGGGGCTATAGACGGAGCTGTAGCAGGAGTCGGGGCCGGAGCTGCGGCCGGAGCAGGCAGAGTATCGGCCCCGCTGGCGCCGGGCTCGTCTAGACCAGCCAACAGGTTGGCGACGCGGCTTTCCAGGTACTCCAATCTAGCTCCAGCCGCCACCCCATCTCCATCCTCAACCACCTTCCCGTTCGTGCTTGTGCTTGAGTTCGGGGCGGCGGACGCTTGTCCCGGTGTGCCGAAATCACATTCTTTGTTGGCCTTGACGCATCTTACGCATGGCTGGCCACCAAAACAGCGTAGCTTTTGTTTGCGACATCGAAAGCATGCCTGCATCGCTCTACGCTCTTGTTGAAGCTGTTGTTCATCTTGTTGCGCAGTGCCGATGGTGACATTCGGAGGGTGAGCGATGTTGCCCGCGTTCCCTTTGCCGAAATCACATTCTTTGTTCGCCTTGACGCATCTTGCGCATGGCCGGCGACCAAGGCAGCGTAGCTTTTGTTTGCGACATCGAAAGCATGCCTGCATCGCTCTACGCTCTTGTGTTCGCGCCCTCTTGCTTCTTGGGGGCTCGCCTCGATCGTCGACACTGTCACCACGCAATCGAGCAAGGTCCGACGCGTCGTCGCCATCTGCCGAGCAAGGACGCGCGGGTGACAACATGCTGATCAACTCTGTACTGATGTGGACATGTGATTGATGAAAACCCAGAACTTCCTGCTCAAGCACAAAGCCGCGCTCAGGCACTTGCACCTCGTGAACGTGAGGCACTGTGCGGGGAAGGTGGGCATTCGGAGATGTGACCGAGTGTTAGGTCTGATGACCTAACTGACTTAAGAAGGCGGGTTCTAAGCAGTCACTATGAACAATGAGTTGAACACAAGAATACCAATGGCTTCTTGAGTTCCTATATACTAAGGAGACTCGCACTGTAGTTACAGTGATCAGTCTTGCTCAGGCCCAACTGAGACTGAGGTCGAGCGCTCAGTTGGATCATGTAGTCACGTGATCCTAGGCGCTTGTTACGAAGTGGTGTTGAAGTCGGCCATGGGGCCGATCAGCTGACCTCAGCTTCGGATTCATCTAGGGCTCAGTTCGGATCGTACCATGACGCCGCCGAAGTGCTTAAATCGAGACTAACCGGCACCACTTTCTTTCCATAGCAAAAACACGGACCCTCCTGCTTCTGAAGAATCTCGAATTCTGGATAGAAAGCTAAAATTGACTCTGCTTGCTTCCAGCCGTGGGGTTTTGAGAAGGTAGTCATTTTTAGAGTATGGATGAGATTTTCAGTAGGGAGCAGTGGGACTAGAATGAGAGACAAATGTCTTTATGTTTCTTTCGATGCTAACTCTACTAACGTACGTAAGCCGTGACCCACCTCTTGAGCCTCAGCGAAAGCCCGATGCTTCGACAACTTCGTACAAGCTGCATCCAAGGTTACTAGCTACTGCTCAGGGAGATCCGAATAGCTCCCCACGCATCTCGAAGCCGATGAACGGGTCCCATCATTGATTCATTAATGTGTACAAGGGCGGCGTATCACGCTGGCGCCTCATGTAGGACAAGGCAGATTATGGCTATCAATCTCATGTGTCCTCGTGTGTATGTAGCGGTTATGGAGTCGCCCAGATTTTGTTTGTTCGCTCTTGACTGCTATCACAGCCACCATCCATGGGGTGCTAATTAGCGCTCTGGCGGAAAAGTACTGCGCCCGAGAAAGTGTATAGCCCCGAACAACAAATATGCAAGTTATACAAATGCTAGCAAATTGACACAACTTAATTATCAAAGATATATAACGCATATCAGCATCATCCCGCCTCCGAGCTCTCCCAAAACGAATAGCACACTTCCGGTGGATTGCTTGTCCGCACCGGATCAAACAGAGCTTATCGAGCGCTCCGCTCTCATAGCAGATCGCGCACTCGCCATTGTGGACGATTTCTTTGATGCACACCACACAGAAAAGATAGAGACAGTGAACAGGTAGTCCATTGGACAACAGTTTATGACCTTCCAGGCCCGATCCCCTGCTACGATCCTAACATCCCTTGCCGCTCTTCCTCTTAGTTCGGGATGTATTGCGATCTTATTTTTAAGTTTGTTGAGGGACATGCTTTTGTTGGCGACGGGATTTAGAAATCGCCGATAAGAGCAAGAAAAGTCCATAGACTTTCAGTGTGGCGATGAAGGTCATCTTTAGGAGGCATATAGTCGCACTGCTTAGTTCCTTGCTGTCACTGCTTGGAGACGGGAATCGTCAACGACGGGAGATCCGAGTTTTCGTGAGTGTCTTGGGGGCTTTCGCTGACGAGCTGCTGGTATGAGGGGACGTTTGTTGGCTGACTAGCATACATAGGTACCCTTGCTTAACGCCTACGGAGGAAGATGACGAGGACAGTGTTTGGGTCTTGTGGACGTGGCAGTGACGCGGGACTATGATTGCCAGAGTCGCTGAATTTTACGTATAATCTTTGATTTTATATAATATATACGGTACATGACTCAAGCGCGGGTCAAGCGATCTTTACTGTGCCAAAACGGGTGTTGACCCGGGTATATAACCTCCTCCTACCATTCCTGTCTCGGGCCTCGTCCCAAGTTAATGAGCCCGGTGACGCTTCTCCAAACTGCTGCCTTGGCGTTGACTTGTACAAATCTGATCCGGATAGTAAGCCTTCCAGACTCCCACCCTACTGCGCCTCGACTACGGCCTAGCAGACCTAGGAGACAATGTCGACACGTTTGCTCACCATGGCTATGAGCTGAGCGAGAGAATCACGAGTGAAGGGAATAGCCGCACAATCAAATGATCCTCGGCCTGGCCTAATGTGATCGCCGCAACAGCAACAGGAACGATGACTATTATATATACATATGTTCGACTTTTGGCAGTATGCTCTATCGGTCCCTACTAATCTACTGGCTCTTTTCGAATCCTTCTGCTAAGACTTTCAGAATGTTGCTCAGCATGCCAATTTCCTCTCGAGAGTCCAGCACGGTAGTCTTGATTTCTGCGTCGCCGCTCAGGCAGCGATGCAGCTCTTTGAACATTAATGTGTAGTAGTCTTCGTATGTCGGCCGGATCGTCTCTTCAGTAAAGTCCCCGTTGGGATGCCTGGAGAGCGTAGTCATGGTGATTGGCAAACCTTTGATATACGGCGAGTCAAAGGCGAGCTTGAGTCGCTGGTACTGAGCCAGGACCTCGACGGTCGCGTCCACAGACAAGACCGCATCCTCGCCAGACTCATACGCAAGAACAAAGCCGTCGTACTGCAGCATAATGGACAAAAAGTTCCCTCGAGCACTTGGCACGGCTGCAATGACATGGCGAGGAAGACCAAACAGCTCCCGCATGAGGCTTAGGTCGTGCGGGGAGATGTGGAACTTGCAAGCCCGAATGTACTGCGCGACCGGCGATTTGTAGTCGAGGCCCGTGTACTCCTCGAATTGGCTCGTGGCGACTTGACGCCTCTTAGCCGAAGCCTCCTCAGGGATATCCGAGAAACGTTGTGAGTAGGTGCCGCTCTGTGAGATAATTCCGTCCTTGACCCTCGATGTAAAGTTGCGGAACCGGACATAGTTGATCTGGGTTGGATCCAGTTTGCCCACGGTCTCCTTAAACCTCAAGAACGCGGTGGCATATCGTCTCATGTAGCCGACAAAGACCAACTTGCCGGAAGCGAGGCGTGCGGCCTCGATATCGTCCGCCTCTCGCAAGGTCTGAGCCATTGGCTTTTCAATAAAGACATGCTTGCCGGCTTTCAGACATTGTACTGCGTGTACGCTGTGGAACTCGTCGGAATGACAGATCAATACCATATCCACGTCGGAGCACGCCGCCAGCATTTCCGGCACGTCTGTGAAGGTGCGCGGAATGTTGAACTTTCGTGCACAGTGCTTCACGGCTTGCTTCGAAATATCCACTATTGCCGTGACCTCGTACATGTGCGAAAGGAAGCCGAGGGTAGGTAGATGTGTGCACATTGCGATCTCCCCCGCACCGATGACAGCGACATTGATAACACGACTCGTGGACATGTTGACGTAGAGGGCTGCCGTTAATATATTCGTACGCGTGAGCAAGCCGTCGAGTTGGGCTCTTTACAAATGACAGAATGACTGATTCCCTTCAGGATCAAAATATATATCAAGCAAGTTCAGGTGGATGAGATTATCAAAGCCCTATAACCCCGCACTGTCGGCCCCGCACTATCGGCCCGATACCGAGATAAGGAATGGAGAATATCGGAGAGATCCCGTCTACCCCTCAGCTGCAGCTTCTAAGGTTATTGCTTCCCGCGGTATCAACCGGTCCGACAGCACCTTTCCTCGCGGACTTGATCTAGTCGAATGGAATACCTAGGCTTTGCTATACACTTAATTATCACTTATACTTACATCAACGACGCGAATCGCCACTTTCGATGTAAACCCTCCTTTTTTATCTGTCGTTCTAGGGCGATAATCTCCCTGCACTCTTGCTCGACATGATGGTTCGTTATAAAAGAGGCGTACTCGAGATGTCCGAGAATACTCAAGCCCCCTCCCCCACTCGTAGTGGGCGAAATTCGGCATCGGGCCGATTCCGCGGCCAGCCGCTAGAACACAACCTCTCCCCTGGCCTTATGTCTTCTCGATAAGGAAGAGGGTTTAGAATCTCTCGTATGTATGTATCTGCCTGCCTCGCCCGTGCAAGTAAACCTTGCTAAAGAACACAAAGCTGAGTATCCACGTGCCAACCTTTCATTAGGAACAGGCACTTGGGGGATCATAGTGAGCTACTTGACTGCCTATTGTGTACCGTACATAACCCCCATCCCTTATATTTAGCTTCTAGTAAATATTTAATCGTTCTGTTTGCTTAACTACGAGTCTAGAAACTATCATCATACCCTTATCGCTAGCCTCATACAGGCTAATAAAGTAAGGAACGCAACCGGTCACGTCAGTCAACATGATTGTCATCGTCGCCCACGCAAGGAGGCTCGAGAAAGGCGTATAATCGTACCATGTACCATATTGGTTCCAGTCGTCTTATTGTCAATTGTGGAAACGATAGAGCACTGAATATACTACGGGATATCGTTTGTATTCAACGCCGCTAGTTACAGGGTTAACTAAAACGAGTGGGATGAGAGGAGGAAACGGATCACACGAGAGAAGGGAATGCTGCTGTAGCCAGAAGCAGATGAGCGTTGATGATTTGATGCATTCACTAGTCCTTGCCTCCGTACAGTATCAACCCTTTTTCAACGTACACCTTAGACTCGCGCGTGCCGAATGATCCTCCTCCACTGATCATTACCACAGCTCTCTCCCTCAATACACCCAGCATGTTCCTCGTCTTATTGTCGGTGTAGACAAGGCTGTTCAAACAGACTCGATGTGGTCCGTCTCGTTCTTGGTCTTGATGAAGTCGCGAGACGGAGACGATGGTTGATGCGCCTTGATGTATGCCGCTTCGCCCGCCGCGATATTCTCGGGAACGGGTGGAATACCGTTCGGTGGAAAGAGCTTCTTGGCTCGCCAGGCCCCATGCCGCATCTTGCCAGAGAACAACGCCTTGCAACTCTCGATGGGCACTGCCTTGGTCTCGGGAACCCAAATGAAGGTGAATACGCTTTTACCAACGTCAGCTCCCACCCCGATGCAGCCACTCTTGATGAAATAGCCAAAACTTACGCGGTCAAGAAACAGAGCACTGAAAAGAAAAAGAATGTTCCGTTTGCGCCGACGACAGAGTCGATCATGTACGGGAAGACCAATGTGAGGATGAACTAATCACGCATGGTCAGCCCGAGACAAGTACTGTTGCAAGAAAGGGGGATGACATACACTAAAGAGCCACTGCAGAGAAGCGGCAAAGGCACCGGTGATGGGCCTGAGTCGGGCTGGGAAGATCTCTGCGGCGACGATCCATCTGATCGATGTTAGCTTAATCGCTTCGCCACAACAAGAAGGTGGCAGGCATACGGTAGACCGTTCCCTCCAAAACTCCAGACTATGTCGTTGTCAGCTGAATGCAACTGGTGGAAACCAGGGAGGAGGATGCGGGGACATACAGATTCCGTAAAGCATCACCATCGCGGTTGCGCCAAGACCGGCGCCGTGGACAGAGGCAGAAGGAGTGCCTAAGGTTGTATCGGCCACCGTTGTAAAGATTGCAATGTACAAGAGTGTCAGGGAGCATGCCGAGGCGGAGATCAGCCAGGGGATTCGACGTCCACTGCGATCCACCTGAGCGTTGGGTCAGTCGGGTCGGGAAGGGGCAAAACTGGCGTTCCGGTCGACTCACGATAAGGGCATAAAAGACAATAGCTGCGGCCGACCGGCAGACTCCATAGATGCCAGTGTATAGCGCCACATCGCTGATGAGGAGCGACTTAAAAAGGGTCGGAGAATAGTAGCTGGCAAATCAGCAACACGTCCTCAGGACTCCTCAACCATGGGAGCATATCTCACTTGATGCAGATGGAGCCGGACCAGTTCTGGAACATAAACATTCCAACAATTATGGCGCTGAGCGGTGGTCAGCACGCGCCAAATATTTTCTGAGCGGGGAACGTACAGCCGGTATCGCATACTCGAAGTCTTCATTTCGGCCGTGGAACCACGCAGTAGAGCCACCCACCCTGTCCGGCCGCCAGATAGCCGTTCTTCCTCCTCCAGCCTGGCCTCGATCCTGCCAACTTCTTCCAGCATATATTGATGGTCGGCAGGGAGTTGGCGAAGATAGCAGAGGTTCTTGATCGCTTGTTCCCTTTTACCCTTTCGCCAGAGCAAAGTAGGCGACTCTCGAAGGATAAGCGTCCCCAAGGCCAAAGCACCTCCCGGGATGAGCTGAATGGCCATGGGAATGCGGAATGTGATCGCCGCGTCGACCCCCATGTGTTGTTGGATCCCGTAGTTGATCCAGAACCCGACCAAAGATCTGTAAGCAATGTGAGCCGCGCGTCACCACCTTTACAAGCTGTGAAGTGTACTGACCCGACCTGGTACGCTACCTGTAGAATAAAGGGGGCGGTAAGCACAGCACATCTTGACAGTAGAGACGTATACATACGTCGAAATACCTGTATCGTTAGCGCATGGCTCTCTTTGTAGCAAGAAGCAATGACTCACCCAGTTAACTGCCCACGGATGGCAGTGGGAGCTACCTCGGCAATGTAGGACGGGATAATACCCGTCAAGGCACCCACGCCAAAGCCAGTCAAGACTCGCCCCGCATACATCATTGGCAAGCTCGAGGTCGTAGCTGTCATAAGGATAGCACCGACCAAAAAGACAGTGCAGGTGACCTGCATTGCCCGGATCCGGCCAAGCGTCTCGCTGGACGGCCAGGCAAAGAGCGATCCAAAGAAACCCGCAGCGAGGTAGACCGAGGTAAGGTTTGACGTGTTAGATATCCTGGCAGAGGCGGTCATGTCCGTGAAGCCGAAATGCTGAAGCGTGTCAGCCTGGAGGGTAGAGGATATTCACCTGTATGCTGTCGATTTACCTCCTGGAAGCTGGCTCGGGCAAGTGTCGTGCCCCAGAATGAGCCATCGTAACCCTGATGACGAGAGCTTAGCTTGTTAACCCATGATACAAAGATCGCCATGAACCCACAAATGTGAGAGCTCCAAACGATGCCACGATTGCAAATGTGTAGATTCGCCAATTATAGACCTCGGCTGCACGCCACACAGTCAGCACTAATACGACATCTCTCAAGCAGATTGGTAAGACTGACGAGGTGTTGGGCGGTCTTCCACTATACCAAATCCCATCTTGATTGATGCTCGAATTGATAGTGCCTGAAGACCCGTTCACAAAGTTGGGGAAATAGTTATTTATGATGGGGTGGGCCTAGTTGCCAAGGTGTCTTCGGCTCCGATTCGGACCGACCGATTGTCGGCCCGCTCAGATAACATCAGCGCAAAGTCGTGGTGCTTCTGGCCGTAAAGATCACAATAACGCCCAGATTCATGTTTAGAGGTGTTCTTCTTCTTCTTCATCACCACCTCACCAAGTCGTATCTCGAAACGCATCTGGCGATCTCGAGTCATTTGGCTTGTCTTCGGTGTTTTCTGTCGAGGGAATGTCTCCTTTTGGCTTTGGCGTCGGGCAGTTACATGAATAACGCGAGACTCACGATTGACCGGGGACGCCCGATGGCGGCTGGATAAAACGATGGCCTTCAGATGGAGGATTGGACGTATGTTTGGTATCAGTAATGTCGTACCTTCATATGGCCATTAGAGAAGTTGGTCAGATTGCCTACATGCATCGGGTAGAGATTGGCAGTCCGTAGACTGGTGTCTTTCTGCCTTATTCATCTTTCCCTTAACCCACCGACAGGAGGAGGAATTTATTCAGCCCGGCGCTAAGCACCTAAAGGGCAACACTTTCTACGCCACAAAGTTTACGCGCATCCCGGGAAGGCTAGACCTAACAGAACTGTATGCACATTGCCCTTCGACATACAGCCATCTAACAGTGTGTATTGCCTTGTTCGGAGTTCTCTCACAAATGGTAGAATGACTGATTCCCTTCGGGATCAAGATATGTATCAAGTAAGTTCAGGTGGATGAGATTATCAAAGTCCGACAGCCCCGTACTATCGGCCCCGCATTATCGGCCCGAGCCGAGATAAGATAAAGAGAATATCGGAGAGATCCCGGTCTACCCCACAGCTATAGCTTCCAAGGTTTGTTGCTTCCCACGGTATTAACCGGTCCGACAGCACCTTTCCTCGCGGACTTGATCTAGTCGAATGGAATACCTAGACTTTGCTATACACCAGACCATCACCTATACTTGCATGAACGATGCGAATCGCCATTTTCGATGTTGGCCACTGGCATTTTCCGCTCTACATTCCCGTCTTGACCGATCCTGGCATCACAGTCGTTGGCATCTGCGATGGCGAGGGGTTTGTGGGTCCCGAAATGGCTCGCCGTCTCGACTGCCCGCTGCTGTCGCGCGACGAATTGCTCGATCTCGACTTTGACTTCGCGATGATCTTCAGCCGGCACTCCGAGATGGCGGCGACCGCCCGAATGGTCATCGACAAAGGACGGCCCTTCCTGATTGAGAAGCCCTGTGGGCTGAACACAGCCGAGGTTGCTACGTTGCGTCAAGCAGCGGATAAGGCTGGCCTCTTTGTCGCCGTCCCGTTCATCCTGCGCGTGAGCGACTTGGCGCGCGAGCTCAGTCAGAGTGGATCGCTGTCGCCTGCTGGCTACCGACATCTGTCGTTTCGCTTCATTGTCGGATCGTCCACTCGATACGAAACAAATGGCTGCAAGTGGATGCTTGCCAAAGCCACGGCTGGCGGTGGATCCGTCCTGAACGTCGGCGTGCACTTTTTCGATCTCCTGGAATCGCTGACCGAAAGTCGAATCGTCTCGGTCACGGCGCAAACGAGGACATTCCGCAAAGACATTGACATCGACGAATTGGCCATGTTTACAGTAACCATGGCGTCTGGCCAGATTGCCCATGTCCATACGGGATACCTGTACCCCGGCACGCCCGATGATCAGCGCGAGTTCGGCTTTTCGGTCTCTCACGACGCTGCACACCTCCAGGGATTTGCTGACCAGATCGTTGTAAAGTCCGCCGACGGCGCGCTGCGGCACACGACTGTCGAGTACAACACCGATCAGTTCTATCCCGTCCTTTTCCGCGACGCGCTCGCGCGTTGCCGCGCAGGCCGGCCGCCGCTTGTCGGTCTGGAGGGGGCGCTGCGCGCATTGTCTGTCGTTGAGGCGGGATATCGTTCAGCCGAGCAGGGTGGCGCTCCTGTTGCGGTACCGCTGGTTTAGGCGAAGCCGTCCTTCGAGACGTCGGTGGGTTGGCGAAGTTGAGAATCAAGTTACTACACCAGAATGTCAGGTTGCGCTTGTAGCTAAGAATGTAGTTTGAAGATAGCTCCAGGCGTCAGACAATGTAGCACGACCGTTATCGCAAGATTGTACTCTGCTTGATCGGCTTGTCAGACTTCAGTTCTTGTTGTGTTACCTATAGACGCAGCCTTGACTCCATCCCCATACGTCAGAGGAACGTAGAATGGTGGACGCCGCTACATCGGGGGAATGCAAAAGGGTACAGGTCGCCTCGAGCGCTTGAAACAAGGGTGCCGCATGCTGTAGTCAAATCCGCGAGCACGGTACCGATGATTGCATAGTATCACAACATTCAATATGTTCCAGTTTTTTCTCTGCGCTCTCTAGAAATCTACCTGGACATATTATTTATGTTCAACGTTCAAAGTTGTGATCAACTTGTTTCTTCATATAGATACCTCGCGATAAATTCAGAGGGCGGCTTGGTTCCTGATCCGCACCAGCTTCATATCACAACACTCTGAATCACAACAAGTTATGAACCGAGCCACTACAAGCTGTATGAAATCATTTTTGGATCTCCAGTCATGTCACTCATCGAGGGGGAAACATCGCAAACCCTTTTTCCTTGCACAATTCTTCCAAATTTTGCGCAATAACTCAGATTTGAATATGGTCAGAGAATACATGACCCAATCTCCTCATTCTTTATTGTACTTACTTTCTTTTTAGACTTCTCACTACCAAAATTCAAGGCTTAGTTGGCCTGGTCCCTCCCGAGGTCTTACATTCCATTGATCAGATAATCGCAAAAACTTCCTCAAACGTATCATGCATGACTGTCCTAGCGTCTGCTCTCTGTCCGCATTTTTGGCGTTCGACGATTGCCCTCACTAATTTCGCCGTCCTGGTAGCATTTCCAACCTTAGTCTCCATACCATCAATGCATTTGATGATCCAGTGCTGTGTATCTTCTTGCTCGGCCTCACAGGCAGCCATCATAAGCGGCCACAACATACTGACTGGCAGCGATTGCCCCTCCTCTAAAGTCATCCGCGACAAGCTCACAATTCTCGCCACTGCAGGTCTGATTTGCGGGATTGCTTGGAGATGTGCATAAGCGACCCGCTGGAGATGTATAAAGCAGGCCTGGAAATTGGCCGTATATGTACGAAGATGATGAAGCACTTTTGTCGCAAGACCAGGTGCCATGTATTGCTGGAGCTCTCCTTGATCTGCAAGATCAATGATTGCAGGTCGTCGTGTCCAGAGCGCATTCAGGTCTCGAATTACTTTTTCCGCAGCAAGCATTACCTCGAGCTCATCTTCTACGCATCCTCTAGAGCGATGCCATTTGTCCAGGCGCGCGATTCGGCCAGAGAAGTTGAGTACTTGGAGGTAGAAGCTGTATGCCTGTTGGTTGAGAGAGTTGAAAAGAATATCTTCAGTCTCCAGTAAATTAGCATTCGTGATGGCGTGCTCTGCATCTCCAGTTGACGGGTCGCTTTGCCGGATAATCTCTAGATCTAGATTATCTGGATTGGTGTACAGATGAAAGCCACTGCCGCCTGCACTCACAACCTTGGCATCTAGTAATTTCAGCCAGATTTGAAGTTGGTTGTATAATGTGGAGCCAAAGCGAGGCTTTTGGCTTAGCAGCGTATGAGCTCGATCCAATAGGTCCACTGAGCTTTTAGGTGCTTTGGATACAATAAGTCCAACGTACGACAGAAAGAATATACTTCCCAAGATGACCTCGTACGAGCTCGGACCGGCATTTTCACCAGATTGGCCATCGAATAACTTCTCCAGTTCGCTAACTGCGAGAGCTGAATAGTAATCAGATGATTGCGTAGCTTGAGATGGCTGTCTTGAAGACGATTCTTCAAGTGACAAAGCGGAAAAGGCACATATAGAGAGGCGTAGAGCAAAGTTGGATTTTGAGAGACGGAGGAGTGCATTCCGAGACTTGTGCCATCGCGGTTCGACCCCTATCAGAATGGGTGGCACCGCGAAGTCGACAAAGTGTCTGAGAAGGGTGACTTCTTCTAACGGGCTGAAGTGGGTTTGATCAGAATTTCGGAATGACACAGGGGCAGCTGCGATCATGTTGTCATTTTTTGTGGCTGAAGATGGATCGGATCGTATATTATTCATGGGAAGAGAACTTGAAAACGGCTGTGCAATATTGTAGGAAGGCATCACGTGTTCGTAAGGAGGATAGTGCTGAGCCGAAAAGAAGCTTGAGAGGTTGGGAAGGTTTGTGCACAGGCTCTCTTCACCGAGAAGCTCCAATTCCCAATTTTCCGGGTCTGGGAAAATTTGCTGCAGTTGCTGACCCCTGATTGGGTCCTCGATATCTGTACTGGGCACAATACTCCTGGGCGCGGTTGAATCGTCATCTTGAAGAGGTTCAGCCTCTAAGCTCACGTTTTGGACGCGACCTGTAATGCCCGCATGACTTCGTTGGTTGGGCAAGCTCTGGTCTTGTACTGCTGAAACTCCAATAGTTGATGTTTGAGTTCGTTGCCGTGCGAGAGATGATTTCTGCCGAGGCTTTTCTACCCTGGCGAAAGAATCGCGCGAGGCCGAAGATTCATAGGTACACACAAGCTGTAAGCGATGGCAGTTTCCACATATTGGATGCTCTTCGTTGCATTTAACTTTCCTTTAGAGGAAGTTAGCAATACAACACTAGGTAGTAGGATGTTTGAAAAAGAAAATCGAGGCTTTGAAAAGGGAACGCGACACAACTAACCTCTTCCGACAAGTATAGCAGCCTCGGCGAGATCTTCTCGAACTTCTAGTGGACTTCAGACGTGACTTTGGGCTAGTGGCCATTATGGCGTATTGTCCAGCTGGGGATGAGATCACATTCGGATCACCGTAGGTGGTTGAGTTATGGACTCTTTGATCTAATCGGCTTGCTGGTGAACCATTTGTCAAGGCATCGCTTCCAAAGTCGGCTCCTATTTGGGTAGCCATGAGGCTTGCGACGTTCGGCAGGCAGAGGTAGGGACAGAAATCAACTCATCGATAGCGAAGCGATCGCTATCCCTCAATGCAGCGTGATGAGGAATCTTGGTGCGGGGAAAAGAAGCGAAGCGATCGGAGCAACTCCGATACTTTGGGTTCAGATGGGCGGCGTCGGCTCCAAGCAGCTCATCTATTCGATTGCCTTACATCGCTAAAGCCCCCACAGTTAAGCCATACTCATCCCGGTGTACATCGCAGTGGATTTCATATTCCTTTTGCGCCCCGCATTTTAACCGGTCGGGTTTTGGCATCGCTTCGACGTAGTCGCTCGTCTGAGAGGCCTTGCTCGCCGCAGGGGGTTTCGTCGGCAGGTCGGCAAGCTTTGGAGTTCTCGGATCCAGTGATCCAGTGTTCGGGGTAGCCTTGACAGGGAATGAAATCCACTCTCTTCCGACTTGATATACCCCGATAGACGCTAACCACCCCCCCTTGGAGCACCGTGGTAATGTAAGTTACAGACTCTATTTTGGTAAGTGATCTGAAAAGCCGATGTCGGTGATGGTATCCAATTAGGACTCGCCACTTTCGGAATTTGTTTCTGACAATCAAGTCGCAAGAGTGTGGAAGTATAAGTGATTTGGAAAACTACTTTACCAGTAGCATTATCTCTTATTTCTGACATATGCGGCTTAACAAGCAATCTGGCCTTAACGAAAAAAAAAACCCCTTCCAAAGCCTCATGTCATTCTCAGTTTTCTCAGACTCTCGCCAACCTGAGGTCCACGCGAGCACACTCGTTCTTACAGAACAGAGTCTGCTTTGTGCCTGGTTTGGTGGTACGAAGGAGGGGCATTCGGACACCAGAATATGGATATCCAGACTTGACCTTTCAATTCCCGATGCTGCCTGGACAAAGTCATATCCAGTGGCATCTGAGGAGGGAATCGCGCATTGGAATCCGGTGTTTTTGAAAGACCCAAGCTCTGGGGGAATTCTTTTGTTTTATAAAGTTAGCTCTCCAATCTCATCCTAGTACACAAAAATCATCGAGTCAAACGACAATGGAAACACTTGGAGCGAGCCGCGCGAACTCGTCTCTGGTGACCGTGGTGAGTAGCATTCTCTCCCCAATCCCCATCTACAATTTCTAATTTTCAAAGGTGGTCGAGGCCCTGTGAAAAATAAGCCGGTTGTCCTGTCAGATGGGACGATAATTGCACCAGCATCACTGGAAACCCCAGATGGCAACTGGAACTGCTTTACGGATAGCTCTCATGACCAGGGCAAAACGTGGACTAGATCCGCATTCGCGCAAATTGATAGAGCTACCTGGCCTGGCGAGGGCGCGATTCAACCAAGTTTAATTAACTCTGCGCCTGGGAAGCTAACAATGTTATCGAGAAGCTCTGCTGGCTATGTCGCAAGATCTGACTCGGAAGACAATGGAAAGAATTGGGGAAAGATGTATCTAACCTCACTGTTTAATAACAATAGTGGGTTGGATGCTTTGCGCCAAGAAAATGGGATTTGGCTAGTTGTGCACAATCCAGTCCAACAGAGATGGGTGGGTTTATACCCCGAGCTTAAGTTGCCTTATGCTAATAGCTATTGGGATTGAAAAGGGCCCCCGGACACCTTTGGTGATTTCAAGTTCATCAGACGAGGGAAAAACATGGAGAACCGTCTTAACACTGGAAGCAAAACCACCACCCGCCGGTTTCTCAGAAATTGTGGCACTTGACACTGTATGTATTGGCTGCATCCATGCATTTGATTCAAATCCTGATTTGAGAATTTAGGGAATCGTAAACGACGGAGAGAGTGAATTCAGTTATCCCTCTATCATCAGTGACAGCAAAGGTGGTGTTTATATCAGTTATACATACGAACGACGAGGTATCAAAGTTGTTCATGTAAGAGCTACTCAACTGAGTTAGCTTAATTCAGAAATTGGAAGTTGTTGTAATTTTTTGTCTTACTTAGTTGATGTTCTTTGCTTCTCGCACAGAGTTTTGTTTTTTATTTCTGTTTCTATTATCTGGCAACCTATTACCTGGCAGGGAAGGCTAAGTAATACAATTTCTAGTTGAAGGCAGATATTGCTATGTGACGAATGTATTCATTTACTCAATACTTTCGAAACCTTTGCTGAGGATAACCTCACTTAGGAATCGTTCATGCCTGCCTATCGCTTCATAGTGCGCTACACCCTTCACGACGTGGGTCTTGAATATATAAAACCCCGTTTAAGGAATCGAAATTAAATTCCAGCTTAAAGTATTATCGCTTACCGAAAAAAAAGCCACATCGGTTAATAAACTTAAAGTGCGTCGCTTACTTGTCCCGTTGGCTATATTTATATTGGACGAACCGCCTTGGCCGAGCCGACGAGCTTGTTCGCCAATCCCCGCTTAAAGTAGGTTTTTGGGAGATAAAGAATTTATTTGAGACTTGTATACAAAATATATTTTAAAACATCTCGCAGTTCTCATTCCAATCACGCGAAGCGATTCAAAACTGCAGTCATGGTTTATCCGGACACATTCGAGGGATTTATTGTGGAAAGCCATTCTGAATGGAGTGACTTCAAGAAACGCCCAGTGAGCTTGAATTCCTGCAATTTCCAAACTACACGATTACTCATAGTTGTCTCTTTTAACAGTTCAAACCCAAAACATTCGAAAGCCATGATGTTGACGTTGAAATTGAGGCTTGCGGTGTCTGTGGAAGCGACGTGCACACTCTGACTGGTGGATGGGGACAGGCAAATTTCCCTCTATGCGTTGGGCATGAGGTTGTTGGTACTGTCGTCAATATTGGAAATGAAGTCACGACAGTCAGACTCGGGAGTTGGAGTGGGAGCTCAGGTTTGGGCCTGCTTGAAATGCAAAGTTTGCAAAGCTGGCCAGGAAAACTACTGCCCTCACCAAGTTGGTAAGTTGAGCGTTACGAGCCGTTCTAGAGTGAGGTCTAAATAACTTTTCCAGACACCTACAATGCGAAATATCCAAACAAGGAGGAGGCGCAGGGAGGGTATGCGAGCCACATCCGAGCCCACGAATATTTCGTTTTCAATATCCCAGACAACATCCCCTCTGAGTTAGCAGCTCCAATGATGTGTGCAGGTCTCACTTCCTATAGCCCACTTGTTCGTGCAGGTTGCGGTCCCGGGAAAAAGGTTGCAATTCTCGGAATTGGAGGGCTTGGGCATTTTGGTATACTCTTTGCCGCTGCATTGGGGGCCGAAACCTACGCCATTTCACACAGTCCACACAAGGAAGCGGATGCTAGGAAGCTGGGAGCAAGGGAGTTCATTTGCACCAAGGATTCTGACTGGAGTAAACCATGGCAGTACACGTTTGATTTCATCCTGAACACCGCAGACATGACGAATACGTTCAATCTGAAAGATTACATGAGCACCTTGGCCATAAATGGCACCTTCCACCATGTTGGGCTGCCTGACAAACCACTTCCGGAAATGAAGGCACAGGATTTCTGTCCGAATGGTGCAGCTATGTCAGGAAGCCATATTGGAAATAGAGAAGAAGCAGTCGACATGTTGCAGCTTGCAAGCGAGCAAAACATCAAGAGCTGGGTGGAAACAATTGATATTGGGGAAATAGGCTGTAAAGAAGCAGTTCAAAGAGTGAAGAGGAATGATGTCAAGTACAGATTCACCCTGGTGAACTACAAGGAGGCATTTAGGGTGTAGGTAATAAATTCAAGGAGTTCCGATCAACTTTTTATGAATAATTTTGAGTATAATCACCAACTATCTCCCGAAATAATTCCTGATTAGGCGACGGGAGCCTTCGAATAGGAAGGTTGCTCTCTATGTTGTACGCCGATAGGCGAGTAAAGCGAGACCCCACCATCAATTCTACCCCACGCTACCGTCTTAATCAAGTTGCAGAGCCAGAGATCAACATTTGACTTAAATTCTCCGTATCCCTTGTATTTCAGTCAACTCGAAATCCCAAAGGGAATCATATTTTTAGTCCTACTTTCATTAGCAAATCTTTTTCGCCATGAGTGCATCTATTGATGCTGCCGATCTATTCAACGTCAATGGTCTGGTCGCCGTCATAACTGGTGGCGGAAGTGGTCTGTGTATCGTTCATCATCTAGCGGAGCAAACACAGTGGGACTGATTAGCCATAGGAATTGGACTCGTGATGGCAAAGGCACTAGAAGCCAACGGAGCATCAAAGGTATACATTATCGGGCGGCGTCTAGTCGCTCTTGAACACGCATCAAAGCAGTCGGTGAGTACACATCATCAATGTCATGGCGTGTTGGAGACGGACTAATATTGTATAGAAATTTGGCAACATTATACCAATCCAAGGGGATGTAACATCGAAAGATGACCTACAACGCATCGTCGCGCAAGTGGATGCCGAAGAAGGTCACATTGACCTTCTCATTGCAAATGCCGGAGTCAGCGGCCCTGATCTCAAAGGACTAGCGACATCTCCATCACTCAATGAACTACAAGATAAACTCTGGTCGCCTAGTGTCGAGGCCTTTGCCAGCACCTATACTGTGAACACAGCCGCCACGTTTTTCACGATCGTCGCGTTTCTGCAATTGCTCGATAAAGGAAACAAGAAACGCCACAGGGCAGCACAGCGAAGCCAGGTTTTGGCTACGAGCTCAATTTCTGGATTCAACAGGAACGTTCCAGGCGGATTTGCATACGGTGGGAGTAAAACTGCCACGACGCAGATGATGAAACAATTTGCAACCCTACTGGCGCCGTTTAATATTCGAAGTAATATCATCGCACCAGGAAGTAAGTTTTTGTTCATTTATATGTTAAAAAGGCTATTGACCATGTGAAATAGTATTTCCGTCTGAAATGACAACAGCGAACTTCGCAGACAAATCAGAGGAACCAACCCAGGTTTTTCCAACTTCAGTTATACCTGAGCAGAGAATGGGAGACGAGCAGGACTTGAGTGGTGCAATTTTGTTTTTAGCATCAAGGGCTGGGGCATATTGTAATGGAAATGTGCTCGTGATTGATGGCGGCAGACTCAGCGTCACGCCCGCCTCTTATTAGGAATGACATGGTTTGTTGGAGGTCAAAGACTAACCTAGGCGACGTCTTACGGTTCCGTTTGGACATTGCATTTTTCATTTAATTTATTTTCAAATTAGTGCCAAGTTGAGATTCGTTCCAAATGGGTATCCTGTGACAATCACGAGGAGCCAATACTCAGAGGTACTCGTGATTCATTTCGGCTCGCATCTCTGTTTTAGAAATTTAGTGGAACTAGACTAGATGATCTATTAACGTTGACCTGATTAGTTAAGGAGTTCCATTCGAAGGCCGCATCGGGTAATAAAAATAATAGTTCTCGCTTTCGTCGCTTTCGTCGCTTTCGTCGGCTAGACCACTATGCGGGCCCACTAATGACATGAGCCACGACCCGAGCCGACGAGCCAGGTTGATCACAGAGGTGAGCTCAAATTCATTCCAGGAAAGAGATGCCTTATTATTCACAATTAAAGGAACAGATGAGTGTCAATGATTTCATTTCGAGATGCAAGAGTGCATCACCAGGGGTGCATGCGATGACTCAATGACCTGTCACGCCTTTACAATAGGTGCTCGATGAGAATACCCCAGCCATCAGTCGGGAAACCAGGCAGCCGATAAGCGACATTCATCCGGGAAAGTTCAAGCTTGCCGAAGAGCCTCGAAAGACTTGTTCCTCAAATATAGTCCGAGGCTCTTTTCTTCTTCTTTGCAGCTCAAGTTTCTCTCATTTACTATTGAGATAGCTCCGTTTCCAAAACCAGGCAGCAGTGCTTTGATTTCACCATGGAGTCAACGACCCAAGAACCCACCGTGCCCAAAGGCATCTATTGTCCCACCATAACATTCTTCACGAATGATTCCTCACAAGATCTCGATCTGGAAGCTCAAGCAAAACATACCAAATACCTCATCGAAGCTGGTGTCCATGGTATAACGGTTCTAGGAACCACTGGCGAGGCGCCTATGCTGTCACGCAAAGAACGGAATGCTGTCACCAAAGCAGTTGTTTCGGCCAAAACCCAAATGAATGCCGGAACTACAATCGTGGTTGGGTGCTCTGCACAAAGTGTTCGGGAGACGATTGAGATGTGCCAAGAGGCAAAGGCAAATGGAGGACAGTATGCGTTGGTTCTTCCACCGAGTTATTGGGCGGCAGCGAGCACCCCCACTGTGATCGAGAATTTTTATCGTTTGGTAACTTTCACACACTTATAAGCAACTCTTTACGCGCTTAACAGCTAATATCTCCAAGGTCGCAGACCAGTCACCCATACCAATTATCATCTATTCTTTCCCAGCTGTAACACAGGGCGTGAGCATGAATTCTGACTTGATTGCAGTCCTTGCACAGCACTCCGTGAGTAAACCCACTCTACTAAAATTCCCTCACTGCGTACTGTACTGAAAGAAGAACCTAGAACATTGTTGGCGTTAAGTTAACCTGCGGAAACGTTGGTAGCCTCACTCGCCTAACAAACACCTTTACCGCCTCGCAGTTCGCCGTCTTTGGTGGCTCTAGCGACTGGTTAGTTCCGGGTCTGATTGCTGGATCCTGTGGTGCTGTGACTGGCCTCGCCAACACACATCCACGGTCCTGTGTCAAACTATTTGATTTATTTCAGAACGGGAGTTACCAAGACGCCAGAAGGTTGCAAGGTATTATCAGCAGCGCTGAGTGGGGCATGGGAAACACTGGGATGAATGGCACGAAATATGCCACGGAGTGGTTTGGTGGGCATGAGGAGAAAGTACTGCCGAGAGCGCCACTGATGGAATGCTCTGAAAAGGTGAAGGTTTGGATTCGGGATGTCATGACGGACCTGGCGGTTTATGAGAGTCAACTCTTTGTTGAGCGATCCGATGGGCGCATGGTAATATAATGATAGATATAAACAGATTGAAGGGATCAAAAGGTTTCAGCGCCCCGTTCTCATTTGCAGGGAATCTTTTCCAGAATTTAGAATACAATCCTTTGTCTACTTTTGAAAAAGCTAGCTTAATTCGTTGAGAAACATTACAGGCTGGTAGAAACTACGGGAAATAGAGAAATGAAGGTTTTCTTCTGAACTATAGGAATTTCCTTTTCCTTGTGAAGGATCCGTTCTATTACTATTCATTCCGGCCATGGCTTCGAATCCAGCTCCCAGGTCCAACAAGCTTCCAGGAAGTGCAAAATTCCTTCAAAACCCGCTATACCTGCGTGATTGCACCACCTGCCCTATTCATTGCAACACGAAGTTTCGGGTCAAGCAGCGATGTCGCGAGATCTTACCTCAATTTCAAGGCCTAATTACGCTTTTTAGAGATAGCTTCTCATACCTCCCTAGACTACTTATAAGAGGTAGCCTATACCTATACTACTAGATGAGATTCGTGAAGGATCGCATAGATTTCTATTAGTTAGGAATACTAGAAGCTAAATACTATTAAGTACGGAGTACGAGTGTCTACAATACCTATAAGTACTAAATCGGGGCCTTAGTATGTCCGTACGGACATACATAAAGACCAATGATACTAATTTACATATAGTAAAGGGCCTCTGGGATCACAAAGGCACTGATGATATTGATATTGATGGGTTAAGGATGGTTGTTGAGAGAGAATACCTAACTGGTTAGGGAAGTGGGTTCTCTTGATGGGAATCCCCACTATACTGCCATTGTCACACCGGTTTGAGATTCAACCTGGGCTTTTTTCTGGCGTACCATTTCTTTCTGAACACCTCGAGCGTATTTAACTCCAAATCCATGGTTGAAGACCTCCCTGATATCTTCCAGCGTCATGCCCTTAACCTCAGGGTACCAGAAATAAACGGCACTGCATAATTTGAAGCCTGCATTAGTTTGGGCTCGAAATAAAGTTATGAATTCAGGCTCACATCCAGCCGATAAAGCATAAAACGGCATAAAATCCAAATGTGCCCGAGGGTGTCGTGTTTTCCATCTGAGTTAGAAACGTAGAAGCAACAACGATATTGGCCCCCAGCAGGTGCAAGTCATCTTAGCACAATTATACGTATTAGTAAACAGAAAAGGTCATTCGGGGCGGCGTAATAACGCACCATCATAGTTCCCAGGGCTCGATTTTCAGTAGGAAAGAATTCACTCGAAACCCAAGCCAAGTTTCCAATCCCCAGAGAATAAAAGACAACGAAAATGATCATTGAAGCCAGTAGCAGGTAAGCAGGCCATCCAATATCATTAGTTTCCAAGGCGAGGTTGTGGCTGACCGGGATCCAGTGGAAACCAATTGCTGCAACGGCAAGAAACACAGCCTGCTTTCTGTTAGTGCTGAAAATGTGAAGGAAGATGAAGATCAACGTACCATGCCCCACATTGTGGACAGAAGAATAAGTCGCCTTCCAAATTGATCAATCACCAGGAAATACACAAAGGTGCAACCAAAGCCCGTCCCGGCAATGATGGTCCCCACTTCAATAGGATTCTGGAACCCTATAATCCCAAACAATGTAGAGGAATAGTACATTAGCGTATTATAGCCTGTAAACTGTTGCATGCCCATCAATCCACACGCTGCCACTAGGGCGCGCAGATTGGACGGGACGACGTAGAGTTGCTTCAGCTGCTTCCAGAATCCGCCCTCCCCGTTCAACACTTTTGATTCCTCGACGTGGAGTGCCATATGCTGAATCTTCTGCTGGACCTGCAGGTCTGTTCCGTTGGGGAAAATCTTCGCCACCACCCGCGCTGCCTCCTCGGACTTGCCGTGATACATCAACTGTCGGGGCGACTCTGGGCAGAAGTAAAGGCAAATTGCCAAAATTATGGCCGGCGCAGCTCCCAAGCCAACCATGTATCGCCAGCCATGGGAAACTTTGGCCAACCCTGCGCCAACGCCGTAGGCCACTAACTGTCCGCCGGTGATAGACATGTTATCGAGGCCGATCATGCGACCACGGTATTTCGCAGGGGACACTTCGACGATGTACAACTGTGGAATTTTCAGTTCAAAGACACGGGATGAGGAGGATATATATCGTGGGGCGTAAACTAACGGGAATAATCATGGCTGCTGAACCAACTCCAATGCCAATGACAAACCGCCCTACCGCCATCTGCGCCAGGCTAAATGCACATGCCTGTAGAACTGCTCCGATAACGAACACAATGCAACCTAGAAAGATTGCTAATTTCCTGCCATACTTATCGGCTGAACAGCCCGCGGCGAGTGCGCCGAGAAAAGCTCCGCCTGAGGTTAAGGAGGTGATGAGTTCTTTCTCGCTGGAGTTAAGCGCGTGACCGAGATCCTCATTGAGGACCACGAGGACAGCAGAGATAATACCAGTGTCGTAGCCTGTTCGTATTGGTAAGGGAATTAATTTATTTGCATTATTTCTGGAAAGGTGTGAGTGGACTTGCCAAACAAAAAACCACCCACGCTCACTGCGATGGAAACTAGCCAGATATAGTAACCAGTCTTGGTCTGTTCGATAGAGTCCAGCGATAGCATCTGAATTCCCCCTTTGATGTATCCTCAACATGCATGATGTCAGTTTTGGTCTTCCCCTCCTCTATAGAGGTTGAATCAAGATTGGGGCTCATTGGGTCGAGCATGATTACGAAGGGTACCCTTGGTATCAGAAGGGAAATGAAGAAACAGAAATAGTCGCGAATTTGGAGGAGTATTCATATTGGAATGGGAATATATATTCTTCAAGTATGTCTTCGATATACGAGTCATAATTATACTCCAAGGCATTTGCCATGAGAAGTACCATACTAAAGTTCCGTATAAAGCCACCTAGGTAGCTAACCAATCGTCAGGTGAGGATTGACATTCCCCAGAGGTTGGGGTTTGAGGCGGAAGGTAAATTGTGGGGTAAAGTCGGGGAAAATTGCCTCTGTTGCCGAAGCAGGTAGATATCCCCGGATTCCCCGCTCACTTATTCCCCCCGCTGTCGGGTCAAAGATGGCCGTATATTTTATCAATGGCAGAAATCCCCGATTGCAATGCATAACCCATCTACTTTTCACACTTTCATTCATTGACGGTCTCGGCCCTTCTTGACACATTCTATCGGGTGTCGGTGCCTTTTTGCTTAACTGAGAGATGCCCACGCTCAGCGTGGCTCCATGGTGAGGCATTTTAATACCGGCTACATCTTTTGTATCGACTCTTTCAAAGATCTTGATCGCTAACTAGCTTTTCTCTGAACAGCCAAACTTGTCGAAGTATGCATTTCCCCGCATCTATTTGACATTACCCTGTTGCTAACCCCGATTCTGCAGAGCGGCATTTGAAATGTATGTAACCAAGACCTCAAATCACACAAATTCATTCGGAATTTAATCCCATACAAATACCGGTCCAACATATCACTCACCCGCAAGCATAGGTGATGGAGCAAAGCCCGTTTGCTCCCGTTGCCGCCGCCTGAACAAAAGTTGCGCGTTTCCAGGGCCCGTGATCCGCAATGGACTCAGCGGCCGACGGGCACTCAAGTTCGCCTATGATCAGCCTTGGCTAAGTATCTCGAGAACCAGTGCGTTGATCCTCCTCACTGGCCTTGGAAAGTCAGGTCCTAATTCGTAACGTCAGGGTTGCATTTCATCAACGAATCCTCGGATTTAGCACGTTACTATGGTCACTTTACACCACCTACTGATGTGCAATCCTCTCCTCCCTATTTCGATGATGATTGCTCACTGGCCTCTTCGCCATGCAACGTCAATTCAATGCCAATAGTAACGACTCATGATTATCGCCAAATATTATCATCACCGGTGTCAGAAACAATAAATACTGGGACAGAATTACATAGTAAGCAAGACGATAGCGAAGCCTCTAAGCCATGGTATTCCCCACAACGGACAGCGTCACTTCGGGGGCATCTGATCACGCGCCCTGTGACCATTGAGAGCTCTGGAATATCTGCTCTCTTGGATCATAAAGTTTCGAATAACCCACATCTGGCATCCCCAGATTTCACAACCTTCTGGTCCAACAGTGATGTCCAAGAGGCTTACTTGATGCGTTACTTTGTCGAAGAACTTGCACAATGGGTAAGGTTCCAAGGGTTGCTTAGCACTCCCAATGGCCTTGCTATTACTCATCCACAGAAACTGACCATTATTTTCCACAGTTTGATTCCTGCGATATCGCCAAGCATTTTGCTCTTGTAGCCCCTTGCCGTGCAGCCAGTTGCCCAGCACTTCTCTATGCAATATTTTCCGCATCTGCGAGACATCTTAGTCAGTGCCAAAATGCCAACAAGAACAAAAATACCGCAAAGCGAAAGGACAGACCTGTTATTGCAGCCGAAGTCGCATTAGAATATCAAAGTTTGTGTATTTCCCATTTGATGTCACTATCGGGAGACACAAGGGAAGTTCAAGACGAAAATTTGTTGGCAGCTGCTGTGATACTTCGATTTTACGAGGAACTGGATGGTAAGTAATGATATAATTTCCCCTTTTTTGTGTGTGCCCATCAAGTAATCAACATACAGCACCGCTCAATGGAGTGGATGATGAGACATACTTACGCGGCACACAAGTGTTTCTTGAAGCTCAATCCGAGATGGCGGTCAAAGGCCATGGCATCCAAACCGCTGCTTTATGGGTGGGATTCCGCCAGGAATTTCATACCGCGTTCATAAAACAGCGAGCCTTCCGTTTCGACCTGACGTGCTATGATAATTCACCATACCGAACACTCGAAACGGCAGATGACTTCACATGGGCCAACCGAGTGATTCTGCATTGTGCAGAGACTCTGGTGTATTGCTATGGTGATGAAAGTCACGATCCGGATCGATATGACCAGCTTTGGGAATATAACCAAAACTGGTACGCTTGTAAACCGCAGACCTTTAACCCTATCTATTTCAAAGAACCCAACCCATCAAAAAAGGAGATCTTTCCTCAAATATGGTACCTGGGTGATTGTCAGGGTATGATTATTGATGCCAATATTAGACCACGAAGGATTGTCATTGACGCTGCTCTGATCAACAATTTAGTGACTGCAATCCAGCACTGGCACCTTGCGCGAATTCTCCTTATTGCCTTTGATCCAAAGGCGCCTCGGATAGGTCCCAACCAGAAACGTGCAGCCGCCAATAGTGAGGTGAGAGATACGGCTCAAATAGTAAAAGAAGAATACTCACCAAAAGCTCAGGCTGAAATAAAGACTAACGTATTCCGTCTCTGTGGTATCGCATGGTCCAATGAGACAGCCCCGGGGTTAATCACTGCATGTATGGGTATTTCGATGTGTAAGGATCCTACAAAGTTTGGAATATACAGAGAATGTTTTCGCTGATTCTTAATGGCAGGCGGAGATAGATTTACAGATAGACTGGAACAAGAAGCTTTGCTGGATATCTTGATCAAAACGGAGGAAATACATGCCCTTTCCACGGGAAAGGCACAAAGAGAGCTTAGAGAAAGTTGGGATTAAGCCAAATGACTATATTATATTAACCCATATACATATTTCTACCAAGTAGAAAACACACTGTTGGCAGAATATATATCTAGATCATTAAAAAATTCGGATGAAAGCTGGACCTCAGGTGCATTTCCGTTTTAAGTGCAACAAAAATAGACCGTTCTGACCGCAATTAAATCGTATAGACATGAAAATTAGTTCACGATCAGCGATGTCCTGCCGGGCGTGGGATGCCGGTGGAATGCCACCAGTGGGCCAAAACTCGAATGATTAGTTATAGCTACCCAGAACCAATTTATCAGCCTATTATGCTGTCATTAGTTGGTCACATTATTCTTCAGATTATATAAATACCACAGTAACCACGCTGGTCTTATAACACTAGAGCCCTTTCCCCAAAACCAAATTTGTCTTTATCTCATAGTCTAGCGCACCACCTGAGAGCACGAAGGAAACCTCGGCTATCTCATCATGAAGGAAGCGATTGTTAGGAAGGACACATCAGTCGACATTGTCGATTCCCCCATCCCAAAGCCGGGGCCTGGCTATGTGTTGATCAAGGTTATCGTCGCCGGTAGGTACTAGATCTTAGAGCACCTGCATGGGACGGCGTATACGCGTCACGGTCCCAATTCTTTTTGATCGGCAGCTAACGCGGTTTTCTGAAAGGTTCCAACCCGAAGGATTGGAAGATCCCTATCGTGCTCGGTTATGATATGAATACCGGTGACGATATCGCTGGTACCGTGGAAGCCGTGGGAGATGATGTCGTCGGATTCAACAAAGGGGACCGCGTGGCCGCGTTCCACGAGATGAGGACCTCACAGGGGGCCTTCGCCGAGTACGCCATTGCACCCTACTACACTACATTCCACATTCCCGACTCAACAACCTTCGAGGAAGCTGCCACGATTCCTCTGGCCGCCTACACATCCGTCTGCGCACTCTTTTAGGAGCTCGAGTTACCAGAGCCCTGGTCGCCACTCTCTAAGGCCGCTAGTAAGGAGGGTACTAAGCGTCCTCTTATTATCTATAGAGCTAGTACTGCCATAGGAGCTTTCGGTATCAAGCTTGCAGCGGTCGCTAATATTCATCCTATTATTGCCGTTGGCAGTAAGCGAAGCGAATTTATCAAGCCCTTCCTTGATGAAAGCAAGGGAGATGTCCTCGTTGACTATACCGCTTATAGTACTAAGGAGGAGTTGATCAAAGCGATCCAGGAGGCTGTCAAGAAGGGAGGTGCTCCCGACGGCCGCTGCTGGAAGGCTTTTGATAGCGTTTCCGAAGATGATACGATCAGGCTCGTCATTAAGGTCATTGCTAGCCCGCCGGACGCTACTGGTCGGAGGCCAAAGGTGACTAACATCCTTCTCAAAACCGAGGTCGAGGACTCTGACCCGAGCGTTAATATCGTCTTCTCTCTAGTCGGTCACGTTCACTACGAGGATGAGAATAACAAGCTCATTAGCGTGGTATGGGGCGCAGCATTTGCCCGGGGTCTGCGTGAGGGTTGGCTCACAAGCCATCCTTACACTATAGGGGAAAACGGTCTCGAGGGATTGTCTGAAGGCCTAAAGGGCCTTAAAGACGGAAAGATTCGCGCGCAGAAGTTCTTGACGCGCCCCAGCGAGACACCGGGTGCAAGCGATTGAGCCAAGCAAAGCGAGCCAACAACGCCAGCCGGGCCGGAGACGTGGTAGAGTTACATCTTAGGGATAGGCTTGGAAATGACAATGTTGTATTAGACGAAAAGTGGAAAGTGTTTCATATGTATGTCGTATTCTCGTTCTATTCCGATATCAATTAGATCAGTTTGCTTTGGAGCTAGGTTCGTACTTTCAGCAGCAGCGGTAGTTGTAGGGATGAGCATTTGAGATGGGAGATGAAAGTGGACTGGATGACATGTAGATCCACATGTAGAGCTGTCCGAGCTTTCTTCCGTCGTTCAAGCCGCTGATTCTCCTCAGCATAAAGTTGTTCACGAAGACTATCGGGAATGTCGTCATGTGTTTCGAGGATGATATTTGACACACGTGACCACCTCTGTGCCTTGCTTATCGATAAGAGTGCCAAGCCATCAGCAACCCAAAACTTTTCCGTTCATTCGATATTTTTACCCCGAGCCATTCTGCCGATCATTCACAACAAAATGTTGAGAGAAGTGTAAGTTATGGTAATTCATCGAGGTTTTCATCTCAGGCTAATGTTCTACCCCACAGAAAAGCCAAGAACCCGCGCACTGCGCGTATCCTGAAAGCGCGGGAGCCGCAACTCGTCGAACCCCCCAAGAAGACCCTGATTTTCCACGGCGCAAAATGCCCCCAAACGCTGGACACCGTGCTGAAGACCTTCCACGCTTTGACCAAGCCTCACAACATTCTTTTCCACAAGAAGAATGAGAACTTGCACCCATATGAGAACTCGGAGAGCCTGGAATTCCTGGCGAACAAGAACGAGTGTGGACTCGTAGCATTCGGAAGCCACAACAAGAAGCGACCCAACTGTGTTTCATTGGCTCGGGTTTACAACTCAGAGTTGCTCGATCTCGTCGAGCTAATGCTGCTTCCCCCGAGAGATGGCGAGACCATCCCGCCCATCAACGAACTTGTCATGGACGTCGGTCTTGGCTTGCGCCCTATGATGCTGTTCTCCGGTTCCCCTTGGGACGATCCTACATCTACTGCGCACACAATCCTCAAGAGCACTCTTCTCGACATGTTCAAGGGTGAAGAGACGACCCAGGTCGATGTTGAGGGTCTGCAGTACGTGATGATGGTTGGTGCTGAGGAGCCCCAGGATGGCCTCTCACCGGTCATCCACATGCGCTGGTACCGAGTCGTCACCAAGCGCAGCGGTCACAAGCTGCCCCGCGTGGAGTTGCAGGAGGTTGGTCCCAAGTTCGACTTCAAGGTCGGTCGCACACGCCAGGCTGCTCCTGAGGTGCAGAAGGAGGCCATGAAGCAGGGCAAGCGTCCCAACGAGGAAGCCCGCACCAAGAAGAACGTCATCATGGACTCCATGGGTGATAAGATCGGTCGTGTTCACCTCGGCAAGCAGGATCTGTCTGACATGCAGACCCGTAAGATGAAGGGTCTCAAGCGTCGGGCGGGTATGGAATCTTCCGACGAGGAGGATGAGCCATCTGCGGAGATGATGGAGGTGGATGAGGTCTCTTCTGATGAGGAGGTGGAGGAGAGCCACAAGAAGGCACGGAAAAACTAAGATCGATCGATTTGCATGATTTCTTTTGCTAAGGAGTTTGGGCCGGACGGGATTTCGTTTTCTGCGCCTGTATGAACAGTCTTACGGCATATGAAAAGTTATTTAAAAAAACTCTACATCTAATAGAGACATTTCCTCCATCCATTATTTTTGCACTAGACTCAACAAGATTCACCCGTATTCCTCGTAGCCAAAGTTTTATATACAGCCACGTGACCATGACGTCGGCTGTATTCTCACATGCCGAGGCCCTTCTCGATGCGGGAACCGATTAAAGTGCCGTCCCCTCTCCCCCAGCATCTCCCACTCCACTGTTATTTTTATTCTATTTCCTCCTCATGATCTGTGACGGTCTCCTGGTCTCTTTTCGTTGTCCATCGCCCTTATAACCACCCTGAAACGAGACCGACCTCTTACCGAGGCCCAGAGACGCCATGGATACACTGCTCGTGAGTTCCGCCGCGCCTCCAACCATACATACACAACAGTATTGACATTTCTCCCTGCAGTCCCAACTCGACACACTCGTCCTCAAACCCGAACTCGCGCCGCTACTGTCATTAGTGAAGGGTGCACGCAATGGAATCGTCTACGGATCGAAAGTCCGCTTTCCGCATGCGCTGGTGTATGTTGGACCTCGGACAGCCGGAAACCCCACTACAAGACACAGCTGACCGATACCGACTGTTTCTAGAATGATATTTCTGTTCAGGTCTGGAACGTATGTCACTCCTCATTCCTGTCCTACCTCTCCGCGGACCGAATCTGATCGTGTCGTTATCTAGAATACGCGAAAAGACCAAGCTCGTTTTGAAAGCAACCCGCCAACATGCGCGGAACCTCTCCACATTCGCGATCATCTACAAGGCCTCGATGATCGTTCTCCGGAATATACCAGGTGGCGCCGGGAAAGAGGGACGATATGATAGTTTCTTTGCAGGCCTGCTGGGCGGGTATGCAGTTTTCGGACGACAGCCGGGCAGTATCAGCCAGCAGGTATGTGTTTTGGACTTTTCCTGATTGCGGAAATGTTCCAAACTTCGCTCCTGAGTACACCCTGCCGTTTCTGCAGAGCTAACCCGAGTCTAGATCGTTATTTATGTCTTCGCGCGTGTGATGCTTGCCCTCGCCAAGCTCGCCGTCCAACCCAACATGCACTCTCTCTCCTCTCTCATCACATCCGATTCCCGCACGAAGATCACGAATAATGCTTACCCCGTTTTTGCCGGTATGACCTGGGCGATGGTCATGTACATTTTCCGCTGGCACCCGGAGACGCTGGCGTCGAGTCTGCGAAGTAGCATGGTGTATATGTATGTCTTATTCGCACCTCCCACTATTTATGATTCTACCTCACTTCCCGTGACTCGCAAATTTGGGGTCCCATCCAATGCTAACATTCATCTCAACCACAGTTATGGCGACTCAGATCATTGGGATTCCCTCCGCACTTTACTTGTACACAACAAATGAGCTCTCAGTGGGACTGAATCTCTTAGCTTTTGTGTGCGTTACGGCGTATAGAGCGGGTTGTTATTTTGTTGGTGTTTTTGTAAGGTGCATCCGAGATATGCATCATTCCAGGCCCTGCTCATCATTACATTTTTACCCTATATTATGACGCATGGGATGTCTTGCATATTCTCGATTACAATATATACTTTTAAAGACCTGACTTTGTGGAGACTTTCGTAATTGGCGATATGATGGACTTGTCAACTCGAACATGACTTGAACTTCCTAGCATAGAATATCTGGCAGTTTTACCCCATCCTTGGAGCACAAATTTTACTCCAGACAGCAGTTAGCTCTCTGTTGTGTGTGACTTTGAAGGTAAATATATTTTGAATATTCGAGATTATCATTAGGAAAGCTGGAATATATATATCAACTGGTTATCTCCCACCGGGGAGACTAGTGATTTCCCCGAAATGGAATCCTTCATGTGTGAAATTGTCATGACTTGTTTTCCTTGTCATCAACCAGATGTACTTGCGTAGTCGGGACCCTGCAAGAATGTAGTAATCGCTGTAGACTGCAATCCAGGGTAAGCCAAAAGCCCACAAGATCACCGACTCTCCCATCGGCCATCGATCAGGATATATATCTCCATCAGAATTGAAATCTGCAGGCCACTTCCCATGACGATTTCGATTTCGCTTGACGATCACATTATGCTTAATGATAAGAAAAACCAAGGCATCGGATAGCCTGTGTTCTGCTGGTGGATGAAGGACAATGCCATTGGCATCCATCATACCTTCCCGCGTCCTTGCAATCGTGAATCCACGATGCGGACCATCTGTTTCACTAGGTAAGGTAATATTTACTAAGAGTATGTTATCCTACTTTAGTCAGTTACCATGGTGAGAGTTACAGAGTTGATATCTTAGGTCTGGGAAGGAGATAGCAGAAATATGGGAGGTGAATGGTACATGAGATGGAAGCAAGAAAAGAGATGAAGCACGCCAAAAGCAAACAAAAGAAGAAAGAAACCAGAAGAATAACTAATCTAAAAATAAGTAACAGAGAAGGCATTGATATGGATGGTGGGTGCGTGCATGTGACCTAACCGCCAGAACATTGTGAAGATAGACCAAACAAACATCAAAAGAAACCAAAAAAAAAAAAAAAAGAATAAGCCCCAAAGGGGCGCCTCTACAACCTGGACGGCCCTGCTGCCGACGGGGTGTGATGGGCGGTCACATCGGCCAATGACTTACAAGCCATCCGACTTCGAAGTGCTTGATCAGAGCTCTTCATAGTCATTCTCCCCTTTAAGTGGATCAAGTTCAAAGGCGAGGGTTGAACCCGAGATCTCCGGTACCTGCACTGTAATTGTTCGCCTGCAGGTCGACAATTACAGCACAGGCCTTAGGCGGTTCCCGCTAGGCTATCTGGGCCGAGGCTTGGAATATTTTGTTTGACTGTGAATTTTATAGGAACATATGCTTCCTAATTGGGACTAGTGCAGCCCACATTAACTTCCGGCTCCACTTATTATGATTCTTAGTGGAACCTTGGAATATCAAGGAAGTTTATGTTGACCGAAGATTTACTTAGTTACATTTACATTTACATCTACATTGTACATGCTGTAGATAAATTCGAAACATTTTTTGAAATTGAGGGTATAATGATACAACTTATCCAACAAGAAAACAACAAACAACAACAGGGATATAGGAGAAGAAAAAAAATAGTCAAAATCACTGCCCATCTCCATCAACCTCAACAATCACTCTCAACTCCCCATCCATCCAATCAACAGCATCAGCAGAAAGCACTGCAATGGCCCAATCTTTCTGGCTCTGCACAGGCAGCAGTCCATCCGGTAACCAGACCTTAACCTTCCACCCATCCACATTAGCAGACTCACGAGCTTGGTGCGGAGTAGCGTTGGTGCCCTGGAATTCTGGCAAACCGGGGATTTGGCCTGGGTATCGACGGAGAATTGCCTGCTTGACCGTGTCGATGTTGGTACACTGGCCTGCCGGCAGGTCGAACCTGGGGAGAATACGTTTTCCATTCTGCAGGATATTGACGCGAAGGGAGGTTTGGCCGTGGCTGTGAGAGGGGGTGGTTGTGTTGGTTGTTGATGCTGATTCCGAGAGAGGGGTGAAGGGTTGGTGGAAGTGAGGGTCGTGTGCTTGGGCAGGTTGGCCACGTCGGGAGGCGATGTTCTCGCGGATAATACGAGATACGTCGCGGGTGATGCTGCTTGCGCTATGGGGTTGTTAGTTGGTGTTCTGTGAATAGATGGAAAGGATGGATGGCTTACAATTCGTCTCGGGCTGGGAGGTTGCGGCCTCCGCCGATGCGCCATTGGAGACCCGAGGTGGTGTCCGCGTGGATGATGCGGTTGATGTTTTGGTCTTCACAACCCGATACGCAGTCGTAGTTTCCGTTGTGGATGACTTGGTAGTGGCTGTCCACTGCGGCGACGAGCCCACGCCAATCGGGTTGCTGGAGACCGGAGAGAGACCATAGATTATCCAGCTCAAAGTTCTCGTTGTAGGTATCATAGTATCGGCCAATTTCTTCCCAATCGACTGTGTATCCGTCTAGCAAGAGGTCGGTCAGACCGAGATCCCCAGGCTGCGACGAATCCATTGCTGATTGTTGGATCGGGGGTGGAGGAGGGGGCATTGCCTGCGACAGATCATCGCGATGGGATGTCTGGGTTTGCATTTGGAGCTGCTGCTCTGGAGAGAAGCGCGGGCTGTTCAAATTGGAGAAATCCTCGGTTTTACGGCGGCGGCGTTCATCACTACCACCTCCTTTGCGGGTCTCGATTGCGTATTGGCGTTGTCTTTCGTTGGTGACCATACGTCTCAGCAAAGGAATGACCAATGAGATGATCTTGTGTTGGTCACGCGGCCAGATGTAGGCTCTCGGGCCCATGCCCTCATTAACGACGTTCTCTCCGAAAAAGCGTTCACCATTTCCCTCGGCTTCGAGGAACTGACGAACACAGTTCCAGAGGCGAAGCTTGACCATTTCCGTATCTCCCTTTCCACGCTGACCAACGCAATCGCGTCTTTCGGGGTGTTCGTCGTTCAGCATGTAATTCTTAGCAGCAGCCTGGAGATGTAAAAAGTTCTCCGGTGAGATCTCGAGGGACGAAAACATCTTTGAGATGGGAGGTCGTGTGTATTTCTTATTGCCGGAGGGTTGACGGAACAGCGCCGCCGCAGAATGAATACCCACAGCACGAGCATCCGACAAGGACTGCTGCTGCTCGGGGCGAATGTCGATGCCTTCTCCGGTATAGCCATGGGGGGTTTGCTGTGCAGAATGCGACTGATGCTGCGCGACCGAGAGACCCGCGCCAGCCAAGGCCGGGTCGAGATTATCGTCATTTCGCTTGCGCTTTTTCGTTGCGGTTCGTGTGAGACCCCCCGAGGATTGGGAATGGCCAGTGTGACTGGGAACTCTCATGTGTCTTCCGCTGCCCATGCCATTTCCGAAGTTCGCGTCGCCGAACCCGTTCTCGGAGAGATCTATGTCTGTGTAGGAATCCAGCTGGTGGTGGTGGCCAGCTGCACCGGCTGCTGCTGCGACGGCAGCGGCGGCGGCCCATTGCGAAACATCTTGGTCTGCGGCGGCTGTGGCTGCCTCGACTAATCCCGCGAGCTGGTTCTCGTTGGGTGCATATCCGTTGTTGCCAAGTTGCGCGTTCGGGTCGAGGTGGGGGGCAGTCGCGGTCTGCTGGGAGGGTAGGTCGGAGGAGGTTGTGGGGAGATGTTGGTTGGTGGAAGAGCTCATGGTGTTGATTGAGAGACACCTGGTTCGATAAGCTGATAGTGTCGGCAAAGTTGGGAGGATTGAGGGAAAAAATGGCGATAGAGAATTTTATGTGACGAGCGCAAATTGACGAGAACACCCAGACCGTGTTCGAGGTCTCGGATTTATGTCCAGAAGAGTACTTCTTCCAAGTTGAAGCTCGAAGCTCTTATCCAGTCGATGTAGAGAACCAAATGAATAGCTTCACCACTGACAATGCTGCTTGGTCAGAACACAGTTGTCCCAGTGCGCAACACCCAATAGGGTGAGAAGCGCGTCACAGCGAAACTGAGGCTAAAGCAAATGAAGAAAAAAAAGCCTCGACAGCTATGGTTCGAGTTGGCTGATAAGATGCGCGACGGTTGGATGTTTGTGCAGTTTGAAGGAACAACAGACAGTGCAAACTGAAAACCTCGACCGTGTCACGTGACCAGGACTTTATGTGAGTGTAGCATCCATGCATAGTATCCTTTTATACACAATCTACAACCTACTTTACATGTCTGACTTGGGTTTGGTTACTGAATCTCATGTGCACAAGTTGAAGTGAGTAATGATCATTTCTATCCGTGTGTTTTCTATCCGTGTGTTTTCTATCCGTGTGTTTTCGATATAACCCTGTTATAAGAAGCCCGAGTCACAGAACGCAAAAACCTTCTATAGGTACATCCATATCAAGAAATCAGTCTCCGAAGAGGACAAATATCAAAAATGGCGCAATTGCATGGCAAAATACATGATCATGTCAACTAAAACTGTGACAGTGATGACGAATGACAAAACATGGGCTCAAAGGCGAGCCTCCTGTGTCAGGAGGAAATGGTAAATAGATGGCATATAGATCATTGGCCCACATGAATTTTTGCAGTGGCAGGATAAAATGAAGGGGGTTCCAAAAAGGCAGCACTTGATCCAGTCAAGATAGCTTAGAACCCATCACCCTCCTTCCACGGACGACCTGCCTCCTGGGCACGGTACTGAGGATTCTTGCCACGCTCAATAGCAGCAAGCAAAGTGTCAAAGACCTCCTGCTGCTTCTCCTGGAGTTGATTCGCAAGGTCATTGCCCTTCTCACCCTCAGGGTCATCTGGTTCAGGTACCCCGTCTGGTCCAACAGGAGGATCGAATCCCAATTCGGACAACCACATCCAATTATCCAATTCCTGCTGGATCTCGTTCTTCTTCGTTTCAGCTTCTCGGTAATTATTCCATTCCTCGCTTCCACCAAAACAAAACCCGTACCCGTCACACAGACACACGCTCTCATCAACACAGAGAACAGACTCCCCGGTGAAGATAAACTGCCACAGATACTCCCAGATGCGACCAGTGATATAATCACTGAGATCAGTCGACAGTAGCCAATCGCGGTAGAAAACAAACCGGGCCCGCGGAATGGAACGGATGCGATCACGAGACAGGGCGAATTGCGCACAGCACGGCTGCGCCAGCACAGACGGGATCTCCTGGTCGGGGAATAGCTCCCCCCACGCGCGGGCCAGCATGATCTCCTCCTGCTTTGACTCGTCTTCCTCCAGCGCACCGGGGTGCATCCAGGCTGGACAGCCCGGGCCAAACCCGCAGCGAGTGTTCATGTAACCCTCGCGGATGACGCGGTTCAGATTGAGGCGGCGGAGCAGCTGTGCCGCGTCTCCAGCGAAGAGGTTATCATTGTGCCAGGCGAATTGATGCGAGTGCATGAACACCGCCACGTCTGGGAGCCGGTCGTAGTGGTCAACGATATAGGTGAGGTAGATCATGACCTCGTGGCCCTTGTTCTTGGGCGGGTGAAGCGGTGCTGTGGGGTCGTCGGCGACGTAGATGGCATGGTCCCAATCTGGCAATTCCTGGGCGATCCAGCTGGTATCTTCCTCTTTGGTTCGGGTCACGACCATCACCTTGGAGTATTTGTAGCCAGGGGGCTTGGGAGTGCCGGGAATGAAGTCCGGTGGTGGGGCATAAAGGTGGTTTGTGTGTGCGCGGGTCGTGTTCCAGGCTCCTGTTCCTGTTGTGTTGGATGACGAGGAGACCAGGTCACCCAGGCCAATGACTTGGGGTACGTCACGCCATGGTCGTGAGAGGCTCCGGGATGTGAGGAGCAAGACGAAAAAGAAGCAGACGCCGAGGAAGATGACCGATCGTCGTGGGAGAAGCATGGACGGAGGGTTGGACAATCGTACACGGGATTATTATCTGTCGCACGAGTTGGTGGTTAGCTGCAATGTCACTGTATACCACAGTGTCGCGTGCATGGGGTTGAGAGTACTGCGGGAGCAAGGTACATGCAGAAAGCTTGGAATTGAGGGAGGGGACCCAATGGCTTACATATTTGAGGATATCATTGCCCCGAGAGTGTAAGGGGTTGAAGGAAAAGAAAGCCGATGTAGATTGAAATGACCCTGGTCCAGGGAGTAATCCCCCCCGGAGAGACTGGGACAAATCAGATGCAAGTGGAGTCGAGGCTGTGCCGGTATGACGAAGCTTCTTTCAATGCGGTTGTATACCTTTGCGGTGCAAGAAGGGCTTTTATATAGAATACATAGAATATATAAGATGCAATTGATCAGTTAGTATAATAAAGATCTGTATTTTGAAACGAAGTAATAGAACCTCATCAAAATAATTATTTGGTATAAAATCATCTGACCAATACGGGAAGATGCATGTCGATCCAGGAATCCAGCCACGCGGCCCTGTCTCAGCCATGCCATGGGCCACACTTAGATCGATTCCAAGGTTGGACTTCTCTACATTATATGTATATACGTACTCACGTACATTTACTTCACGTTTACACTGATTGCATATACACATTTCCATTTGAAGGTAATCATTGAGAGCAAATACCATGAGATTCAACCGTGGTATAAAAATCGTGAAAAGAAATCTGGGTATGATCTTTTGCTCGCAAACAACGCCATGCAGAAACGCTGGTGTAAACAACTGGGGATCCGAAAGGGCAGAGCAGAACCGGGAGGGGGAAAAAAAATACACAGTGAGGGGTTTATCAAAAGAGGAGTCCGGGATCAAGCTTCTTCATCGGGCGTTTCTTCAACTGATGCAGTCTGGCCTTTGCCGTTGGATGCAGACGGGGTGTGAGTGTCGGTTTGACTAGAAGCACTATTTGCGGATTCCCCGTTGCTACCCCATGTAGTAGGAATGGAGGAAGCCGGCCTAGCCTCGAAGGACCCTCTAGGGGCAACGTCAGTCCATTCTTGGGACGGGGATTCTGCGCGATGTTCCGCGGAAGGGCCAGTTGGCGTCGGCTGCAATGCCGGGGCCTGAGGAACCTCATCTACAAGAAGGGGTTCAGCGTTGGTTGTGCCGCGCGCGTTTACCCCGACATTCCCGCTCGTTTGATCCTGAACAGGTACAGATAATGTGGGGGCTTGAGAGGTTTCAGGGCTGGCCACGGCTGGCGCAGCTGGGGATGTCACTGTAGTGGTAGGCGTGGGTTGTACTGTATGGTCCACACCGTTGGGGCCATTATCCACCCGCTGGAGAGGAAGGAGGGTCCAACCAGGTGGAAGAGTAAGCCCTTCCGGTAGACGAGGATCTCCGGAGTTTATAACGTCAGCACCCGGGTTTGCGCCATACTGGTGTCCCGTTGTGAAGACCGATCCTGGGGCCAGCTGGGGGAGCGGGCCTGGTTGGCCTTCACCTGGTTGGGTGACATGTGGCTGGCCCACACCTTGTTGACCGGCAGCTTGTTGGTTTTGTTGGTTAACAGCCCTTGCTTGGGCAAGCAACCGCTCTAGTTCCGCCCGAAGCCGACGCACGCGATTTAGATGGTCCGAGGCAGCTCGAAGGGTGGCGATCTCTTGATTGAGCCGTTGCTCGATCTGTAACAATTGATCATTGATTTCAGCAGTGACAGATCCCCCCCGGCGTCGCAGCATGTGGGGCGGGAGCGGGGGTGGGGGGCTTGGGGGCGGCGCCCGAACCCAAATCCAAACCCAATATGTCTTCCAGGCGCATTCGCAGGTGGGTGTGCCCCAGGCGGCGGCGCATTACCTTGGTGACCGTGTGGATGAAGATTGTTGAATAAATCTCCACGCACAGCTCCAAAGCCGACACGGAAAGGGCCAAACTGATAGACCCGCGCACGTGGTTGTGCGTCTGCACCTTGTTGGCCTGGCTGGACGCCACCATTCTGACCACCGCCTGCGTTATTGTCTCCAACCCCGGCAGCCCCCCGAGTTTGCTGGGGCATTATAACAGGACGTCGACATGTCGGGCAGTTTTGTTGCCTCTCAAGCCAGCTTCGGAGGCACGAAAAGTGCAAGATATGGCCACATGGGAGCTTCTTTGGACGCAGACGGTCAGGAACACGCTGTGTTCCACCGGCCGGCTGTGGTGCCGGCTCTCCAGCAGCATTAGCTGCCGGTTGTGGTTGCGCCGGCTGAACTGGAATCATTTCCTCGCGGCAGATGATACAGACATCTTCTCGAGAAACTTCCTCTGCCGTTGCATCCGGATACCTCTGGTGCATATCCCTTGTCGTATTTCGGTAACGCATAAAGTCCATAATGCGCCGGGCAAATGAGCGGATGGTGACAACAACGTCGCGCAGAATGTGGATGGGGAGGCCGTAGAAAGTGAGCAGGATACCAAAGAAGCTCAAATAAATCAAGAGTTTCAATAAATCCGTCAAAAGATCCAAGTAGAAGACCCAACGACCCTTCTCCTCCCATCCGGGCACATCGATCTCCATCTCGTTGACATCGTTTTCGTCGGGCAGATTGTCAGGAGGAGAGGTAGATCCCGCACGGGCATGTTCTCGAATCGCCTCGACACGCGCAACACGGATCTCATCCCGGCGTTCCTGCATCTTGGCATTTATTTGCTGGCGGGTGATCGAGATCTCGGTCAATGCAATAACGTATCGTAGCAGGGTGGAAGTCGACAGGATCGTTAAGATGGCGAATTCGAATCCAAACATAACCATCATATCCGGCCGGGCGTGCGCGAGTACGATGTGAACGCAGTATCGCAACATGAAGGCGTCAAATAACACCGTCAGCACGAGAGATACTGCCAGTCGAGTATGGAACAACCGGGGGTTAGCCGGTGGCTGTTGCTCTAAGAACTCAACGCGGCCTTCGCCAATCCAGCCCCATACCTTGCCGACCAGCAGCGAAATGAACATGACCAAAAACCAGCCTCCAAGTTCGCCTCGAAATATGGTCATGGCCAGGCATGTCTCTGTGACGGCGAACCAGGCCCGCTCGTATAGTTGCTCGGTCTCGATGGGTCGCAGGGGTCCGTAAAGAAGTCGCTGAAGCCAGAATAGTACGAAACCGGCGACGAGAAGGCATAGATTCGTGAGGATCTGATTATAGAGCAATGAGTTAGGGTCTATGATGACCAAGCGCGATGTCCCAACTGGACAACTCACCATAAGATTCGCACTACTTTGAGAGAGGTAAACACATGCTGAATAGAAATTGGACCTCTGATGAAGAGCTTTTAGAAACACACCAGTGGCTAGGACCACCGAGGCCTACAAACGGGTTTCCAAGGTTAGCGGGTTGGCTCCCCATCAGCTGCGGTACCACTTACCCCAGCATACGCGGCCAGTCTCATGGCTATCGACTGGATCGGACAAGCCGAAGGTCATAGACCGAAGGAAGGACAAAAAATAAGGGCGTCTCAAGGTAGCATTTGGCGGAGTAATGAAGTGACTGCGGTTTATTTGAGAGGAGTAAGTAGCTTGATCTGGACAGCTTTCCAGAACAACCCGCAGACGCCCTCTCCGCATCTTACGTCAGCGACCAGCACGTGCCGCCACCCAGATCTATAGGAGCGTATGGGGAGATTTGATTTTACTCTACTCCGTAGTAAAGGCATCCTATTTCTGAATCTCGGATAATTTAGTGTATTGTTTTTGATCCAACCCCTTGGACCTACTCTAACCGTCAGCACATGTCCGTCGATCTTCAGTGTTTTATCTGATCATCTCCAGTCATGTGACGTCCCACATTGCCCGCCTTTGAAGAAGCAACCATTGTGACACCGGAGATCATTTCTTGTCATCAATTTGCATCGATCTGAGGGATATCGTCACCTCTAAATCCCATTCTCTCTTACTTGCTGTTCAAAAGAAATGAATCATTTCCGGTGATGGCTTCATCACCGGCATTGTTTACTGCCTCGCGCAGCCAGACACTAACTTATCTCCTGGCGGTGTGCCCTTTCTCAATCGCCTTCCTAGTCTATATCAATTCATCCATCTCATTCGTCGTAACGGATTTGATTGGCCTCCAGGATGGAGTGGGAGATTCAGTGGGAACTCTAGGATTCGCAGATGAACTCCTTGCGCTAGTTGCCTGCCCACTTTGGGGTGTTCTCTCGGATCGAATCGGAGTCCGCCATGTAAGCTTTCTACTGGTTCATACCTGGGTAACAACATTCAATTATATTGACATTAGATAGGTATGTACTGCAGGCTATGCTATTGTAGCACTCGCGCTAGTCGTTTTTGTGCAAGCCACGAATGTCTATCCCCAGCTTCTCTTGGGAAGGTTGCTTTTCAGTATCGGCGGTTCGGCAGTATCGACCATGGTCACTGCAGTTTTGCCAACTGTCACTGGTACTGCCTTTAATGCCCAGGCTTATCGCGCATCTCTGTCTTCGGAATTGACCATCACACCGGAGCGTGCCCGCAATGGTCATTCCGTAAATGTTGGCGCTTCAACCGCATCTCCGTCAGCGCGACTCTCCGGTTTTGTTGGCATGTGTGCGGGCTGTGGTGCGCTCGTGGCACTGGTTGTTTTCCTCCCGCTTGCAGCCCGGTTCGAGAAGATGGGCTTGTCGCCAGCGCAGGCAATCCAACGCAGCTATTATCTGGTTGCTGTCGTATCCCTTGTTATCTGCCTTGTATGCTTCATTGGTCTTCGCGATCTTCCCGGAGAAAAGGGCAAAAGTTGGAGTGCGCTTTGGAAAACGTCTCATCACTCGTGCAATGACGATGATGACGACGATGAAGACGACGATGATCTATATATCCATGGCCCAAGATTGCCGTATTGGAAGCAGTTGACAACCGCCCTTACACTGGGATTCCGAAACCGTAGCATCGGACTCGGCTACGTCGGAGGCTTCGTCGCTCGGGCCTCTTCTGTGGGGATATCATTGTTCATTCCCCTCGCTGTCAATCACTACTATCGGGTATCGGGGCTATGCGACGAGGAACATGAACCGGTTCCTGGGTCGGGATTGGGGGACATCAAGAAAGCGTGCCCACGTGCATACATCGTCGCATCCATACTGACCGGGGTGTCCCAATTGGTGGCATTGATTGCAGCCCCAGCATTTGGGTACCTGACAGACAAATCACGACGGTACAATTTCCCACTTCTTTTCGCGGCATTGGTGGGAATCGTTGGCTATATTATCTTCGCCATGCTCCCAAACCCTTTATTCGACAGACCCGACGGCAATCCGGGCGTGTTTGCTGTGATGGCTCTGCTTGGAATCAGCCAAATTGGGGCAATTGTCTGCAGCTTGGCTGTATTGAGCAACGGTATCTTGCGGGTTAGCATCGATAATGAAACGTTAAGAAAAATATATGAGGAGCGACGGGTCCATGGGGACGAAAATCACGCAGAGCCTGACGAGGGCCAATCTCTTCTTGCCGGGTCTGTCAACCGGAGATTGGAGCATCTGTCCCACCTGAAGGGCTCTATCGCAGGTGTATATTCATTATATGGCGGGGCAGGCATCCTGCTGTTGACCAAAGTGGGTGGACTTCTATTTGACGTTCTGTCATCGGGCACACCGTTCTACATCATGGCGGGTTTTAATGGCGTGCTGCTTGTTATTGGAATTATCTGTGGGGGCATCAACCACTTCGGATCGCCCGGATATTGATGAATTTCAGTTTTAATCTCATGAAAAATTGTCATAGTGGTGCAGAATCTTATTGGATTGGCTGTGAATACAATTTCATTCTCAGCATGGAAAATGGCCCAAGGTTTCAATGAATTACCGGCATTGCTCGGCCAGCAGGTCCATTGCAATTTAAGTACACGTGGGTTTATAGGAGAAAGTGGGTAAAAACAACAAACTAGTAGTATTGATGAAAAAAACTTGGAATGGTTCGTAAGATTAATTAATTCGGCATCCGTTGCGAGTTCATCAGGCACGGACTTTTTCACCGGGCGTAATTTGAATTGTGCACTAACTCGTGTACGCTAGTCCTCTCGGGAGGGTCGGTGGCTGACCTGGGGAAATTACAGGCGTCAAAGGAAGAAAATGGCGAGAGTTAACTATACACCGTATACTCCGTACGGAGTACAGCACAGATTTTGAACAGTAAACATGCATAAATGCATACTCGGTATACTTCTAAGCAGTTCGATTTTTTATACATTCCTAATGAAATTCCTTTATTGATCTCATCTCGCTAGTCTCCGACGTGATATAAGGAGCATCAAACAACCTTCCCAAATAGGCATGTGACCCAGGGGTCGGCTCGGCCCCTAGACCCGGATCAGCCTAGTTCCACAGCAAAGTTCCACTAAAACGCCCCTAATTTGGTTCCCCAAGGCACTCGGACTTTGATATGGTAAATGCCCCCTTTTCGACCCTTCAAACCCACCCCTCGAACCCCTGGGGCCCGTTCCTTGATTATCGTGTCGGCCCTAGTGAGATCCGCTTGGACCGCAATATGGGCCACTATGCCAAAAATTTAGTCTTGGCGGCTACTGATGGGCAACACTATGCCGAGTCAATAATTTGCGCGCTTAACCCCCGGATGTCTCTCTCTCTCTGACACTTCTTCCTTCTTTCACACCTTCAGGCTCAAGCAGTCCGTCATTCACTCTTTCGTCGTTCGACAGTCTTTCGTTAAATCCAGTCCTTCGTTTTGAGCAATTGTTCTACTTCAAGTACTGTGTACTTCGATTCTTTGTGTACATCCAACATCTTGATTATCACCAATTTTTCGATATAAACCACCGGTCAATCACCGATCTATTTCCAACATGCGTTTCTACACCGTCGCTCTATTGACTGGCGCTACCGCCGCCGCTGCCGGTAACACCGCAACTCTCCTCCTGCCCGGATTTGAGGGCCAGGATCTCGAGGCTAGCGTTGTCGAAACCGTATGTACTAAACTAAGCTGCGCGATCAACGCGCTTTTTGGTCTGAGCACTTTTAACTAACATTCCCCAGAATGGAGATGCGACTACCTATAAGATCACCTGCCCTAAGACCGTTTCTTCCTGCGGTATTGCCGGCGAGGGCATGACCGCAATTGCTGCCCCGACCTCCATGCAGCTGCAGAACATCAACCTCCAGGGAACGTAAGTACTAACGCGGACTTTCCTTGTTCGAACCGCATTCTGATATAAACACCAGCACTGGAACTGTTTCCTGCAATATTGCCGGCACCACCTACGCCTCCTGCCAGGCCTCCGCCGGCACTGCGACCCCGTCGGGCACCCTGGCCAAAGATGATCTGAACTGGATGCCAGTGACTATCTCGGCCACCCCGACCCCGACGTCGACCTCCACCCCAACTCAGACTCCCACCCCAACCAGTACCAGCACCAGCACCAGTACCATCACTAGTACTAGCACTAGCACGACCGAGGTGACCTCCACCTCTACCCCGGTCATCACGTCCTCGTCGACTCTCGTCACCCCGACCTCCAAGAAGTCCTCTTCGGCTGTCATCTCGTCCACCCGTCTGGCCGCCTCGACCCCTCTGGTTGCCGCGCCTACCACTACCGCTGCCATCGGAACCGGTGCCCCTGCAGCTTCCTCGACTCCCTTCAACGCCGCCGGCCAGATGGCAGGCAGCGTGTGGACCGTTGGCGGTGCCTTCCTTGCTCTGGCCTGCGCTTTCGTGTAAGCTTGACGAGTGATCTATCTATATTTTTCCTGCGCGGCATTTTGGTTGTGGAAGAGATGAGCTTTTTGCTTGTTGATTATTAATTCTGGGGTTTCTGACGTTGCTTCTTATGGATGTATTCATGTGTACTACACTTATATGTGTCCATCTCTTATTCTTTAATGTTTTGATACCTTTCTCCACGACAGACTACGATCTAGCGTCTATTTTTTTATACTTGTATTTTCAGCTATTGAATATACATTTTACTGCCGCCTTAGTTTTAAGTTTGTCTTTGTCTGTTTTACGCCCCGGACTGGGAGTAGCCCTGTAGATTGTATCCACTCCTGAAAGATATCCACATGCGCCTCATTATTTCTCATTTTTGGATATGCGTTGGGATACCCTGTCGACCACGGTCCCTGGCTTCTGCCTGGATCTACGGCCAGGGGCAGGGGTTAGGGCTAATATCTGTATCCGTATTGCGAAGCCAACCGACCATACATCTAAGCGCACGTGGTACCAACCTACGTGCCGCTTCCAGGGTCATCCCACGAGCGGAGGAGGTACAAAATACGGTGCGATGTCGACCGGGATGTCGAACCGACCTTTGGATACGGATAACTTATCGAATAGATGCAGTCAGCCAGCAAGACAAAGCCAAACAGAAAGCGATACTAGACGTCAACACTCTTGGACCCGTGCGCCTCTTCCAAGCTACTCTCTCTCTCTCTCCTTCAGAAGTCATCATCTGCTCGTTTCATCCTGGGCAGCAGTCTGATGGGAACGACTGCAGTGATCGAAGATTTTCCCTCAAGATTCCGCCTTGCGGGCTAGCAAGGCGGCCGCGAACTACTTTACACTACCTTGGCTATGTACCCTGGGTATGAATCTATCGTTCAACTTTTTGTCTCGTTTGTGGTGTTGACTAATATCTTCTCATAGTGCGAAGACAAAGGCTGGAAGGCTGCTCGAGCGGCAGGCTTTCCCGGCGCCTTTATAGAGGTTGAGGATAACATGAATGTAATTATCACGAAGATTGATGGACTGGCCAAGGGGAACGGCGCGGGAGAGTTCTGGAACATCGACGGCACCACCATCGGCTGGTAGGTCACCACCTATTCGTCGTTAGTTTATGATCACCTCGGATCATCTCTCTGTTCTAGAGCATTGGGAAACAGTGACAGGTCGATATCTGGTAGTTAATTGTTGAGTTACTGTCCACCCATCTCAAATATATAACACTGAGATAACTAATAGATCACAGATACTGCAGAGTTAGATAAAAATGAATGAATATGAATGTTACAACAACATCCAAGTGCAGAAGTCAACCACACGTATTTCATCTAACCCGCCAGAGTCGGCTCACACACTAGAACTGCCCGGTACTTTATTTCCCCATTTCTTAACTTCAGCATCGCCTCTTCGATTTTATCTGGCGTCATAGGAAACTTCATAATCGTGGGCCTGATTTTCTTGCGATTGCAGAATTCCATCAATTCCAGGAGATTATGTCGGGATGCGACTAGACTTCCTTGGATTCGAACCCCACGAGTGTTCATTGGCCAAAATGGGACGGGTGTTTCCGACTGAGAAACGGTCAGGGGGTAAATAGTCCCCTTGGTATCCATGAGGCGTATCAATCTCCCAGCCAGCAATTTAGTATATGTTCACAGCGATATCATAACGGAGGGGACTAACGATGCTTGGTCAAGGAGGTGACTTCCACAGAGCAACAAATGCTGCAACGGCCGAAAGGAGGATGAGTCAATCTGATCTAGAACATGAAACTCCCCTGCGCCATATCGGAGCGCATCCTCTTTCTTATCATCAGTTCGGGATAGGACCACGACATGACATCCCATCTCGGCAGCAATCTTGATGGCCAAATGGCCCAGGCCTCCAACGCCGAGGATGCCAACCCGATCTGTTGGGCGAGCACCGAAATGACTCAGGCAGTTCCAGACGGTGGCCCCGGCACAGAGGAGAGGAGCCGCATCTTCAGATAAGTAGCCATCGGGGATGGGAAAGACACAACTGACATCCCAGACTGTGCCATGGCCGAAGGTGCCGATGTCAAAATCACATTCTCCATAGATCCTAACGCTACGGCAGTATTGATCCCAACCTGACGGTGGGTATTAGAATCTCTAAGTCAAAAGTAATATAGGTAGAGTAAATGCAAACCAGTTCCACAGTTATCACAGGCACTGCAGACCTTGCGCACATATCCAAAGCCAACACGGTCACCAGCCTTGACCGTGGTTACGTTTGAACCCAGAAGTTTGATGATGCCAATACCTTCATGACCGAGGACTTGGGTTGATTTCGCATAATGCTCATCTGTTCCACATAGTCCTGAGTGGGTGATTTCAATATAGACCTCATTGGGTCCTAAGATTCGAGTTGTAGTATCAGATACGACGTGACCACTGGGTGAACCGCGGTAGACTTCAAATGAGACGTCCATTGTATACTGTTGATTGTGTAATGCGATGAGTGAGTGGTATGAATGGTCTTCAGAGCTCCTGACATTGAAGTGTGGTGAGTGGTAATATTTAAATATCCTGCCAAGGTTACTCCCGGGGCCATATAATGACCGTCTTGGCTGTTAACGCATTAGCTTACCTTGTATGACCATCCTATATGCGACTATTTACCGATGAAGACCGTAATACATATCCGAGTCTTAAATAGACCTAATAACAAGATGATCTCCATGATAACAATGCTAGATGGAATCTTGTACATGAACTTTTACATTTGGAAACTATGCAAGGGCATGCCCAATGAGACAATACACAGTCAAAAAGAGATGAATGTCATGGCCTAATCTGTGAATTTAGCAGATAAATATACTGCAATGTAATTATGACCAACTTCCGTCTCGGGGCTAGGTTCATGAGGGTTGGTTGGGATGATCATCCCAAGGCAACCTCTTATGCAGGGATCGGCAAAAAATCCATGATTTTGTGCGGATGTATCTGACTTCTTCTCAAAACGCGGGCTAAATTGGATTCTCGAGATTACGCTGTATTCGGGGATAGCTCAACACATGATCTTCTTGAATATTATGTTTATCGGCGGGGAGTAAAAGACCAATTTTTTAGGTACACCTAAAAGCTCGAAGGATACAGATACAACTGTGCTCTGACTGCCACGTGCCATATATTCCATAACAACAAATACATCACGAAACTGAGCACAGGAAGATAGGTGGTCGGAACGGTACCCATTGTGGATGATATAGATGGGAGCATGCGCAAAAGCATCCACCCAGAGAGGACCCCCCATAATTCCACAGGAGTGAAGGAGGATCCATAGAAAATCGACGCAGCAGTACCTATAATATCTAAAAAGGGTTATATAGAACGGAATTCCCTTCGCTAATGACAGCAGTCATGCTACGCTCTCTCTGAATCTCGATAGCTTCTAAGATTGAACGTTTGTCGGCGCTCTTTAGGTATCACACTACGATTGGCTTCGTAGCCGCTAAGGGCATCCATAGCGACGCTACCGGGGAGAAACTCCATCAGTATGAAAGCGGCGCTCACTGAATTGCTCTGCTATGTTGCTGGCCGGATTATTGGCTACATAGATGGATACGTAGAGAAAGAACACAGATTCACTTAGCATTAGGGCCACCACGGTCTTTCATACCTGACTTGTTTGCCATGGTATGCTTGATCTAGCCCCTAGGCGTCGAACCCTATAGAATGGATAATCGAAAACACTTCGTGATACAAACAATATAAGACATGCAGAAACAGTGGTTATTAGGAAGCAAACAAAGAGACCACAAAAAACATCAAGACTGAAGGCTTCGGGGATTGCAGTACTGAACGATCTGGTTATAGTCGTCAACCAATGGTAGGGGCTCGTAACCATGTCCATTGTGCATTTTGGTAAGTGTCGTAGCAATTGTTCTATCGAGGACTTCCTGTCTGAAGATTGTAGTAGGCTTTTTTTTTGATAGGCGAAGAACATAGACAGATATTGGTCTCATATCATTATGAGCAGTCTCATAGTTATAGCCGACATTGTTGAGGTCGAGGACGAAATAGGAGTGGCGTCCAGGGTATATATTAACAGCGAGGAATGAAGTCTGGATGTCTGGACGAAAACGGTGGAGGGCACTCTCGACCGCTGACACAAACACTCGTATAGACCCTAGATAATCTTCGGAGTCGAGAATGATGTTGGGAGTATCGCCAAGTATTCGAATTGCCGTTGAACCAACGGTTTGAAGGAAATTCTCGATCGTGTTTGGGATTTGACTTATGATATGCTCACGAATTTGTTGCTTGACGTCGTTCATTGTGCAGATAGCAATGTGTGCTACCTTCAAGTTGGATGAATTGAATCAAGGGCTGATATTTAATTCCGGGTCACCACACCGCCCTTTCAAGGTTTGTGCCTAAATTCCTGAATAGGCATAGCGTGGGAAATATCCGTTAGCCACGAACTGGGGGTGAGGCTCAGCGCCGACCCACACTTCATTGTTTAACACTGAAGTGTGGGTTCGTTTTAATATATCCTGGTTACCTTACACAATAATAATCTTCACAACCATCACAACCATCACAACTTTTAACAGGTATGCTGATCTTGTCCTATCAACCGAAATCCACGTAGCTAGTACCAAGCTTGTAGTCGTGAAAGCCGAAAAACATTGGATAACTACTTAGTATCATCTATATAATGCCACGACGACCCTCTCTTCTACTGTGTTAGTATCCGCCTAAAACTACTCTACCAACCAACTAAGTTCTACATTCAAAGACTCATATTGAAATATATATACCCTCCAAAGGTCAGTTTGAATCCGCAACTCTCGACTATACATATGCTAATACCAATGGTAGATGTGTTGGTGGAAACATACCCTCTATCAACTTTGCAGCTCGTGCATGAGCCCTGCGGAGAAAGTCCGTCCTTGCGAAAGCGGGAATTGTACCGCCACAACACAGAACCCCCAACAGCAGATAGATATTGAGAACGTTGCAGCAAGATGTCCTATCCACTCCCACCAAATGACACCGTCTAGCGACGAAGAGGAGTTTCCGTAAGAATGATAATGTCTATCTACTACCTAATTGTTGATCTCTCGTTGAATGACCGCGTATGTTGTTTCTCTTGGGATACATTTTATCACTTGGTATGCTAATATTTATAGCCTTAGGTAATTTGCCAGATGCCATGTCGGAGGATTTTGATATTGGCATGTTTATCAACAAATAGGTAGATAGAATCCAATCAAGTCAGGACTAGTAACATTTATTTATCTAGCCCGGCACAGAAAATGTAATATTTTCTGGTCCAATTGTACATTGAGTACATTGAGTAGTTATACTTTGTACTCGGGGACAAACATTTGCACATCATTCATTAGCTAAGCGTATTAATATGTTCTAATCCCGAATAGTCTATCTAGACTTGCCAATAACTGATTATTCTAGGACAACCATATGACTTGTAAACCTAGACAGACTAAGAATGCTATTTACTGGTACATCGGATTGGCTCACCGGACGAAAAATGGTGTTTTGCTCAAAAGTTTTACACTGTTTGTTAAAGCTCAGAATTAGCTAAGCTTGGTATTCACTATCAGATGTCAGATTATATTTCCCCTAGCAATCGAGCCATCGTAGATCTTTATCGTATTCTTGGTCCGAAGGGTATCTCAGCGGCGATTTGAGGGATGAACGAGCGAGGGTGCTATTTTGATCCGCTCCCATCCGGTCCTTCGCAAGCTTTGTGATATGGGCTGCGGGGTCACGAGCTCATCCCGGCACAACTTGATGTCCATTGGGTGAAGTATTGGTGCCAAGGCTTCTCGTAGATGGGGTAGGCGCTACAGCAAGAATGGTTATGTCGTTTCGTACTGACGCTTTATTTTCCACCTGCTTATTGCGCGTCGCGCGCACGATATTGTACAAATAAAACCCACACTTGGATGTTGAACACTGAAGTGTGGGTCCAAAAGTTGGAAACTCGAATGGGGCTGTGACGGAGTTGGAAGGCGATCTGATAAAGGCGGTATAGTGGGGTATTCATCAAGAGCACTGCAAAATAATAAAAGGGACGAGGGCCTAACTGATATTCATTGGATGAGGATGCTTGTAGAGAGAATATCTAGGAAGTGGCCAGGCTTATGGTAAAAGCTAAAGAGTAAGACTAACTCCAGACAAAAGTGTTGCTCTGAATTACACCTTTCCCAAATATTCGCCAAAATGGAACTTCTAGGAGCCTTAGAGACAATACGCAATGCATCTGATGCCAGTCTTCACTCGCACGCAGAACAGACCATTCTGACTCTCCAGAGAATCAGTCAACGTCTTCGGAATTTAAGTCCAGGTTTCCAGGCGACTCCTCTGGACCCAGGAAGTGTACCATCTCCTCCACAGTCACCCCGGAATTTTCAATTTGTGGAGACGGCAACACCTAGGGAGCAAGCGGGCGGGTCAGGTCCAACGCCCCCTCAACCTCTTCAGGCGGCTGGGTTTGGAGATTATAACACATTTCCCGGAGAACCCCCGAGCGAACCTTATCCTCAATATTCACCACAATCTTTCCAAGCTGCTGAAACGACGACACTTGGAGACGAGGCCGTCTTAGCATCTCCACAAACGCCTCACGTTCATGGCTTAGAAGTACCTCTTACCCTCCCGGCCGCCCAGTCTATACCAGCTAGAGACTCTTCCGGAAGCGCACAACCGGGATCAATCCGTGCTTCCCCAGACCATATCATCCAACTGCTGAAATGTGTCAAAAAGTCCACACGCCTGATTTGGGAACAAGCCCTTCGAGATTCATCAAGTGACCTACTGTCTCGAAAGCGAAACTCTGGAGAGGACGCTCGATTAGCGCATATAAGGTGTATAGAAGGAGATAAATCACTTGGGAACAAGGAAAAGCTTCTGAGGGTTCTTGCACTTAGATCGATAGCTCTAGAGTTCACAAAAAAGCAGCAAGATGATGGAGTCTCCCCAACAAGGCTGCATGAGCTTTACCAGCATACCTTACCTCCAAAAGTTCCAAACTCTTCTCGCGCCAGTATCTTCAATATTGGCAATAAGGATTTCCTAGCGAAATCCTTAGCAGCTGGTCTCAAGTACATGGTCTTTGAGAAGGTCATTGCCGCCCACTGCCACGACGAACAGAATCTGGCAAGCATATGCGCTGCAATTTCCGCCATTGTTGGACTGAATATAGATCAATTTCGGAGATTTCGTTATGATGAAATGCGGTGCTTTGCACAAAAGCTCATATCAGACGACAAATATATCCAGCTTTCGGATCAGAAGATGCGTCTGCTCGACGCTGTACGAAGCCTAAGCCCTTGGTTTAATGAAGTACAAAATGATTATAATTGTGAGTCGACTTTGAACATCGAGTTCCCATGCACTGTGTTACTGACTATTAAGTGATCTTCCAGAGTCCGGTTTCGGGGATGGAATCGAGCAGACGAAAGTACCCACGGACAGATCTCGACAGTACCCCTGATATTATGGACAATTTCATCGAGTGTCCTATCTCTATTCCGCAAGATTCCGTCCCCTTAGACTTGGGGTTCGAAAATACGGATATCCCTCGCAACGGAGTCGACACTCAGAGTCTAGATGTTGTTACCGAGGATGAGTTTGCGGACCAATTCTATGAACAGATTTCAAACCAACCCATTGATGTATCTGGGATTATGGATGATATTGCCAACAGATCATATTTTGATTTTGAACATATTGCACTATACAATGTTGCTATCACCTCACCTGAAACTGCAGGTATCTCCACAGGGTGATGTAGGCTAGCTTCCCAATTTATACCCCCATATCCCTAGTTTGGCGCTATCCTCGATGACCAGTCGACTTTCACCATATACATGATAGTAACGACCCAACTGAACTGTTTCTTCGCCAAGCGTCACTTTTCCCTTAACGTAAAATGGAATGACTGCCATATAGGGTTTGCCAACTATGTTTACACCTGGGGAGAAAACTTGGATAGCAGGCCTTATTCCGCATGATTTTAATTGACGTTCTTTTCGAGTCGGGTTGTTCTATTGCGAGTCAGAAACCAATGATGTTAAAGCTGAATCATGCACCCTTACCAAAGAAAGCTCTTCAATCTTGGTAATTACCTCCCTGCCCCGGCCCTGCACCAGCATTGTGGCCGATATCCGATCAGCGGGTATTGACAGGGATTCCGCTATAGATCGATCGTTCTCGCAAGCCTCAGTGTAGATGGCTTTGATGGATGAAGGTATCTCCAAAGATTCCACCAAGTTGTCTTCCGAACCGTGTGCATCCATAGGTAAGCGCTCAAGTATGAAAGTCGAGTGATTCCGAGCGTTGTTCAGTTGCACCGAAGTTTGTATTTATCAGAAAACGCCTGTTAGGATAATATTGGGCAGAAAATAGCGCGGGGCTCGTTCGGCGCTCCGAAAGGCGGGATAATCTCTTGGAGAGCGGTGTTAATTTCTTCCGTTGTTGAATGCCTGTTGTCTTCAACCTCTCTTCAAACTCGTAATTGGCCGATGGTGTTTCTATTGCTCACTGAATTTCTTGGTTTGGTTCTATTGTTTTTCCAAGTCTTCATTATTCCGAGAATTGGCGGGGGTAAGTAATTGTCACGTGCTATCGATATCATTAGACCCCACACATGACTTGGCAGCCTCAACCAGCCCATTAATGCATTTAATGCACTCTGGCTTGAACTGCCCTTGGGGTAACAGTGAGCACTATATACATGTTGGGCCTATCCATTTTGAACGACCTACGATTCAGGTTCATCATGAAATAAGACCTTCCATTATCAGAGGAGCGTGCAGGGATCATTTTTGGATGGAGCTGTGGATGCTAATCTATTTCAACCGAGATACTAGCAGTTATTTCCAGCATGGCCAAAGTTACACCTTGCGCTATGAAGAGAAAGAGTTCCAGGGGTTGAAGGTCGCTCATCAGCCTGACATGTCTACCTCTCACCCGTCATTCTTCCGTACGACTACTACGCCATGGTCTTCATTGATGATGAGGGCAATCTTCAAGTCCGAGAATCTCAATCCATTCATCATCCTGGGTTCAGTGTGTTCACTCCGGAGGTCTGCCGGAATTGCCTCGAGATTTCAGACGAGCAAGCCTATCGTCATCGGCCCACTCGTATGTAAAGCCATATATGAACATATGAGGGCTCACTAATTGCTTTGCAGAGTCAAAATATCGTCCATTGAAATTTCAAAAGAGCGATCATAGAGATCTAGCTGAAAGTACCCATGGCAGCGAGGACCTCGACGTTCCGGCTAACATGGTCTCTCTCAGAATTGGAGATACCAAGAAGGTAATGGCGTATTATGAATGCGCCCTTGTGAATTTCCAACAGGTCAACTGCCGTATGATTGCCAAGGCGTTTATCGGCCTCATCGAGCCGAAAAAGCAAGTGAAACATCCTTACCATCCTTACAATGGAAAGACACCAGCAGGATCCGCTCTTGGCACAAAGAAAGATCCAGAAGCGAGTAAACCCGAGTGGTGGCCCCCGGGTGTCATGCACAAACACATTCGTTTGGTTATCGCCTATCTAGTTGGCCGAGGGACGAAATTTCGTGTGGCAGCCCGCAACTTTAGTGACCTAAAATACACATATGCCGGCGTCTCTGTACGGATTCCCATTATATAGGCCGGAAGATTGCGTGATAAACGGGGCAGTGTCTAATATCTTGGACGTCAGATGGAATGAGTGTGCAACAATACGTCAGATGCGAAGAATATTCTCAAGATCGTCAGTACAACATGTGCTGATATCTTATTGTCGATACAGATCTTCAAACAAGAGGCCTGCTTCATATCTTTCTATATGCAATAATGTCATAGAACACAGATCGATGCATTCCGAATGTGGGAATAAAGTAACCAGACCAACCCAAATCCATATTGGGGTCCTCCAATTCCGGGTAATACAGCCTTTCAATCAAGCAAAGGCGTTGCTGAAGCTCATTTATACTGAATCTAGAAGCTGGTGGGACATCTGCTGCTGGAGGCGGTACCGCTGGAGGTAGAGCCACCGCCACCACCCGCGCCGGAGCCGGAGCTCTTGTTCTCAAAACCACCCTCCTCGGTGTAGTAAGCAGTGGGGGTAGGGTAACAGTAGTATAAGTTGTGGGGTTCAGACATATGGAGATCCAGGCGAGGATACCATCGGGTACGGAGTCGCCGAGTTAGACGTACTCCATGAAGGGGTCGATGGTGTCAGCTTCCTCGGTGAGAAAGGAGTCTTCGGCGTTGGTGGTCAGGTCCTGGGTGTTGATGCTGTATGGGGCGGTCTTCTCGACATCGGCGATGAGGTTCTGGTCAAAGAAGAGTGCCTATGGGGAGCTGACAAGGAATGGAAGAGGGGAGAGGAAAACTCAGTTCTCTAGGAACAACCTTGGAGACAGAAGCAAGTTACATAAATCGCCGGTGGAAGCCTGCCAAACAAGACATCAGGTCAGACGCTGTGTCTCAACAAGTACCAATTACTCTTTGTAATATCACTATTTACCAGATATCCCACAGGCCCGACAGATGGCCGAGTCAGATCGACCTATGGCTGCAATGAAGCTAGTATATCGATAATACAACTAGAGATACTCGGCCCAGTACTTTCAACTTGGATATCATTCCAGTAACACAATGCAGAGTATCAACACAGGCCTATTAATCTCCAATTATCAAGCGATGGAGCGACCCTCTAAACGACGAATGTCTTGTGCGAAAGAAAAAGAAAAACGCATTTTCCACCAAACCCAAACTCCAGAGACTTTAGCCGCCATCGCAAGTCACAACGCAAAAGGACCGAGCTAGTCAATCTAATAAACGAGTGATACCAAATAAACATACCGGAAAGAAAAGAAAACCCGAATTGAAGGTAAAGAAATAAAAGCCATGCATCTCATCTCGTAAACGCCGCAAACCCCTGCTGTACCTATTGTTCGACCTGAAGGTAGACCAAATCTCACACCCTAACCCATCCTCATCATTCTGAGACCGGGGTCATGGGATCCTGAGAGCTCGACATACCCACGGCTGGAAATCGGTCTTTCAGCGCAACCATGAGAGCTGGCTTATCCCAGAGGAAATAAACCTTCTGGTCAGCCCAGTTGGCGCTCTCTGGGCGTAGGGTTATGTCGAAGTGGTAGAGGAGTTTGCAGAGGATCAGGCGGATCTCGCAGTTTGCTAGACTATTAGAGGGAATAAGATATCAGTATTGATTGAGATGATAAAGGGGAAACGACAAGGAACGCAAACGCACTGTTTCCCAAGACAGACGCGCGGCCCGAGGCTAAACGGCTGCAGGACATCTTTCCTATCATTCTCAAAGACCGGGTCTGTGTTCAGCCAGCGCTCTGGCATAAACTTATCCGGGAAGGCGAAGTTGGACTCGGAATGGTAGGAGGCGTAGTGGTGACATGCCACAGCGGTCTATTTGCGATTAGCACGCAGGTTACAATTGTAACATAGTAAAGTGAAACATATATACACACATCCTCAGGGAGAAAATGGCCGTCCACGGCCGCTCCGCCTTGCGGTACGAGGCGCGACAGACTCGTCACAAAGGGCGGGTAGATACGCAGCGACTCCTCGATGACAGCGTTCATGTACTTGAGTTCTTCCACGGCCCGGAAAGTCATGTCACTGTCCCGTTTGAAACTGGAGCGGATCTCGGCGACGAGTCGGCTCATGACGTGGGGAGCTGTACACAAGTAGAAGATGCAGCCGGATAGGAGGGTTGCGGATGTTTCGCTACCTGCCACGATTAGACTGATATTGATTAGCATTAGCACGGTGTATCAAGCTCTCGGTGGAGCAATAGAGAAACGGAACGGGAGAAGCAACTTGGAAGCAACAAAAGTCACGCACATAAAACCATTAGAATGAATCTCAGCCCGAGTCATAATACGCTCGCTCTCGCGATATTGGCCCTTCTCCTCGCTCAGTCCATGCTGGAGAATAGCGGACATAAAGTCCGGACGAGCCATATTCGATTCCAAGCGACGATCGACCTTCTGCGCGCTCAGATCAAAGTGTTCCCGCCCAACGCGCTTGACTTCTCGCGGAAGGAATAAATCCAGGAGGCCCTTGAGCATGGGAAACTGATTTACAACGCCAATATAGGCAAGAGCCTTCATGGAGCTAAAGATCAACTTGATCCATGGGTGAAGCTGGCTGTCCTTTAGGCAGTCGAAGGACTCGCCGAACATCAGGTCGCCGGTGATATCAAAAGTGGTAAAGTTCATCCAACTCTTGATATCGACATTGGATATCCCCTGTCGAATTTGAGACCGCAGTTTGGTGATCAAGGTATCGACATACCCTGTGATAAGACCTTCCTGATCTCTCAAAGCCTTCTCTGAGAAGGCATGGGCTAGCAGCCGTTTCTGTCTTGCGTGGGTCGCATGATCGACCGCACAGACCAAATGATCGACACCATTCGCAGGGGCGATATAGTGGCTCCGATTCTTGGGGAAGCAACCCCCAGGTCTGGGGCCGTAGATATCGCGAAAAGCCTCCGCCGTATTGAAGGCCAACTCATTGGGTCCAAGGCGCAGGATGGGACCATACTTTTTGTGCAGCGCCAGAATGTCTAGGTGGTTATGGCCTCTGATGACGGAGAGATTGGACGGGATGCGAGATATCGCCCATAGCTTTGGGCCGGGGAAATGGCGCAAAGGCGACAAGCAGAAGGCATAGATGATGCTGTAGGTTACCCAGACTAAGAACTGTTGATTGCATGTTGATTAGCGCGGCTTTCTCTGCAAACGCCTGTCAGAGGAAGAAGGAGTAGTTAGATTGCATTGGTCAGAGCTGCTGTGTTTCCTCGGGGAGTTATCTTGGGAAGGACTGAGCTCTACTGTAGGGTTCTTTTCCTGCATGAAACAAACGAGGGTTGGGAGTACGGGTGAATGCAACTTACAAGGCATCCTGCAGCCGCGCCCCAAAACCCAGGGCCTAAGGTTGCCCAAGGTATGGTGAGATTTGAAGTAAAAGAGGTCATAGAGGTCCACAAGGTCATGGACCACCCTGAAGCCATATTTAGTTCAGAGGTCATTTGGCTAGTTTCTTTTCTGGATAGGAATGGGCTTTTGGTAAATGATTCTCTTTTTCCAGATTTCAAAGAGCGATTGGACACTGAACTGAGACCAACAAAAAAAGAGAAAAGAAAATAAAAAGGCTGGGTTGTACCAGTTGCGGTTAGTGGCAGACGTCAAGGTGAGGGATAACATCGGGGCCAGGCGGAAGGAGAAGTTGTAGCACAAACGGGATATCCTTCATTACTTCCGCATCCAAACAAGATAGAACCATATCAAATCTATCTACAATATTCCTTTGACTCCGAACATCCTCGGGAAGATCCTTAGTCAAATTGCCGATTCAACTAGGACTGAGACGGTTTCCGACCGTAAACGACATGCAGCTTGCAGTAAGTATGTACCGCGGGATTCTTGAGATCTTTGCGCACCCCAGCCAGAAAAACCTGAGTATCATTATTCGACCATCCCAGTACACGGGTGAAAAGAGCCAGCGAGTAGGATTCAACCGCCATGAGAAGGGAGCATTGGTTGTACCGACCAATTTCCTTTTGCACGGGATCCCTAGCCCAAACACTCGATGGAACCTAGAAAACAGAACACTTGTCAGTCATAATGGACGAGACAAACAAAAACCAAGACCCAAGTCAATCAGAAGACTGAGTGAGTGGAGGGACAGGGTCGCACCTTGTACACCTCATCTCGAACATCTTCAAAACCAGCCTCAACCAGTCGCTGCCGGTGACCTTCGGCGATATTCATAGGCCGGTGAAATGCCTCGCTGGCCTGAGTCAGTCTTTCAAGAAACTCGCACAACGCTGGCGCAAGACGAATCGAATCATCATCCGACTTCAGCATAACTTCAAACTCCTGTAACTCAACCCATCCACCCGGACGCAGATGCTCGTAGCTCTGGCGCATCAGCCGCGGCCAGTCGGCGATAGCCCCACCCAGATCCCGGGCGTGGATGAAGTCAAAGGGTCGACTTGGGCTGTACAGCCATTGCGATTCGGCGTCGTCCACCACAAAGCGGAGGTTGGGTGGGACCCATGATGGCTGTATGGGACTTAGATCTGTACCTGTTACCTCCGCACTGGGGAAGCTGTCTGCGAAATCGATGGCCCAGATTCCGGTGCCAGTGCCGATATCGAGAACGCGCTGGATGTGGTTGTTCAGTGGGGCTCGGAAGAGCCGACCGTTTAGTACAAGGCTTCGAACGTGGTGGAGGAGATCTTGTCGATCTTGTTCTGGTTCGTCGTTGGGAAGGACGTAGTGGCCTTCTCGGTATGAGTGATAACGTCTTCCATTTTCGTAAGCGTAGTTTTTCACATCGGATAGCAATGAGGCTGTATAGCTGGACGTGTTCTCTGATTGTCCATCATCGAAGACCGAATCAGAATCATCGGTTGTTGATACCACAGATGAGGCGTCTCCATTATCATCATTGTTCTCTGGTGATAAAGAGTATCCAGGCAGAGATGGCGATGATGGAGCGAGGTTAGAAGCATGGTAGCCCACTTCTGGAACGGACGTAGCTGGGCTTATTGGAGACGGTGGCAAAGGATGCAGCATTGAAATATCCCTCGTTGAAGTCGAAACTTCAATATCAGTGGCTGATCTAGGTATCGATGTGTCCAAGGCCTCGCCGTCACTGTCCTCAGTCCTTTCCTCCGGAATTGGGGCCAGTGCAGGCGATAGAAAAATACACTCTTTTCGATGATTGCCATCCGCTTCAATCCCAGAGTCCAGCAACGGAAGCTCAGGTATATCCGGCAAACCAGACGCACGAATTATCGGCGCTGGAATTGAAGAACCGGGCGGCAATCGCCTAGTGAACTCTGGAGCTTCTTGCATTGCCAATTCCATTTGGTCGAAAGTCCGTTTCAACGGGATACGAGGGACTGGCACTGACACAGTCTCCGGACTTGGATTGTCTGGCGTCATTTTCGTGGAATTTGGGACGTAGTCAGACTGCGTCGACATTTCCGGAGAATCAGGATTCCCTGTCACGCCTGGGTATGTGTGAGAGGACAATAGATCGGTACCCAGTTCAATTCTCATGTTGCGTCGCCGGTCATCCAGGCACATGGGATAAATACAAAGGAAGTCAATCATGTCGGGAAGAGGTATCACCTCGAGAGCCAACCTATGCTGTACCGATATTTGACCACACTGAGCAATGAACTACTTGGGAAGGTCCTATGGAAGGAAAAAGCTAAACAGGGAACAAGGTGCTTTAAGCGAGAGAAGTCGAATTCTCATAGAATTGGGCCTTTTACCAGTGTATCACAAGCAATATCAAAAAAGGAAAAGTGCCGGAGTATATGGCCAATTCTAATATTCTACAGGGGGTTGAGACATATTACCAGAATCACGTTTTTGCCAGCAGAAAATCAAGGCCGATGTGTAATTTGGAAGAATATTACAATCTTTTGCTATTCATGGGGAGAAAGTGAGGATATTCATACTCGGTTTGGGATCTCAGCACAACATGATTCCTTGAAGAAGGAGAAGCACATACCCACCCATGTATTACTTTGGATTTGTACATGAACGCAAGTACTCGAAGCTTTGAGGATGTATTACCCTAACATTCAATAAAGGAGCGTGGGATGACTGAGAATGGAGGAGCCGTGGAACAATTCTAGCTGAGGGGCCTTAAGAATCGGCACGGTACACAATATCCTGCCTCCATCATCCCAGCTAAGTCTGAATGAATGTTGTATATCAGTTCACATCTCCGAGGGGTAAAATCATACACTACCTCCCTCCTCGGGGAATAGATACATGGTCTATTTCCATCCTCGCAACAATATGGGAGCTCATTTCTCCGGGATTCAATGTGGGTTTTGTAGGTAGTGATGGGGACAACAAGTTGTCAACACAAGTGGCAGGTTACAAGACAATGCCGTATGTTTGAACGAACGGACTTCAACATTTTAGTAACTCGCTCGGCAGGTCCTATTATCCAAGCCGGGCTGATTGTTGCTTCACCTGAGGGTTGTCAAGTCATCTTGATACATGACAGCTGGCTGGAACGATGATGGACGGAGAGATGAAGAGAAGAAGGATGATATCGTATGAAAAATGGTTATTCGTAGGCTAGCGAGACAGAGAAAGACAATCATGAAGCCCTTTTTATATCGCCGGCGGTAGAAAAGGCGGTAACATGATTTCCTTCTTAAGGAGATTAATGTGGATACATCCATGCAGGAGGCCGAACCCTAGTTGATCTTGAAATCTTTTCTCCAAATACTTTACCTCCATATCCATCGTAGTATTTCATGATGGGTTGTGTACATTCTCCGTCTATTTCCCAAAGCTTGAAGCATGTCACTGCCCAGGTAATCGTGTTGCACAGCGCCAAGGATTAATGCCCGGATTGGATCGGCGGGATTGATATCCTGTCAAGGGTCGGACAAGGTGAGAATAAGATGTGTTCAGCTACCCGATGACCATTCTAAAGAGGTAGTTTGTGCGGTGTTTAATGCTGGTTAGGGGGTTTACTATTATTGGTTGTGTTGAAGTAGACATCATCTACGTGCAGGAAGACCTCACTGAGAGTTGAATTGATTTCTGTAAGCCATACAGTATCTGCAATGCAGTTGCAATCGCAGCTGGAGCATCGGGGTATTATCTCATTCGTCATCATTCATGCGCCCGGATCACCCAAAGTGGAGGGGTCGGTCCTGTCTCCATCAATTAATTCTTACCCTGACCTCGAGGAAACCGTGCAGCCTTTCCTACTCCAGGTACTTCAGTCTTTTCGGGCTTGACCTCCAATCCTGCCTGGAGCACGGCGGCATGTAGAATCCGCCAATGGGCCTCCTGGTTAAATTCGCGTATGCTCTCCAGGGTGGTACGCTGCACCTCCGCCCGTAGGTCGATCTGGTTGGACACTAGCACTCCCTTCTCCAGGTCGATGCGAGCGTTCAGCACACCATCCTGGATGAGACCGACCAGTTCTTGCACAAACGGCGAGGAAATGTCCGTGGGTCGCGCTTCGCCGCCAACGACGGTAGGGGCAAAGATCTTCGCCATGGAGTCGAGTGTGACACGGCTGAAAGGAATCATGTACTGCTCGATGGATTTGGTGCGGATGCGTTTGTACAATTCCGGGATGTGACGCTGAAGGTGGATGTCGAGGAGGTAGTCGGGGCGATAAGCTTCGAGAATGTCAAGGCATTGGCGGAACTTGAAGTTGCAGAAGAAAGTGATAGCGCGGCGGATATGAGGCTCGAGTTCGAGGAAGTTGCGGAACGTCGGGCTGTCAAGTACGTTTTTTCTGCAGCTCGTCACGGTTCATAGAGGCGAGAGAACATAGACCACCATAAACAGCGACATCGTTGGGGGTGACGACTTCGTTGTAGGTGTCGCCCAGCTCCGGCGGGACAGACAAGAAAGAGTTTGCTGCTTCGAGGTATGAGCCTTGGTGCATCTGCGACAGAGCTGAAGCGGCTGAGATTTTGGTTAGGTTTTTGGCTGCGTCCTCTGGCTTTGACTGAGAGTTGCGCAGTCGGTGGACGTTGGACTGAACAGACATCCAGTCACCACGTTCTGTAGCGACGTTGATCATCTTGAATAGCATAGAAGTGATATGGTTCGGGGTAGTGCAGAAGTCCCTCATACGAGAGTAAGCCTTGGAGGCAGCGGTCAGGTCACCAGTCTCGTAATGATGATTGCCCAAATCCTCGTGGCCCATCTATAGAGGTCAGTATCACGCGTATTCCAGCACAATATTTTCACTCCTTACCCGAATACTCTCTTTAATCAAATTGTTTTTATATCCCCGCAGCTCATGTTCCAATCGCTCGGTCTGGGTGTGTACGTATCGATTGGTTTCCTGGACCCAGGCGGCGTCAAGAGAAGCGTCAGGGTCGTTCGGAGCGACCTCCGCCAGTGCGCGGACTGCCCTCTCGTATCTCGAAACGTCTTTGCTGGTTCTAGCTTCGGCGATGGCTGCCTTGAGGGCGTCGGTCGAGAGTAATGGGGAGCATGTGCCGATGAGGTAAAGACGGTCGTAGCGGGTGCGCCCTGGCCATGTGTTAGAATAAAACCTCTGCCGAGGACAAGAAATCTCACTCACCAGTGTAGTTTGCAATGTAAGTATCAAGGTCGAATTTGGGAGGCTCTGCCAAATTAAGCCTGTCAGCTGTATCCGGGCACAACATCATGGCGGAGATAGCCGCGCCGGGGGTAACAAACCTTCCACTTTCACAAGTACCCTTGCTCCGGGGGTAGTAACAGCTGTAGTAGCGTCCAGAGCTGCAGCATCCATATCTGCCCGAGATGGACCAGAAGCATCTGGAAGCGTCGAATCCATGTTGTCGAGCTGCTTAAATGATGGATTGCGGGGAAAAGTGGGACTAACAAATTACCCCAGCAAACTAGGGCTTGATTAACAAGCTAGACTTTTGGTGAAGGAAGACAGTAACCAATTTTAACTCTAAGAACAATACGCTGCTTGGGGTAGAGCGCACGAGAGGTGGGTGACAATCAGTCGATCATTGTGATGGGTGAATAATTGTCTGGCAGGATCTGACCGCCCGCGACACCGCCATCCAGGGGTTCCTTCCATGAACACAATGGACGCAACTACATAAGGGTCTACATATATAGGGATGGGACAAAAGAGAATTTAATTCTCTGAGAGCAATTCGAACTTCTTCAGTATCTTCTTTAATAATCTTAAAGACCCGAAAGCCCAAAGGATGACCTGGAAAACTAGATGCCGCTCGATTTGTCACAGTATGTGTCCATTGGGCAGGTTAATTGTATTAACATGCTATCGGGGAGGTCTTCTAACCATCAAGAAGTATAGGATGGAAAAATTAAGTCTATTGAAGACTACACCTTTATTCATGGAGTTGGATATTAAATCTGATGTCTGAGGCACTTAAGAATCCACGGACTCCAGGGTTACCTCGGAACTTGAGTAATCAGGAAATTAAGCATCGTCATCCTTTCGGCTATATAAAAGCCGCCCGCCGAATTTCTTGATTACAACCCTTGTCTTTGCCAACTGAATAACCAGATATATAATCAACAGAACTTAGCATTCAGTAATCACAAGTACCGAAGTATATATATAACGAGCATAACGGAACGTCAGTCAATCGACCACACAATTTCTACGAACACAACCACAACCGAACCACAAAACAGACCAAAGTCCTCAATATGTCTCAAAACCAACAAGTCGCCTTGATAATAGGCGCATCACGGGGAATCGGGCGTCAAATCGCCGTCGACCTAGCAAAGTACGGCTATTCTGGTACAGACCACATGCATCCCACATGTGTCAATATCATCAATACTAACCCCAAACAATAGTAATGCTATCTGCGAAAACAACATCAGACGCATCAAAAGTGACCCCATTCCCACCCGACCCAAACTCATCACAGTCCACCATCAACACCGTAGAACGCGAAATCCGTGAAGCGGGTGGACGCGCAGCAACGGTCGCCGTTGACGTGCGCGACGCAGCGCAGATCCAGCATGCCGTCGAGGAGACAGTGCGGGTCTTCGGGAAGCTCGATGTGCTCGTGTACAACTCCGGTGCGATCTGGTGGTCTTCTGTTGAGAATACGCCTCTCAAGCGGTTCAAGCTTATGCAGCAGGTGAACCCCGAGGGACTTTATGCGACTGTTCAGGCTGCTTTGCCTTTCTTTGAAAAAGCAGGCTGGAAAGGTCGCATTGTTGTTGTTTCGCCGCCTATTTATTCCAGGTTCTTTAGGGGGAAGACTGCTTATGCGATGGGTGAGTTTGTGTCTGATCCGTGGGGGTTGGAGGCCGGGGTTGGTATGGAGTGTGTTTGATTCAATGTGCTAATATGTGATGTCGTATGTAGGCAAAGTTGGAATGAGTGTCTTGGTTAAAGGCCTGGCTATGGACTTTGTGCGTCAAGGCCGAAATGAAATGGCGGTGACAAGTATTTGGCCTGCATCGGTATGTGTCATGGTCATGATTTTATCCTGAGCTGGAGTCTGTGGGCGGATTGCTGACTGCATTACTTTTCAGTCGATTGAGTCAGCAGCTACAGAGCACAATAAGGGATCCGATGCATCCTACAAAAAGGATATGAGAAAGCCGGTATGTCCACTATTGGACATCTCATACCATCAACCTTTTTGGGTCAATACTGACACGCTGCAACAGACAATATTCTCAGACGCTGTTCTTGCTATGCTTCGTGCCCCACACAAAGTAGTGAACGGCCTGCTGGATACAGATGAGGACTTCCTCCGGAAGAAATGTGGAGTGTCTGACTTTTCCAAATACTCTGTAATCCCAGGATCGACGCCGAGGCGGATTATGCCCGACAACTTCCCAGTACTGGAGGTTGCGGAGCAAGACGATGAAGGGAAGCGAATGGATAGCACGACGGTACGGGCAAAGATGTAATTTGGTGAGGGGTCAGAGGCCAATTGAACTCGTCGCTCATGCAGGCCCAGAAATGAGGCTTGTGTACTTGGAAACTTGAGAATGTAAATAACCCATGTATGCATTAAATAGGGCTGCGTAACGTTCTATAACAAGATACACTACCAATGTAGGCAATGTTAAAAGAAGCTGTAATGAACGAGTGGCCAGCAACATATTACTCCGCAAACTCACGAACAAAAAAAGAAAACAGACGCTCAATGCTAATGCAGCCGGATAATGCAAACCCAAAAAGCAATAAAAGACTAGCCAATATTAGTAAAGCACGAGCAAGAACCTCAACTCCAAGTTTCATTATCCAAATAGTCAACTTGGCCTTGAATCATAGCCCCCAGAGCGAACCAACCAAGAAATAGACCCTTACACTCTACAAGAGAGTAGCAAAGCCGGCAACAAACCCACCAACCAAAACACAAAGTCCATAGACATGACCCATATCAACCGAGGCCATGCGCGGAGCAGCAGCAGTAGCCCCATTGACAAGAGTATTGACAGGGGTCTCTGATGCAGTAGCAGTAGTAGCTTTGGCGGTAGTAGTCACATTAACACGCTTTGGATCCTGCGCTCCACAGGGGTTCTTTACTCTGCAGTCATTCTGGCAAGTGGAGTCACCGTTGCATTTCAGAACACATTGACTGTTGGTTTCCGTACAGGTGTAGTAGGGGATTGTTTGGGAATATTCGCTGGCGTTGGGGGTTACATTGTTGCTGCATAGGCAGTAGTAGAGTAGTGTGTCCTGAGGGTTTGAGGTTAGCTGAGACTTCCTATCTCCGTAAGGTAATGTTAAGTGATGGACTTACAGGTGAGCAGGTGTTTGACGTTGGTGTACCTGAAGCTCCTGGGAGTTGTAGGCAGAGGATGGGACACGCAGATGTTTGGGAGTTACACCAGGCCTCTGAGGGAAGGATGACATGTTAGTGTAATGATTTTATGTAAATAGTGAGATGATGTAGGACAACAACTGACCTCTTGTAGCATAGGGAACTGACTTCGGGTCAAATTGGCTGTTGACTAGAGTGGCAGCCGAAGCGAGAATGAACATGGTCATGGACAGCATCGTGTCGGTTGAGCCTGATGATAATGAACGAAATGAGAGACTGGCAACTGGCAGCTACTTAATTTGAGTGTTAGCCTTTTTATCGTCAAGAATCCCGGTGACAGTCTGATACTCGCTCTAGAGCCGAGATATAGAGATAGCGATAGCTATCTAGGGTAGATGGAATGAAGGGGGAAAAACTGTGTTAGAACTAGGATAATAACTTACTGAGCTTGAAATTCTAGATTCTTTCCAGAACAAGGCGAGGAATGAAGAGAAATGGTGCCGTTAGATGATGATCTAAAGCCAATAGCGAGAGATTGTTCTTTGAAGACGTAAATATGTAGGAGTACAAGTAGCTCGAGGAGAAAGAAAAAGTAGCCAGCAAGGGAGGAGTGGGGAGCTCATAAAGGAAAAAAAAGCAATCACAGGACTATATCTGCCTATGTATAGAATGCACTAGTTGGTTTGCATGGTGGCTGGCACTAGTGCCACCCTCGCAGTTGTACCGCAGCCGATTTCTTTCTTTTTTTCCTTTTTTTTGGTAAGCCTAATGTATACTGCCAAGTGAGTGTAGTAGTGAGATCCATTCCCTAGGAAGTGAGGTGTGGATTTATTGAACGAAGGGTCCGCTATAGGGGTTTGCCCTTGAGATGTGTCGATCCGGGGATATCTCGATGATCTCCAAGTGAAGCGACGTTTGTCCTTCCCAGGTGGACAGCTCACTGTGTGTCACATCTGTCATCCATACCCCGGTCTCCACTTCAAAAGATATGACAGCACTTTTCAAAGATAGTAAAGTGGCATGTCTCAGCCTGAGTTGAGACAATTAAAGATTAGAGGACGACGATCAATCATCCAAGTAACGCTTACTATATTGGGATTAGTGTGCAGCTTGGCTTTAAGTAGTCTGATGGAACCTTGAGAGAGTCAAGTTCAAGTTCAAAAGCAGACAAATTTGAAATTCTGGTCGTATCTGAGATCTTAGGGAGGAAACACAATCCAAAAATGTCAATGTCAATCAAAACGGAAATGGACATTTCCCCGACATCTCCATATCTGCCCAGCCTTAGCTAAGCCACTAACCCCAAACCAGCCACAGCCCGTGACCGCCGTTTGTCTCAAATTGACTCCAATTGAATTTCTCAACTCCAACACTTGATCTCCATACTTTACAATCCACTATCTTGCCACCGCATACAGTTCCCAAGGTTAGTCTGTCTCACCTCGTATCGCCTGTACAACCCCTCCCCGAAGTCCAATCCATGCTTGCGCATCAACCTTGTCCAAAATAACCCAATTCCCTCCGGTACTTGCCACCCCGCATAAGGGGACCCTCATCGGGACCATCCCCGACCCCCGCCACACTCACACCCAAATGCATTAAACCTCAACAGCAACGCTAACAAAACGCACTACCCACCAAACAGAACCACCGACACCAATATCGCTCACAACATCTAATGGATGGAGCCAGCACCCGAGGAGGCCGGACCGGCATCTAAGCCACACCCCTTCTCCCCACACCCAGAAACCCATCCCTTCCCCGCACTCCAACCCACCACCGACACCGATACTGATACAGACAACATCCATACCAATCCCCCGCGACAAACACCAACAGCCAAAATGGCCCGCCACACAGCTCCGCCTCTTCAACCTCCACAACATCCCGCCCTCTCTCCGCAGTAGTACCCCCCTACTGGCGGCGACACGAGCGCAACGCCTCGCACGCCTCACAGTCATCGCTGAACGTCGCAGCGCATATCACCCTCGAAGACCATACCGCTGACCCGAACTCGGAGACGAGTCGCGGGCTGTGGGCGAGTAGCGTTGCGATTGATGATCATGTTGTCGTGCGCGGTATGACTGGGGTTGGGTCGTATGTTGTGTGGAATTGTACGGTTCAGACACTTGATGTGAGTTTTGGATCCTGGAAGGGAATGTGCTTGGAACGGTGTTTCTAAGACTGCTGGTTTGGTTTAGGGTGGCCCGATTGTTGTTCGGATGAGGTGTGTTGCTTATATATACCCTTTCTTTTCCTTTTTCCGTCTCCGTCTCTGTTCTGGGTTAAGAGAATGTTCAGCTGATATTTGGATTTGCTATAGATATTCCGAGTTTGATGATTTGCGTCAGCGGCTGGTTGATTCTTTCCCGCATGCAAGGAGTGCATTGCCTGCATTGCCGCCGAAAAGCGTTATCTGTATGTCCATGTGGCTCTGCTCCTCCCTTTTATATTGCTATCCCATTGGCTAATGTCGAATGTCAATTCATGGTAGATAAATTCCGACCCAAATTCCTGGAATCAAGACGTGTGGGCTTGGAATATTTTCTCAAGTGGGTGTCTCATCGCATCTACATGATTACCATCCTTTCATTCTCTAGACCAACCACTGACTCCCTTCCAGCTGTGTCCTTTTAAACCCAGAGTTCTCGGGTTCCCCTATCGTCAAAGACTTCCTTTTCGGTCGTATGTCTTGATTGAATTGTCTCGTCTTCACTCGGTGATGCTGGATAGGTTACATGGCCGGGGCGTTTAGGGGTCAAATTTTGCATTGTATTGTACATCATAATTCACATATCGCGGTGATACTGGTACTGAAAGCAAGCTCGAGTATGAATGCCTCCAATTACTCGGTACTGGAGAAGTCTCTTTCACCTATTCCTACATATTCTCCAAGTGAGACTTCGCTATACAGAAAAGAGCCAAACTTAAATAACCATGGTTACCCAGCAAGCAAACACCAAATAGTGAGAAGCACAATGATACAGATATAATCGAACAAGGAATTTCCAAGAGAACCGAACAATGACGCCACTAAAGTACAAAGGTCCCAGCAAGAACACCGGGGCAAGCAAGTAGAAAAGAGCGCCATGGGTATGGTGTAGTGTCCAGGACCGCTAGGATAGCAACAAAGAAACGAGAAGATATTTAACGTACACAAGGCGCGGATAATGCAAGGACGTCCTCCTCAAACTCTTTACCCTTATCGGTCTGTTCCGCCGGACCCTCCTTCTTACCACCTGCCTTCAACTTCCGAGTCGACACAAAAGCCTCAACATCCGCCCGGAACACCTTCCGCAAACTGATATTAGCCATATGGGTCATAGCGAGGACATGTCGGGGACCGGGTATGCCAGATGGGAAAACTAAATAAAGAGCCGACTCCTGATCGGGATCGGGATGGAATTTATCATGGTATGCCTTCTTGCCGCCGATGGGCAGACGGTGGAACGCATGACCGTACAGGCGGCGTGTGAAATTCTTACAGGCCCGTGGCATGCCGTTAACATCTTCGCTGGTGAGTGATTGGAGTGGCTCCACGCCGAGGCCGAGGTATGTGACGCCGGCACGTCGGAGGATCGCCATGGCCATGACGAGGAGAAGATCGCTGATTCCACTCACGCTGCCTGGGGATGCGATGCAAGGGTCAACATGGTATCCGTTGTCGCTGAGGCGTCGAAGACCGGCGAAACCGTTGATTGTTCCGTCTGGGGCGCGGGTGTAGATGAATGTCATCAGGGAGGGGACAGCAAAGGGGTCGTAGACGGTTATGAAGGCTTGTGGGCTGGCGGAGGCGTTGCGCTCGGCACGCCAGGTATCGTATATGGTGATTAGGTTGGTTTGTAGTTCTTGGTTTATGCCATGCACGGCAGGGGCGTACACGCCCATGGTGATGCCGCCTTTGTTTTTGTTTGTAAGTTGACGGTTTTTGGTCAAGATTCGTTTTCCGCCGTTCTCGAGGACGACTGCGTTTGTCTGAGGGTTGAGTACACGTTCTGTGGCGAAACGGATGGTTGTCCAGCCGTTTGGTTTGGCGTGGTCGTTGATGAAGGACTCGCTGGCGCCCATGAATGCTATGCCCAAGTTATGTCGGTGACGGTAGGCTGCAAATTCCGACAGGAGCTCGGGGATTTCCTCTTTGTTGCATAATGGATCTCCGCCGATGACTGCAACTCCGTTCCGGGGCTTAAATGACAATGCTGCTGTTCTTGTTTTGTTCATGAAAAATCGGTAGCTGTGATCGAGAATTCCCATGTGTGCCACTCTGCCATGCAGTGCAGCTATCTGTTGGATGGCTGTGATTGTTTTGAAATCGTCGAGTCCGAACACCGCGTCTTGGTCTCGACTTTCGGTTCTCGCCGGAAAGGAATCTTCGGTTTGGTCGAGGACATCGGCCTTCGATGATACTTGTAAGGGAGCGACTGAGGGTTCATGACTGTTTACACTCGTCGCCGGGCTGGATTGGGGCATTGTGTGGAAGGTTGCTGAACTAGAACAGGAAGAGGCCGCGGGACGTGCTGCGATGTGTGCTGCGATGTTGTTGCGCAAGTGGTCAATAAGAGACAGTGAGGAGGCACCGACATTATCATCATCGTTGTTGCGTTTGGGCACCTCGTAGAGCAGCTGGTCAACTAGGGCGTCTCCGATCTCATCCACCAATAAGGTCTTTTTCGGTTCCATCACGACCGGAGCCGGAGTGTTCCCCTTTTTGCACGGCGTGCACGCTTCTTCTTGGTCATTGTGGTTTCGTGAGATTCCGTAGGTGCGGTCATGATGATGACAGGGACACTTCTGGGCGCAAGAGACTCAGACTGAGAATGAAAGAACAGGATGGTAAACAAGAAGTCAACAAAGAATCAAAAATAACCAAATCAAGATTTGTCGGGGTCATGAAGATTCGTCGGGGTCAACGAAATGGCGACAGACACCGCACTTGCCCCGACGTTGGGTACATCTGGTAAGCAGTACCTAGGTAGGTACACCCGTGGACCAACACCCTGATTAGGCAGAGGCATTTTCCAGAGTTCCAAGGCTCCAGTGTTACCATGGCAGACCCTCTACCTAATTAGGGGGTATAGATGAAGTTCACCAATGACAATCCACCAATGCTGTGATCGACTGGTACCTTCCAGCCTTGTGGGTCTCCGTTTGGCCTATCAGAGAAGAGGTTTGACGCAAAGAAAAAGCTTGAAATGTGAAGAAAATGGAATGAATTAAAAGAAAATACTTGAACTTAGGGATTTATTGTTCCTGAGATCTAAAGTTCCAGGATATCTCTTGTCTCCGCCTTCACAACGTGACCAGGAATCAATACAACATAGATACCTAGGTGCACGGGGGTCTCACCTCTTATATGCCTGTATCATATCCGTTCTGGCCTTCACTGAACCCTTGTCATGTGGGCCTCTTCTCCGGCGTAATGGAACGCCACCCAACCACGAAGCCACGCAGGCGACTAGACATCGTGGAGTTGTTTGAAACGTGGGGCCCGAAGACTAACTGTATCCCAATTTAGGGGTGATGAAAGTGTACATGGTTGTGGTCAGGATCATGTATATGTCCACGTACAACGTAGAAATATATATAGCCTATCGCATGTCCTAATTCTTCTTTTCTTTTCAAAGGACGGTGTAATACGTATGTATATACGTAATTTATCAATTAATGAATGCAGTTTTTCTATTGGTATAAATATAGCAAACAATATAATATGTTTTATTATAATTCGACAAGTGGAGTTGGGCCAGACAGTCGCCCGGGCGCCGCGGACACCTCGGGGGCCGCCGGACCCGGTGCTTACTAAGGGATGATCAGTGGACCTAAGCTTTACCCCCCCGGACCCTAGCGCCCGACCTACGATAAACAGTGAAGACAATGATGAGAGAAGAACTACAGACTCCAATTTCTTTTACAGGTATCTCTTGTCTCCCTCAAAACATGGCCAGGAACAAAAACCGCACGCAGCTCTCACCTGTTATATGCCCTCGTCTTATTTGTGTCGTGTTAGACGTGGAAGATGCGACATGAAACAAAAAGCCTCCTCTTGATCCCTTCTTTAAACCGCTGAAGCTATTTCACAGGAATTAAAAGACTGGGACGTGAAGAAAACAACGGCCATGTGTGTATATCTGACTTCCCTAGGTCAAGAGTAACGGGCCGTCTCACTCACTCAGTCTGTAGGAATCGGCTGTCTCCCCTTGTATCTACCTGAATACACTGAGCTGGCCAACCAGCATACAGAGATTGGAAGTTAGACAAGTGTCCTTAGGGTAATCACGGCATCATCAAGTACATGGAATAAAGAAATTTCATGGAAAGAGACAAAGAGACGGGTATCGTCAAGTTTTAAGACCGCTTGAAATGGGCCACACATAAATACGCAGCGTAGGTCTTGATCAGCACAAGCATTCCATGTCGAAATCACAAAAGTTCATCTCAAGACGTGACAAACATAAGAAACCCGGCAAAGAAAGACAGAAAAAGACAAAGCAGGCAACTAATAAACCCCAGTAAAGCGACCATGGGCAGAAGAGTCATCCCCATCACCTTCACCATCGTTCTCATCATAATCGCTCATCCACAGAAGATCAGTGTAGCTCAAAAGCTCATCCAGATCAGTAAGCTCGCTAAGCTCGCTGGAAGAATCATCGTGGGATTCCTCGCTATTGATGCGTCTCAGATCCGCCAAAACCTCCCTCTGCTGCCTCAGCATGTTGTTGGCCAAAATAAGAACACGGGCCGTGAGATCAACGCAACACTGCATGTCTTCAATCTGAAGGTCGGTGCGCACGCCTAGCATGGAATCCTATGTTGTTTCAATTAGTATGTCTATTCCCTAATGAAGAGACTCTAAGTACTGACAATGTGATCGATCCAGAATTGTCCAAGCATGACATTCGGAGCTTCAGGAAGGTAGGGTGGGTGACGGTGCACGATTTGGGAGACAACACAGTTGCGATGGTGCTGGACACGTCTCGAGCTGCTTTCTTCCCAATTGCCTTGCGCAGTGGCCTGGGGGCGGGCAGGTTGGATGTCCTCATGCGTGTTCTCGTGTTTGTGTTCCGTGATGTCTTCGATGGTCTCAACAGTCGGTCCCTCTGTTTCAACAGTGGGTGGCTCGTTGGCGGGTGCAGTGGCAGATTCAGTAGCAGCGGCAGCAGCTATATCGATAGTATCCTGGGTCTCCGGGGTGGCATGGGGGTTTTCCTCCTCCCTTTCTTTGTCTCCACTTCGGTCACTGCCGTTAGGCTCAGAAACCACACCGTTAGAAACCATGATGGTATGTATACAGTGCGGGAGAAATCAGGGTTCGCAAAATGAGGGAGAGATGAGGGTGACAACAAAACATGAGGGTGACAACAAAACGGCGACCGAGACCGGACTCAACGAGGTAAGCGCTCCAAGGTGCGGGACAAGCCCCAAGGGATGGTTCCTTTTTATCACATCGTACCTTTCGGGTGGTGTTCACAGAATTAGGATGCACTATGATCGCAAGACAATGCACCTGAACTGATTGTCGTTCTTTTGTTAATATACTTCTGATTGGTTGACTACTTCATACGCTAGCCCTAGAATGACTAGCGTACTTATACATGCGCTAATCCAATTTAAGAAATTGACATGCCGCATCAACATGTCTGCCCACGCGTGTCTTACATCTCTTTTTCTAACATTCACCTTCACTTCACTTATTATATTCCTGTATTTTTACAATAAAGCAACAAAATGATTACAAGTCGCCCCGCTACTCTGGCCGATATCCCGCAAGTTCGGGATATCAATCACTGGTACATTGTTAACAGCTGTTCCACTTTTGCGACTACCCCACCACCGATATCCCACTACGAGGATATCCTGCGGGATCTGATGAGAAGAAACCTGCCGTTTTATGTGATTGTGTCTGACACACGGAAGACACCAGACGGAGCAGATCTGATCCTTGGCTATGCTTATTTGTCTCCGTTCCGAGGTCATTTGCTGTCATATGCACCGACCGTTGAGCTGTCCATCTTCATGCGCTATGACCAGCAGCAATATGGTTATGGGACGATTATTCTTAGAAAGCTTTTTGCGTCTGGTGCAGGAGGGTGAAATTGAACACCGCTGTGAGGAACGAGTGGGTGATATTCCACGCATTGGATTTGGTAGCTCTATGGGTGTCATGAAGACCTCTCTTGTTCGGAATATCATTGCAATCATACCATATGACACTGAGGCTCCAAGTGATGGAGAGAGACTGAGGCAATGGTGCATGAAATGGGGATTCATTGAGAAAGGGCAATTGGAGAACGTTGGGAGAAAAATGGGTCATTGGTGAGTCGATTATTATATGGTAGGTCTAATGGACTTGTCCAGCTGATAGGGTTTTACAGGATTGATACTGTCTATCTTCAATGGACAATGCCAGAGGAAATGGATATTCAGTGACTTGGGATTCAGCGAGCATTATCTACTAGGTCAATGGACAAAAAAGGAACTTGAGCACAGATGAAAGTGGGATTCATATTCAAGGCCTAGGCTAGTGGGCTTTCCCGGGTATAACAAATGAATGGCCTATGGCCCACGTAGCCCTCCACATCGCCATGGTAGTCCCTGCCCCCCTCCCCTTCAGGAGGACAGCCAATGGCGCCGACGCTGTAAGGTAAAAGTGAGAGATTAGTAAACGATCATGCATTGAGAAGTGAGAAGGAACTCACATATCTCCATCCTTCTAAGTGCGCTTCTCGAGCGCGTCAAGGATGGCGGCGAGGTGGCCGCGGAACTGCTCGCAACTTGTGTCCTGGGTTCGGAGCTCGTAGTGGATGATGTTGCAGAGCTCCGGCACCTCCTCCTGGACCTCAAGAAGGATCATGTGAGTGGCGGCGAACCAGTTGAACATCGGATCGAATTGGGCGCAGACCATGGCCTGGGCGCCCCAGGCGGATAAGTAGCCGTAAAGGCTGTCGAATTGGCATGGTTCCATGGCAAAAAGGTGGCGGAACTGCTCGGCTGTGGTGTTGTTTTCCTCCTTGAACTGCAAGTCCCGAATACTGTCGTACACGTCGTGTGCGAACTGAAGGTCAGGGTGCATAGATAGAACGATGCCGGCGGTGGTTTCCCCCACACCAGACAGCAACCACTGACCAACGAAGCGGGACCATTTCAGCCAGTTCTCATAGTAGAGGTGGTTGCGGGCGGGAAGCTTGATCTCCTTGCTAATGACACCCAAGAGACTGAGGTTTGCAAGGGCGAGCTGAACCTCGCGCAACCAGTGCTTCAAACCCCAGACAGTGGAAGGGTCGTTGAGGGTGAGAATGTTGATGGGTTGGAAAGGTGGCAGCTGGTCTGCCTGAGTTGGAGTAGGGGTGAACATCGTGTAGATGGATGGGGGTGAAGAGATGGTGGAACAGAAGAATGATGGAACAGAACAATGATGGGACTTGAATGAAAGAGTGGTTGATAAGGATGGAAGGAAAGATGTGAAGATGCGAAGACGCAAGATGCGAAGATGCAAAGGAAGAGAGAGACGAGGGTATGAAAGAAAATTCTGGCTGTGGGAGGTGCGAAGCGAGGCTTTATAGGACGCGCCAGGGGGGTGCGAAGCGAGGCCTTATAGGACGCGCCAGGGCTTGAACCAGCACATCAGCTATCGGATTTCCCATCACCGATAACAACGGTATCATTCGTTCCTTCTTCTCTGGCTCTCTGGACAGTTGCAGAATATCTCTTTCCTGCAATGAGCCACCACGCAAGTTCAATGCCCAGGAATCCCCCCACAACAACACAGGTATAGTTCATGTTCGATACTGGGCGATGGTTAGTACAATGCTCATGCAAGCCCTAGATTAATCATCTGAAGTTGCAACACATACCAGTTACAGGCATCTGGTACGGAAACGAGAAAAAGACGATGGCGAACAGCAGCCAAGCCACAGAGACGATGTTCACCGTCATGCCTATTGTCTGGCCCATGAAGAACGGGCCACGGTGCATGGTCCGACGGAACAAGAGCACATTTGTCAGGATAGGCACAAGGTATGCCAGGTTATTGATTGTCCTTTATGCACGTCAGTTCTGACCTTTTTCACACTGCTTTGTAGTATCCGGAACACATACACAGCGGAGCTCATCATCGAATTGAACGCCGTGGTGGATCCCAAGTATATGCAGCCAAGAAGGGCGACAATGACGCTAACGCAGAGCTGTGCGTTGAATGGAGAGCCCAATTTAGGGTTGACGCGCGCCCATACCCTTGACAAAGGCAAACCCTCATCGCGGGCAAAGGCCCAGAATATGCGTCCAGTACCTGTCGAAGTCAGACGGAGGTTCATATTCGATAACAAAAAGGCAATACTCACTCAACTGGGAACCAATAACGCAAGGCCCAAGGGCGATCCATACCATGAACACCAGGCCAAAGGCTCCACCTCTTGTAGAGGTTGCCTGCCAAAAGAGTTCGGCGAGAGGAAGTCCAGTGTGTGTGTCAGCCAAGCTGCCATAGTTCTGAACTGAAAACATGAGGCTGAGAAGATATGACAGGCCCGTCACAAAGGCAATCGATAGGGTTATAGCTGTTCACGCATACAGTTAGCTTTGACCTTCAATGCAAGCAACACTGCGACCGAGCGAACCTAGACCCAAGGGAGCATTTCTTCCGGGCTATGAACCATTGGTCAGTACAATGCACATGGTTCTTTCTTTATGATCGGCCTCAACTTACATTGGGCATTTCCTCTGTGATGTGCTATATGGCATGGTCAGTCTCTGAATTCGCCTGTACGGCTTGGCAATGGGTATAACTGACCGATATGCCATCCAGACCTCCAAGTGAGTACATTGGGTTCACAAGGCCTGTGATGAAGCAGATAACATTGTTGTCCCAGCCTGTTTCATTGATCCAGGTACGAAACACGAACTTGCTGTCATTGTGAAGGGGCGCTTTGGCGGCGACGACAACCATGGTGATGAACCAGGCCAGTTGAAGGTATACCACTGACGGCCATTAGTTATTGAACCACACAGGAAGAGAAGAAGAGCAGACCCACATGAGAACTTGTTGATTGTTGGAATAAGCCGATTGCCAAACATAACCACACTAGCGGTGAGGATGTTAAGGATCTGATATGCGACAAAAGTCATCCATGGTTGAACCACCAGGCCGTCATGGTAAAGAGCAATCAGCGCCATGGCCGTTGTGGCATAGATCAAATTGGTTGATGCAGTTGTGAAGATCCCTTGGCTTCGTCAGCTGCATGCCAAGCCCTGGAGGCTTCCGATGTGGGGACTGGACCACTCACATCCGAATACAGTGCACCAGCCTGTGGCAAAGCTGAGCAGACTGTTGTATCGTTTGGGAGCAATGGCAGCAATCCAATGATACATTCCCCCTTCTGTCGGATAGGCTGATACAAATTCTGCGAGTGAAGCGCCGACGAAGGATTGAAGGATAAAAACGAGGATGAAGCCATATATGACTGAAGCTTGGTTATTTGCTGGCTGCTTTGCGATCCATATGGAATGGAAACTCACGGGCGCCAGGTCCACCTGCATTGATTGCGGTTATTAAGCCCAAGCCGAGGCCTATCATCATGTGAGTCGGGTGTTGAGCCAGAATGTGAACCGAACTGACCTGTCCACGAAATAGTACAATTCGCCGCCAGTCCGATCAAACTCCAAAGAGAGAAATGTCGGTCCAATTCCTGTTTATGCCCTGTGTCACGGTCAATACCATATCTCCTGGCATCTCGGAATGGAAAACTTACCCATCTGGGCCAACCGCAGCTCATCCTCATTCTGTACCTGGATAAGCGCAGTGCCTTTGCCATCTCCAACCCTCCCGACCGGGGCAGAGGCAGATATAATCTCAGGGCCGCTCATAATGGACGCAGAAACTCAGAATCGTGTATCGCTCACAGTAAGAGGTGAGTGTCACGGAAAAGAGAGGAAAGGGGGGATTCAGGTGGATATTAAATCCCGCGCAATGCCTGAACTAAGTACGATCATGTTACCTCGCATGATGATCCTCCAGCTCTTATCGCAACACGGGAAAACCGAAGGATTCACCGGATTCACCGACAAGATAGCCGAAAAGGCGACGTATGAGAATGTCGAATTACGCCAAGACGCGGTGCGCCCCGCCGGCGATCAAGAGCTTCGCCGGTTAAAAACGTGGGGATAGCGGGGAAGCTGCTCGCATGTCTGATTTATGCACACCCCCATTATGCTTGGCAAAGTATAAGCTTGCGCTAAGACTTTTGACGTGACATGCTGCCTTGGATGAATGGGTTGATGCATGGGACAATATGGGGAAGGCCGTGAGGAACCATGAGGTCGCGCACAATCAATGAGGTATCATAAGGTTAACGACATCATCTACAGGCGACGACATCAGCTGAAAGAGTTTCTCAACTGGCTTTCCCTGCCCTAAATCATGCGAGGTATATGTAAGTGATCAATGGACTTACTTGCCACGTAAACTAATACACACTTACAGGCACTGCAACTGCAACTGCAACTGTGCTGTTTTGGATTGAATGATTGAATGGATGGATACATGAGAGATTTCAAGTGTTGCGGAAGATTCTACAAATGGGTTTGACGGACGACACGACATAATTGACGACTCAAAAGTTGACCCGACGACATAATCGACATCATTCAACATCGTGACATGTATAAGCCACAATACCTGTATGTACATAGTATGTACATAGTATTTACAGAAGAATACAAAGTACATACTATGTAACCAGATGTCTATATGCATAGTAATTATTTGATACCATCCAATTAAATGAAGTACATATGTATATACCACACGGATACGGTGAAAATACGGTAGTCTTGGCGAACGAGATGAGATGTTTCTTTTTCATTTTCTTCATTTTCTTCCTTTTCTTCATTTTCTTCCTTTTCTTTCATCCCGAATTGTTATTTCTTGTGAATGTGCTGATCGGCGATCTGCGACCAGAAAAGCCTCTAAGGATGTCTAAGGATAAATTATGGACGTGCAGATCTCCAAAAAAAATTAAATTCCAATCTCCAATATCGACCAAACTGTCATTTGTGAGGCAGGAAATCCCATTTTGGGGGACTTGAACTTCAGATTGATCAGATTGTCAGATCGGGACCTGGAAATTGGTCTCTGCCGATCAGTTCCCATCTACGGGGAAGAGTTGACTCTCGTTTCACCAGAACCATGGGCGACGACATCCAAAGACGAAAAAAATTGCCGGTCGGCCTGGTGGGCTGGCGATTTAATCCTGAATGATCCCCCTTTGTTCTCTCTAAAAGACCTGAAGCGGTCTGAACATAAATCAATCAGGATTCCCAGCACTCGCTTCAAATAGTCAAGAGTTAGACCGCCATGGAACCCCCGAGCATCCCAGATAATCGTCCTTACAGGCGACATTCCGCCATGTCTTCTACACCCACTATGGTCGAGCTAGATGACTTTGGCGCACGGTTCAAAATCTCGGCCCGCAATTCCTCGCGTTCGCACTCCCTGGGGCAAACATATGCACCTCTGGCGTTTGGTCAGCCCGCCATTGGAAGACCACATATGGGACCGCAAGAGCGCTGGATGTCTAAATTGAATGTCAGTGAGAATAGCGAGCAGTCTGGCCGCAAACCCTCTGTCGACCAAGCATCGGTCGCAGATTCAACAGCGACCCTAGATCTAGGCTACCACATCATCGGCCAGCCATCACGGCACGAAAAGCACCCCTCAACGTCAACAGGCCATCAAACATTTGACCAGAGATCTCTCAGCACCCTCTCCCTGGACCAACAGTCCATCGGAAACCAATCGCTAGGTCACCATTCTATAGTGGGGCCATCGGGTGGCTATCTCGCGTAAGGCCCAAGACTCTCTCTCCCAATCGCCAAGATTCCTCGCTAACAATGCAGATCGATCTCTTCATTGACCCGTGATCTACACTCATCTGCGTCCAACAGATCGGTACAACGCGATTTTGTTACCAATGAATTCCCGATTCTTCGGCAGACAAATTCTAACGAGGATTCTGAGCAATTCAACCCCACGTTTGAAAAAAATGGAGACGCTTTTGATCTGGTCGCTCCATACAAGGGCGATGAAACCCCACAACATACCCTAGAGCGACAATCAGACCTCATGTTCTGCTCGGACCATATGCTCGCGATTCTGAGAAATCCACGCTCCCTCACGCGCTTTCGCGAGTTCCTCGCCCAGGAGCGTCCCGGCTCAATTTCGACACTGACTTACTATCTAAATGCTTCCAAAGCCCTGAAAGCAATTCAATATGCGAATGCGCTCATTCGTCAGTCTATTGATATACCTACATCCGGAATTCAAACAGCAAAGCACCCCGTTGGTCCGACTGCAAATATTGCCCTTGAACAGCGTGTACAGGTAGCTCTGGATGCTCTGACCGCTGAGGAATTACCTGCGTTTATTACTTCTACGTTCATCAACATTACCGGCAAGGTGGTCGAGGGCCATGTACGCGGAATGCTGCCTGATATGTCCAAGGGAACGGCAGATGCACTGGGTGAGGTGTTCTGTCTCACCGATCCATCGCGGCCAGATAACCCTGTTATTTTTGCTTCTGGGGGTATGCATACGTGTGCTTCATATCGTTCACGGAAATTGTCTAACCCACTACCTAGAATTTCACCGCACCACACAATATGACATGGACTACGTTCTCGGACGAAACTGTCGATTCTTACAAGGGCCGAAGACAAATCGCAACAGTGTTCGACGAATCCGAGAAGCCGTCAAAGCTGGGCGACACCATTCCGAGCTTTTCCTGAACTAGTAAATACCTTCAACCTATTTCACTCTACAAAGCTAATCCAAGACAGCCGTCGGGATGGCTCACCGTTCATAAACCTCCTCCAAGTGGCTCCGCTATGCGACAGTCGCGGTAACGTCCGCTACTTCCTCGGCGCTCAAATCGACGTCTCTGGTCTCGTAATGGAAGGCGCTCAGATGGAATCCCTCCAAGACATGCAAGCGCAAAAGGAAAGCACAAAGACGGGCGGCCAAACAATCAAAGAATCGAAAAGCGAGTTCCAAGAACTAAGCGAACTCCTCAGTCCACGCGAGCTACAGAACGTACGCGAGCATGGCGGAAACCTATTCCAGCCGATCATCAACGAAGATTCCAATCACCGTCTATTCTTCCAAGACTCCGACACCGAGAGCGAGATCCACTCCCCATCCCAGGAGCCACAGAACCCCACGCCCCGCCCAGCTCCAAGTCTATCCTTGACCGGTGTCTACAAAAAGGTGAGTCCTTCATTATCCCCATACCCAGATATATATATCGAAAAACTAACGAAAACCAAACCAGTACCTCCTCGTCCGCCCATATCCATCTCTCAGAATCCTCTTCACTTCCCCCTCCCTCCAAATCCCAGGCATGGTCCAATCATCACTCCTAAACCGCATCGGGGAGACAGGCACAAAGCGAGATAATATACTCAACGCCATGATCGCTGGAAGAAGTGTCACGGCGCGTGTGAAGTGGATGACCAAATTCAATAACCAGGGCCGTCATCGCTGGATACACTGTACCCCATTGCTAGCGGATAACGGCGAGATTGGTGTCTGGATGGTTGTTGTTATTGATGATGATGATGACGAACGTCCGGTTACATCGCAGGGTAATTGGCCGACTGTTATTAGTTAGTGTGCCCTGATAAAGGTTTTGTATATGTATACTACAGTAAATATATTGTGATCTCCATGAAATTGAACTCGTCGGTGTCTCCGATGCCAATTTATTTGAGTTCCAACTAGGGTTAGAAGGCGTTAGACTTTATATAAGTTAGTGGATAGCTTAAATGAGCCGGTTGGGTTCCTAATTGGGCCATAAGTTCCTGATGAGGTGTGATATTCCTACTTGTACATACTTTGCACACCCCCATATGTTACTTGGAATGAGATGACAAAGGACCACACAGTACACGACACCGACCGATAGAGTGAGAGCGGACATAGACCTGGCCAACCCATCGGATGTCATGGGGTGCTTTCGGACAATCCGACAAGCGCCACGCCACGATCATGAGAAGCGAGTAGGACACCCCGACAAAGCACACAGCACAATGTCGTCGGCTGCGGCATCTCCGCTATCCAAGAACGAAAATAAAACCTGATATGGAGAGCCAATACCCTGGCATGAACGAGGAGTGGAATGAGGTTTTTAAGACTCGAGATTGTGCACCGGCTAGAGCCACCGTTGGTGTCAGGGAGCTTCCTGATCCTCGGATGATTGTTGAGGTCAAGGTTGTTGCTGTCGTCGATTTCTAGATGGGGGAAGACGAAGAGAAATCATATTGAGATGGGTCTCTGAGGCCTGTCTCCCCGTTGGTGCTAGGTAGATCTTTTGTCTCTTTGTTTCATGGTGATCTATCAAAGACCCTTTTGTCCCATGGTCCTCGTCATTACATGTTTAACAATTCTGTACGGAGTACATAATAATGTGTTGGTATTCTCGCATTTAGGATATATGTCTGAGGGGTACAAATTCCATCAACAGACCCTAAATGAAACGCTGTATCAATGGTATGTAGATTGGCTTTCGTGGTTTACACAGCGAGTCAAGTAATATCACATCGGACCTTCCGACAACCCACACACCCTTGGGGGAAGCACTAAGACCGATCTATATAAACCGATTTTATGTTTCCGTGGCCGGCTTCCAGCTAGCTTGACCTTTAGTCACGTCGCTCTCAAGTGCCACAGGATCATTGTCGTGGCATTGTCCGGCAATGGCGAATCATCAAGTCCATCCAATATGGCCACCTTCCCCCAATCTCCGAACTACACAGACTGCGTTCGCGCTCAGCACCAGTTAATCAGTTCGCACCTAAACATCCCAGCAATCGATGTGGTGGTTGGTTTCTCCATGGGAGGTCAGTGCTCTTACTACTGGACTCTGATGTACCCGGAGTTAGTCGCGAACGCGGTCATCATATGCTCCTCGGCTCGTACCAGCCGGCAGAACTACCAGTTTCTCGAGGGACCGAAGGCTGCGCTGGAATATGCCGCTGACTACCGGAAGGGAGATAACAACACAACGTCTTCACGGCCGCTGGGTGGGTTACGGGCTTTTGGAAAAGCGTACTCGGCGTGGTTGACAAGCCCGGAGTGGTTTGAGAACGAGATGTATAAGTCCTTGGGATACGAGACACTGAGCCATTGGGATGAGGAGGTGGCTGGGACGAACTACTACAACTGGTATCCTGATGACTTGCTTGCCATGCTAGGCATGTGGCAGAGAGGCGATGTCACTTCGATATTGGGAGATGCATCTGTTCAAGAAGCGTTATCACGGATCAAAGCGCGTGTTCTGGTTATGCAGCGCGTGTTCTGGTTATGCAGCGCGTGTTCTGATTATGCAGCGCGTGTTCTGGCTATGCAGCGCGTGTTTTGGTTATGCAGCGCGTTTTTGGTTATGCAGCGCGTGTTCTGGCTATGCAGCGCGTGTTCTGGTTATGCAGCGCGTGTTCTGGTTATGCCGTGTTCGACAGATCAGTACTTCCGTTGGGAAGCATCCGAGAAGGACTCGCGTGTCATTCCTCATTCAACATTCAAGGTCGTACCATCTGCATGGGGCCATCTGGCTGGATTGGGTTGTAATGCAGCGGACAAAGACTTCATGGATCAGGCGATTGCCGAATTTTTGGGGGACAATGGATAAATGCGCTAGTATAGTGATGGGAAGACAGGAGAAGAGAGAGGGAGAGCAAGGCAACTGTATTCCTGGTGCTAACTGCTGCTGCTAAGGAAGAGGGGGAAAGACGAAGAGGGAGAGGAGACAGGGTCAGGTAACACCCATCCCAACACACAGGACTGGCTCCGAACCCCAAGCTCACTTCTTCTGAAAGGAAAAACCCTTATTGGACTTTGTCGTTGGTAGGTATGGCCATCTTCGTCTCTCAACTCCTCGTTGTCGTATCCGATGATCGATCCTTGATGATAATATAGAACTAGTACTAGCATTAGTATTGGCGTTAGCACCGGTATTGGCACTTACTCTGGCTCTGACACTTACTCTGTGTCACTTTTAGCACTCGCGCTAGCTCTCACTGTAGCTCTCGCTCTCGCTATTATTCCAAATTGGTGGTTGTGTGGTGTCAAGGGTGCATTTTCTTATAGACGACTGGGTGAATGCTGACAATTCACATGGTGCGTTATTAGCTCACATTCCCACCGTCTCATGCTAAGGTTTGCTCCTTTGCCTTTGAACATAAAGAGGATGAAAGGACGGCTTTATGTGAGACAATAGAATCCAGGGAAAGACGAGGATTGGGACCAGTTGCCGTTACCACGGCTAGTGATGCAGCGGACAAACTGCAAACCTAGATCGAATGGGGTGTCATATTAGCGTGATCCATAAAAAAAAAAAAAAGACTTTGGCGGCGCGAAACGAACGGTAGACCAAAAGATAAAAAGAAGAGGAGGCGAATTGAGAACGGCACAAAACCTAACGGTATAGGGCTCTATTGGGTATAGGGCACTATACCGCTAGGTCTTTGTGCCATTCCCAACTCGATATAATGCATCTTAACGTGATTGATATACTACCTTTTGCCGTGATCTATTAAAAAAAAAAAAGAAATTAGCGGCGCGAAACGAACGGTAGACCAAAGACAAAAAGAAGAGGAGGCGAATTGAGAACGGCACAAAACCTAACGGTATAGGGCTCTATTGGGTATAGGGCACTATACCGCTAGGTCTTTGTGCCATTCCCAACTCGACATAAGGCATCTTAACGTGATTGATATACTACCTTCGAAGGTATTTCGTGACAGGAAGTCCTACACAACCTCGGTAGCGTGAAAACTTCGAAAACGTGAGGTGGACAGGTGGACGGGACTCGCTAACTTGCCGTCGAAATCAGTCATCTTGACTGGCTGTATATGTCGAGAAACTGGTTGTGGATCTTGAGGAAGATGAGTCCGCAGTCGTGTGCGGAAGAGTAAGGTGCTCTTCGCCTTAATATGCTCAGGACAGGTCCGTTATGGGGTGCTGGGTCGCCGGGGTGCCGGGGGTAGCTAAGGTATAGTACCCTAGCTTGATGAAATCGATAAACAGAAGGTGCTCGGGACGAGCAAGAGCTCATAATCTGATGGGAAGCTAGGATAAGAGAGAGAGAGCAATGCAACTGTATTCGTAAATGCTAAGGAAGAAGGGGAAAAGAGGAAGAGGAAGAGGAGACTAGTTAGAGTCCTGTCACACAGAGTCAGGTGACACACCCAACCCAGCATATAGATCTATATTATAGAGAGTAGTAAAGCTGGTATTCGCTATCGATTGAGAACTATGCAAAAGAACGGAGAGAGGGAGTAAATTATCTACAAATAGCTACAGCCTGTGTACTGTCTACATGAGTGACCTGAAGCTACACAACAAAAAGACTTATTTCCTACCATCCACCGTGGTCTTCAATACCTCTCGTCCTCGTTCAAATAAAGCCGCAGCCTCAATCAGCTGTTCATCAGCCCAACGCCTTGTCACAATCTGCGTACCTACAGGCAGCGGGACATCCGGATGACATTCGGCAGTGGAGAAACCACGAGGGACGTTCAAGGCGGGATGGCCAGTAACATTAAAAGGACAAGTATTCCTGGTCAGGCCAACGGCGACATCAAGTCTATCCAGGACCGAGGCCCGTCTCCCATCAGGACCATTCGGATCCGGGTGTATCATCGCGACTGTGGGCGCACAAGGCGTGATGAGGACATCTAAATGCTCAAGGGCGGAATCGTAGGCGGCTCTGAGAGCGAAGACCATGCGATGCGCCTTGGCCTCCAACCCTGCCTTGGACAACTGCCTAGCCAACTTCTCGCTCAGCATGATGTTGACTACAGATGGGTTGTGTTTCCTGGGAGGGAGGCCATTTGGTCTGCGCATGCGGCGACAGGAAGGAAAGGTGGCCGGAGGGGTTGCCCTCGCACAAGTAACTCGACATGGACGGTCTGGTGGCTGCTGTCCAGATTGCCGGACCTTCCTGGTGCATTGGGATAGAAACCTCGACAACACAGGCCCCTATAGCCTCAAAGTATCGTGTTGCTGTCTGATAGACGATGTCTCGCACGTCGGCAGCAACCCCGGGGATGTGGAAAGATTCCTTCAGCAGGCCAACCCTCAGCTTGTGACCAGGGTTCAATTTCGATTGGATCTCTTGCCTCGCCTGGAGCAGTAGTTTTAGGTAAGGCTTGACCCGATGTACCAAAGGGGTTTCTGGAGTCATCCGCGGGTCGTAGCCATCGTAGCCTGCCATGACCTCTAACAGCACAGCAACGTCCTCAAGCTCGGCCTCCAGCGGCCCCATGTGGTCGATCATGGGCGACATAGACCCTGCGCCAGTGTAGGGGACTAAACCAAAGGTAGGCTTCAGCCGTAGATGCCATTGTAAGAAGCTGGGATTCGTACCGACCCGGCTTGGTCGGTGCCAATAGCCAACTCCACGGTTTGGCCGCTTGGTGAGAAGCCCCCTCTCGATGCCAGTTGATGAGCCGCAACTAGCACTGCGGAGCTGCTGCTGCTCCCGCCGGCCGTGTAGTTGTGCAAAAGCGGATTATGGACTGGCCCTGTGGCCGAGGTGAAGGACAAGGGCGAGGCACAAAAGCTTTCGCAGGTTGACGTGCCTTTGATGATGCCTCCGGCTTCAAGAATCCGCGACACCACTACTGCATCGATAGGAGAGATGGGGTACCCATTGCCCTCCGGAAATAGTGACTGGTGCAGGCCAAGGGTTGTCGGTAGCCCTGCAACAGATATGTTATCCTTGACAGCAACGGTACGTCCACCCAGTAGCTTGCTAGTCGGAGACGCGGATTTTATATCACATTGGTGACTCCAGCCGTTGAAGGGGTTGTCTTTCGATGCTGGTTGCCAAAAGATGCGATCTTCTAGCGTCTTTTGTGGAAGCAAGTCTGGCGCGATGTAGTCTGGTGCATTGTCGATGCTTCTCAGGACTGCCTCGAGCGACCTTAATAGAACAAGGTAATCCTCAGCATCCTTGTCATCCAGACTCTCAACGTGGAGTTGGGCTGCCAGAGCCCCTAAGTAGTTTTCATTTATATTTGAGCTATGCAGGTTGTTAGTGTTAGGATTGTCCAAGTTCATGTACAGTTCTTGCTTACCCTACACCGTCCGAGATCGATACGATGGAGATTGTGGTGGTAACTTCATCGAGCTGGGAGAAGACCTGTAGTATTGGGTAGTATGGTTGCCGTTTCAGTAACGGTGTTGATGTATCGATGACTGATGTCTTGGGTGTGTCGGTCGATCCGATGGAGGTTGGTTGCCATCGGACATGCCGTCTTCCCGGATATCGAGACATCCAACAGAGTCAGGGCAGGGTCGCATTTCTCTGGTGTTATATCTCTTTCCGCTTTGCATTGCTATCATGTCATTCAGCGCTGCTTTGAACCTAACTGTCCGTTTTTAATATGCATTTCCTTGACCGTATAACTACCAATGGCTTGGTGTTTGATTGAAGACTTAACAGAGAGATCCACGGAGTTGCGATGCAGAGATGCAGAAACAACACGGTAGGATTAGTCTGAATGTGGACGGAGAGGAGAAGGAAAGAAGGAGAGAAGGAGAGAGAGAGAGACAACACAAAGTGGACCTGTGGTTCCATATGCCTCAGGCACCTAGGCACCCAACAAGACTAACAACAGAACACTATAGTTATATAACTACACGAACTATCGTCAAAGCTCTAGTCATGCTCAATAGTACAAATCACAGTCAAATCAACGTTAATGGACTTGCAGTAAAGCTAGATACGAAATAGGGTGTTTACATGACCGATATCTCTCCATATATTGCGTAAAGTGATTCCATTCTCTGTACGTATTATCCCTTTACTCTTGACCATTGGCAAGCAGAATACGGCCCCCGTCAACACAAAGTGATGTTCCATCCACATACGCCTAGATACGGCATTAGCAGTGCTCCAGCGCTGTACAGTCACCTCCAACAACCCTGGATAAACTTACTCCTGCACGGCTGACGATATATAAGATAGTCCCCGCAATATCGTCCACAGTTCCCGCTCTCTTGGCAGGGACCTTGTCGAAAAGGCACTGAAGAGGTTTCCTTCCTCCCCGACAGGGTTCATGCGGCTTGGAACAACTGTATCAATCAGTAACTGGGTCCATTCATATGTGTTATCATAGCTCCCTGTTTCACTCACATCCTGGGTTGATTCCCACGACTCGTACATAGAAGCGGCTGAACTTGGCTGCCAGCAGTTTGACTAAGTGATCAGTTGCGGCTTTGCTCGTTGCATAACTCGTCAGGTCTACATTTGTCGCGTTGTGCATGCTTGCGCATGAACTAGTCATAACCACCACTCCGCGACTCTCCCTTCGACCGAGCCCGCCACCGGGCAGTTCAAACTAAAGGTAGAAAAGCCACAGAAAGGAAGTAGTGCGCTGTGGTGTTGACGCGGAATGTGTCAGCCCAGTCCGAGTGTCGCGAGGACCACATTGAAGCCTGCAGCTCGGACAAAGACGCCTTCAACACATTTCATTGGACAGGTGGGTCTCGTCTTATTCCGGCGTTGGAAATGAGCATGTCAACGTGTTTTTTCTCGATGGCCGATCTGAGAGGCCAGATCTTGGATGGCTTGCTTGTCGGAAACATCGCTGGGGATTCTGGGATTGATAGTTAATAGCGTGTTGGTGGTTTTGGGTGTTGAGCTTGTTATCATTTGAACTTACCCATATGCAGATCCTCCAACTTCCTCTCCAAGTTCGTTGAGTTCGGACACCCTTTCGTCAATGGGATCATCTGGTAAAGAAACGAGGTACACTTTGGCGCCGTTTGCCACAAGTCCCTATTATGACAACGTTAGCTGTCATGAGAAACAGCATAAAGAATTCGGAATTGCAATCTCAAGTCAGCCTGCGAAAATGAACTTACTTTGGCAATCATAAAGCCGAGTCCACTGCTGCCTCCTGTCACAACTGCTACATACCCCTTCACCCCGAACAGGCTATCAGTAACAAGAGAAGACATATTTACAAGATAGTGGAACGGCTTTGTTATGATAGTGCTTTGTTAATCGACGGACGCAAAGAAATGTTGCACTTCGGCGATTTTAACAGGGCTTTGCCAAGCGCTACATTGCCCGTCGGACTCACTGACGAGTATCGGGGATCAGACTCAAGGGTGCAGTAACCTCCATGGGCCACTCTTAAGTGTGGTATTATAATGCGGTTATGGCGAGCCTAATCTCATGGTTTTACTCTCATAGTGGGACTAAGCAATTCATTCTACATCCTGCATCGCATAAGTTACTCACATAAATAATGATATTGTCCATAGCTAAGTCCTGGAACACATTCTGTACATTTCAAGGCTTCAGGTCCACACCGAGGACATCGGTCCAAACAGTATTACTCTTTGTAATGCTCTCTGGTCCTCTCCTCGGCGAGATCCAAGCACTGGGCCGTCATGGCCGTATCACGAGGAATGAGTTTGATCTTAAATTCCCTGGGAATGGCAACCAGGGCCGTCTTGAACTGATTATACTCAACATAGTCGGTGTTGGGAGGGTTATCGTTGCTCGCTACGATCTTGTAGGACGATATAATCCTTACTAATGCGGAGTACAAGAGGCGAGAAGCGATGTACTGCCCTGAGCAAGCACGAGAACCAGTCCCGAAGCTCAAATGACCCAGGCCGCTGCTTTCCACCTCAGTGGGAGGGCTGAGAGACTTGAGCCACCGCTCAGGGTTAAAACTTCCAGCGTCGGGACCAAAATGATCGACATCTGCGGGCGTTAGTCTTTCCTATAATAACCGATATAATGTATTTTCTGCGGATCACTCACCATGGTTACCCGCTTGCGCGTTGATTAAGATCATAGTCTTAGGGGGGGATGATTGCTCCATTCCAGTTAACCTCGGACACTGTCTTTCGGGGAAGGCTCATAGAACTGACGGTGTAGTATCGGCCAGCCTCCTTGACAATCGCGTTGATGTAGGGGATTGTCTCCTCTTTAAAGCATCCAGTCCAGGCATCTTGAGTGACAGGGTAGTGTCGCTTGATATCTTCGTAGGCCCGATCCTGCCATGCCTGTCCTTCCTCGGTAGACGGAGATCCAATGCACGAGGTCAACGTCCCGAGAATAATCTCGAACCCTCCAGAGACTAGGGACAGGCAGATTGAAGAGACCTCGACACCAGATAGTTTGGTCTCCTGGTCTTTGAGAATAGCAGCAGAGATACAAGGCTTGTCTGTACCATTCTTGATCATCTCACGGACTTTGTTCAAGAGGAGGTCCAGATAGGTGTCGCGTCGTTCCCGGAGGTCTTTTGAACAGGCGGTCTTCTCGTTGCTGGGAACATACCGAAGGGCAGGGATGTAGTCCTGCAGGTTCTCGGAGGCGCTGCGTAATAGGGAAATAGACGATCCCACGTGAAGAATCTCGCGGAGCAGATCGTCGTAGACAGCGTCCATGCGAATACCATAGCAGAGCGTCAGAGTTGTGTTGAGCGCGTATCGCTGGATATACGGCCGAATGTCAATCTCTATCTGACCATCGCGACTGTCCTTTTTCATATCTCGCAGGATGCAGTAGCTCTCTAGGTCAAACATGGCGTAGTAGTCCCTCACGGCAGGGCGACCCAGAGCGATACCGGCGGCCTTGCATTTCTTCTTGCAGGACTCATACCAGGGCGAAGATCCAATGGTAAATCCCTGGGTGCTGCTGATTACGCCGTGAAAGGTGTAGAGCTTGGGGCGGTCAATGACTGCATTTTGGTTGCCGAGGAGCATCTTCTTGCAGTCATCGAACGAGTTGACAACGACGGCTCTGGTGTTGCCCAGCTTGATCTGAAAGACAGAGTGGTTGTATTGGCGCCACCTTTTTTCAAAAACTGAAGCATGATCCTCGCCAAGTTTGAGAAGATGTCCAAACACGGGAACAGCGCCAGGGATTTCTGGCATGCCCTTGATGTGAGGAATGTCGGTAGCATACATAATCTGTCGATATTGTCAGCTAATGACCATTCAACTACCAGCACTGACTATCCCGAAAATTGACCCGAAGACAACTTACAGTGTAGAGCACGTAGGTAAGCACCGCCACCACCACTGCCGTGAAGACTGGCCCAGCATGCTCCTGTTCTCTAAGTTGGTGTGATAGATATCCCAGCCAATTGCTGCCTCCATGGGTCTTGGACTCCATATTGGATAGATATGTAAAGTGTCAGGTACAGTTGCAAGACTGGGAATAAAAAGGAATGTGTGAATGTTGGCCGGTCGTCGAATGATTTATCCCTTAATGAGAAATATTACAAAACACCCATGTTCCATATATATCCTCATCCAGAGAAGTCTCTACGTCCCCCTCAGCTGAATTAATCAATCCGAAGATCTTTTAAAGCGGCTGGTCCGATAGTTACATTCTTTACCCCACTCAAGCTTATGGAGATATCACAGCGGCACTGCCGACGAACTATGCACCTCAGGTATTCGCGTTACCTGGCAAAATGTCGTGTTACATGAATCAGTATATATTTGCCGAAAGGCTTTGATAGCAGATATCAAGCGCCCACGACAAACCTGGTCGATTCTATGTCATGCGTATCATCCCAGCTGCCAAACGGGTTACAATACAGTGGTGAATAAGCACAGACTTGGAGTCAACGATAGACACTTTAGTGTTAGGTAAACACTGTTGGCACAGCAAAAATCACTTTTGGCACAGGAGTCTAACCCAATTAGGTATGGAATACCTCGGCGGTCATTTTCAGTCTAAGTGTTATTTATTATGGTATCGCCATAGTAAAAAACACAGCCCCTGAATCACCCCAGCCACAAAGTACTTCATGATCTACTCCATGGTCCGCTCCATACTCGGCCCCATATTAATTCCCCATAATGATGCTCCTATAATAATGCACCCATTAAATCACGTGATCATGATGTCTTTACCAGATATAGATCACGTGATTCTAGTGCTAGGTATAGATCATATGATTATGGTGCTACGTATAGATCACGTGATCATAGTGCCAGATATAGATCATGTGATTCTAGTGCTAGGTATAGATCATGTGATTATTGTGCTAGATATAGACCACGTGATTCTAGTGCTAGGTATAGATCATGTGATTATGGTGCCAGATATAGATCATGTGATCATAGTGCCAGATATAGATCATGTGATTATGGTGCGAGGTATAGATCATGTGATTATGGTGCCAGATATAGATCATGTGATTATTGTGCTAGATATAGACCACGTGATTCTAGTGCTAGGTATAGATCATGTGATTATGGTGCCAGATATAGATCATGTGATTATGGTGCTACGTATAGATCACGTGATCATAGTGCCAGATATAGATCATGTGATTCTAGTGCTAGGTATAGATCACGTGATTATGGTGCTAGGTATAGATCATGTGATTATGGTGCCAGATACAGATCATGTGATCATAGTGCTAGGTATAGATCATGTGATTATGGTGCCAGATATAGATCATGTGATCATAGTGCCAGATATAGATCATGTGATTATGGTGCTAGGTATAGATCACGTGATCAAGGTGCCTTTACATAGTGCTAGATATATATATAGTGGTAGTCGGAAGCAATTAGTCTTATATATACAATCTATCCATAGGATAGATAGGTAGGCCTATAACATTGCCAAGCTACTCTTATAGATAAGAAATAGTATATTGAGCCTTTCAGATTCATCAATGGTATACCTGATGATCTAGCTACCATCACGCGGTAGTTGATCAAGTAGTGCCTAGATAGCAGTATGTGACCTAAGCCTTGCTACCTGCCAACGTTGTTTCATATTGTCTATATCTCTCTTTGTTATACAACTGGGTTGATCGGTAGGCTGGGTAGATATCCGACGGGAATTTAGGATAAATCGGTTTGGAAGGTCTTGTTGAATCAAGCTAATGATCTCTGGTCGATTTTGTCTGATCTCTCGCTGCCGGTGCGCCGTCCACGTTGAAGGTGGTGATCCTGGGTGGTTATGACTAGAACTAATAATAGTTATAGTATAACGGCCAGTAAGGGGATCACGACGAAGTTTACCAGCGAAAGGGCAACTCGTAGCAAGGTGTACCGTCTTCCGGATCTTCTCCGTACGCCGATCGTTGTATGGCTTGCTACGCTGGCAATGGAACCATACAGTGGGTATAAACCCCTTTTTGTTGGTATAGGACGACTTTTTGGAGACGGCATACCCCTGTACTGCGGCCCAGTCACCCATCCAGTCCATAGCTTCTTGTATATCCTGGAACGATCGATTTGTGGGCGGCGGAAGCATAGACCATCGGCTATCATCGGCGGCAGGGAGGTTGACGGCGGCAGGCAGGTTGATGCCATTATCGGTGGCAGGGAGGTTGATGGCGGCAGGCAGGTTGATGATGGCATCATCGGTGGTAGGCATGTTGATGGAGCAAGTGGGGAAAATGCAGAAGAAGAACTGTGGGAGCAACCTAATGTGTCGCTGTCCTGGCTTATATGACACTCAACTCTTCCTCGGCGAAGTATTTGCACCCCAGTACTTCCGCTATTGACCGCCTTTCTTTACCGCCTACCTATTCCTACTAGTATAAACTATACACGACGTGCGCGCACACTCAATAAGAGGTTATAACCGGCAGAAAAGAAGTGGAACCCTAATTTCCAAAGTACCAGGGTTCAAATACTCATGCAACATGACTGTACGTGGTGTATTTTACTATGGCGATACCATAATAAATAACACTTAGGCTGAAAAATGGGTGCCAAAACAGCCCTTACTTAATTGGGTTAGACCACTGTCCCAATAGCGAAATCGCTGTCCCAACAGTATCTTACATACAAAATTAAGTCACTTTTGTCCCATAGATCAGATCACATAAATTGATGATCTAATTCTAGTTTACATGCATTGGGGGGGGGTTGGCTGTATCAATCCCCATATTTTATTTGTTAGACTTTAGTTAAACGCTATACAAAGCGGCTTAATAGCGCGCAGCTTCTAGAAATCTATTTAGAAGCTCATCATCATCATCTGAATTGATTTCCTCCATTGGACTTTTGCCTCCATAGACAAAAGTCCAATGGGGCCTCGAATCTTCAAGAGTACAGTGGCTGAATGAGTGGTTCAATGGCACCGCGACTAGCATATATTGATCGAACTTTGTAGTGAATAACAATTTTACTTGGGACGGATCTGCTGTATCACCCAAGGGAGTCGATCGTGTCTTAGTATAACATGACCTAACCCGGATTAACGACTATTACATCTATGATATATGTTTACTCGGGGCCCTCAGGCTTCCGTTTTGCTATCACGGTGATAAACCTTCACTCGACTGGGCCACTCCAACCAAGGTTGGAATGTTTTCTATTTGAATTGTCTTTGCTGGAAATACAGCAAGCTGTTTGGACTGCGTAGGGTCCTTCAGAGGCCCGCCCTTCCTATGTCGTCCAGAGTGTTGATGAGTGGGCGCCAGGGGGTGTGCTTGCCTTATCCCTCGGTGACGCTTGTCTTCATACCGCAGCTAAGCCTGACGTCTAAGACTAGGAGAGTGTGAACGGGCCTATCGCGTACAGCGCATTTGTGGAATCCAAGTCGTTGTTATTAGGGACGTATGTATGGTACAAGATTGCTCCAAATCTAAAAAAATGTTGGATACACTTGCCTATTTCAATTTGTTTCATTAAACTATACACATCAATAACGCGAGAAATGAACGCCGAAAGAGTCAAAACCCAACCGACCATGACCGATTACCAATTCATAACCATCAACACCTTCCCGATTGAACAGGCCCATAATCTAAACTGTCTTTCCCGTTGGGGGACCGAGATACCACTTCGTAAAAGCCTTGTAAGCCATCGATGTGGTTTCCTCACCCGAGAAGTCGTAAAGATCAGAACAGCGCAGAATAAGGCTTTCACCCTCAAAGTAGGACTCCAACAAGCGTGCACGCTTCCCGATAAACGAGACAATCATGATCTACAGGATACCCAGTCAGCAACCACGAAGTCGAATAGTGAATGGCAATAACCAAGACTTACTGGTGCGACATGATGATGAAGCAACCGCACCTTTCTCAGCTGGGTCAGCATTAGACGGAGGATGATCAATAACTCTCCGCGGCACACTTTGTTACCCTCGGTCTCTAGGCTGTTCCATGTGGCTGCTTTCATATGTGGGAATGCTGGTCCGGTAGCGTCCCTGATTCTGAAAACACCAAAATCGGGCTTGTCATACCCGTGCAGACTCTTGAAAGTGTTGTATTCGATAACACTGTCGAGTAATATTAGGAACTGGAAACGGATATGACAATATATATCAAAATAGGAATAGGTAATACTTACGGCATTGAACGCCATGGGTTGTCGTTTGAATGTTCCGTCCAGCAAAGTTGAAAAGCATAAACGCTCCATTGCGCTTCAGAGTGATGCGCTCGGGACATTGCAGTTGAATAATCTGTATCATTTGCATCATCGACCACTTCACGGATCAGCTTGTCACTAGGTTGCGGGAGGTTGTGTATCGGCGCGAAAAAGCGGGGGTTAAGGTCTGAGTCTTCGTTGAGAGTCATAGGCTGGCGCTTGATGTTCAATTTGTCAAGTTGGGACGCGTCAAGTGTATGCAGTTCCAGTTTGTCGATTTCAGCCTCGAGCTTGATCAGAGTCTTACGCTGCTTCAAATGGGGCTTTGACTCTGTGGGGGTTGAATTTGAAGACATGTTTATGTTTGGTAATGTTATGGGTAGTGATGGCTTGAATGGGATTTTCAGAGGTTGGAAGTTTGGATCGTAGCTGGGATGTGAGGGGTTTTATGTTGGAGGATATCCACTGCAGGATTTGTAGGCTGCAATGGAAGAGGAAGGAATGAATTCCAAACGGAGTGGATAGGACTTTTAATCGGATTAACCAGATGTGAAAGTGATGTTGTGGATGTTGTGGATGTGGAGTTGCCGCGCGACACGCCAAGACTTAGCGGCTATAATTGGACTAGCCGTAAACAGCAACTGACAGTGTCGATCACAACTATCACAACAACTGACTGCATTTGGAATAACTCCGCGTTGTACTCCGCGTTGTACTCTGCGTTGTACTCCGTACAATCTGTTGTATTTAGCGATGGAAAATAAAAATAGCTAAATAAAAAACAATGATAATTCCTAATTGGGCACATGAAGCGCCAGCCACATCACATCACACATCACAAAGATGCATTGAGAACCAACCCCTCTTGAATAGCCGCTCTGTCTCAAACAGCATGCGGCCACATCAGCGGCTGAATACATAACTAACTATGTATTCTCATGTACTCCGTACAATGTACATATGTACGGAGTAGAGCTATGAGTCAAGCGGGAAGGCAGAGGATCAACTAATTTTAGCCTGTTAAGCGCCTTGTACACGTGGATCCCAATATCAATGGCTAAAGGTGTACAGTCCAAGAAACTATCACATTAACCGCCGACTCTCGTGAGTAGAAAACCTTCAATCATAAAAAGCCCATTTTCCCGCACCTTCCAAAATCTAACCAAAAGTCAGCACACTTTGTCGAGGAAGGAACTCTACAACAAGGTCATGTGAGCTCCCAGTGTTTGCTCCCAGTAATGTTAGCCCCCACCTAGTAGAGATGGTTCTTCTCTTCTCTCTATTTCTCTCTGCGCAATTCAAGACTTTCCTGTTAATCTTTACTGCTCTCTCTAAGAAACTCATATCGACCCAACTCTAATTCTACCTCGGTATTATTAACGATGTCAAATACCCATCCCAAGGCGGAGGAGGAAGCCCCTGCGTTTCCTCGAGCCTGGCGCAGTATGGTGGAAAGGCTTGAGACTGGGGACACAACTATCCACAGTGCAGAGCTTGCGTCTGCTTCAAGATTTGGAGTCAAGCAATTTCTACTGCTACGGGTGCTGTGGAGAATATACCAACCAAGTCAAATCATTCACGTGGCGGACATGCATAAGTGGGTAGCACAGGCTACCGAAATGCTTGATGGATATAAGTCATGGAACAAATACTGTGATAGTATTGGATCCGCATCCACCCCCGAAGGAACATTCGCAATAGCACGATACTACCAGCGTGAAGTCGCAAGGACCGAAGAAAAGATTGACCCTCAAGCTTTTGACACACCCATTTCATCTCGAACACGTGGCGGGGTGAAGCGGATCGACAAGGGTGTGGCTGGTCTTAGCCTAGGCCCTCCCGAGACTCCCACGAAGAAAGGGCCCGCACATTTGGCCAGCACATCGGCGAGGTCACTTCTCAACGACAATGACGACAGTGACGACGAATACGAAGAGGACAGTGAAATACTTGGTTTGGAAGATGAGTCAAGCCCAAGCACAATCGCAAGCCCGAGTCCAATCCGCTTGGTTACTCCCATCACACGAGAGCTAGCGAACATTTTGTACCCTCCAACAAAGGATGAGCAAATCGTGAATACTGCACTGATAGTATTCCTCAATGCTCTTACCATCCACTTCCCTCTCTCTTCGAAGTGGACATTGCATAGGAAGCCATTGACTGCCGTTTTCAAAAACGCGGAATTTGAAGCGAGAACGGGCGGATATCTAGACAGCCCTGGTGGAAAGCCCAGAGTCCTCATCGAGGTCAAACCGATCCTAAGATCCTGGCACCCTCTGCGTATTCAGATTCAAGAGAGTGCACAAATGGTCGCTTGGATCAAAAGCGACTCTGAATTAGCCCAGAAAACCAACCGCATGTATGCTATTCCTTCTCTTACTGCATCCCCAGATAAACGGCTAACAAAAGGTAGGCGCTTTCATGTTTCACAAGACCGCCATTTGGTGTATGTGACAGTTGCCAGGTATGGCCAAGAGTATCTTGACTATCTGGTTGACGGGACGCTTCCGCAGAAAGAAAAAGATGATGAAGATCCGTCTTTCATGAATATGGACCAATATGGTCCGTGGGATACTACAGACGAGGGCAGTATGCGTCAGTTGGGGCCAATTTTGCTGGCGATTACCTTGCGAGCTGAAGAGGAGAGTAAAAAAGAGAAGCTCGAAGACAAGCAGAGACGTGTCAGATAGCTACATGCAAGAAATAAGACGATGTGGCGTTCAGCGGGGGGGGGCTTGGAATGTGATGATCGGGGACCGACCCCTAGATGAATGGGAGATAGTCCCGAACTGAATGCGGGGGCAAATCGGGGAAGTGCGATACAAGGGTAGGTAGCTTAGTACTCCAAATTCTGAAGTTCAGGCAATTCCCACCCTACAGAGCCTCTCAACACCCCTTGCTCCAGCCGACTAGTCACGTCTTTACGAGTCTGCTCTTCTCCAATGACGCGCGACAACGGCACATGTCCCGCCACGTCGGCAGCGCAATCCTCGGCCCCAGCAAGGGCCCGAGCTTCGTGCTCAAGATGCCATAAGAGGAAGAAGAGGTGTGACAGAACGTTGCCGTCATGCAAAAATTGCGTATCGGCGCGGGTGCGATGTAGCTTCGAAGACGATGATCTCCAAACAGCTTCGTACCCCATAGTGTGAGTTGCCGTATGAGATTGAGGCACTGGATGGCTTAGGTCTCCTGGCCTCTCATCCTTAGCTTTGCAGAGTACTCCTAACTCTCCAGTGGTTTCAAGTAGGCTCCTAACATGCTCACAGGTATGTCCAGGGCCTGGAATAGAGGCTTCGTAGGGTGGTGGCTGCCCATGAGCGGAATACACCGCAGGCCGCGGAGGCTACTCCGGTCCTGAACAACAATCACCTCTATGATGACTTTGCGATGCCGGAAATAACAATAGTGGACCCGGAATGCATCCCTCAAGGTGTTCACGGAAGCCAAGTAGGAAACACATCCACCCTTGCCGACAATGCCGAAGTTCTGATAGAAAACCCCCTTATGAACCCACGGCCTGCACCAGACCAAACCCCAACCTTTGGCCAGCAACTCACAGTTCTCTCACTAGAGGCTACTGCTGAACGGCATTTGGGATCAACAACGGGACTCTCATTCGCAAACCTGACTCAGATGATTCTACGTCGGTTGGCGCCGGACAGAGCGGATTTTGTATTCAATAGCCATCGGGATCACATTACGGAAATGGATCTCTTGGACCTCAGCTCTTCTTCAAACCCCTTCAATGACTCTTTCTTTCAAAGCTTGAATGAGTCCATCTCCCCCTATCCGCTACTCTTTGGTGACCTCCTCTTCGCCGACTCTGCCGCGTCCGGCACCACCCTTGACTCCCTATGCTGGCCAAGCAATGAAACGCATGTGCGGCGGCTGGTGAATTTCTATTTTGCTCACTCCCATACCTTCTATCCTATCCTGGACCGCTCCGAGGTCATGGACACTCTGGAAAAGATCCATCAAAATCCTCAAAATTTGGCCTCGCAAACTCCACTCCACGCCTTCAGGATCTGGATGGTCCTGGCCATCGGCTCTACCGCTTACTCTTCCGTCACTCTGACTGAGGAATCAGAATCCATGTTGTTTTATAACAAGGCTCTGCAGTATCCCGAGCAAGCCTTGGAGGGTGACGAGATGGTAGGAAAATTTGCCTACAGCTACATCGCTGACGAGAGCCCAACTGACGAGAGGCCCTAGTCTACCCTGGAAGCCATAATGCTCCAAGTTTCTTATTCGTTTTTCAACCAACTAGGTCCTAGTGAGTAACGACCACTTGACCGATACTCCAAGCACTGACGGAAGCAGACACATGGATTCTTGCTGGCATAGCTGTCCGCCTGGCCTTAGGTATGGGGCTCCATGCGGCCTCGTCATATCGAAAATTTCCTCTTAATGTGCAACAAAGACGCAAGCGAATTTTCTTTTCAATATACATGATGGATCGGTATGTTCATACTTCCACTTCTTCTCCACTCTCTCGTATCCAGATTGAAGCGACTCATCGCCCGCAAAACTCAGCATTGTTTCCATTACTTTAGGTCGACCGTTCGCACTTCATGACGATGACATTGATGTAACGGTGAGTCTGACCTTTGTGAGTGAGCTGCAAAGGGCTCCCAGGGATGATGGTAGAATTCGAAATCAGTTTTAACTCCACACTCTTGCGACTTGATTCGCGAACCTTAATCTGAAACACGCTAGCTCACATTTGGAATAGTGTTAAATCCATGACATCCAAAGAATATTTTACATGACGCAGGTGGGACCCTGCCATGTGTATCTTATTCGTAATTTCGATGCAATGGTAATTCTCTGCCATACCGCCCACCCAAGCAGGAGGCATCTTCACCCGTCTATCTCTTAAATCTCACAATTGACCTCACAAAATGGCTCCGAGAAATTTCTACCATCCAAGCTGCATCTTATCCGCGACATGATAGAGAGTCAGTCACTTGGCACTCTCAAAATAGCTGAAGAAACAGAATACAGCCCAGGCTACGATTATAATTATTCTCGCAAACTTACGGCAATTTGAAAGTATGCACGCACCGCTAACTCGAAATGACGGAGACGGACTGTAACACCACTGATGATCGAAGCACTCGGCAGCAAGCGAGGGACGAAACGCCGATTTGCGAGAATGGTATCTGTATAATTCATTGGATTTTCAGTCGTATCAGCTGGTTTAAGTAGATGAATCTGGATGTGATAAAAGGGTTGGGTTTAGCACAGGCTGGTACCACTTGGTGTATCCCCTATGGGGTCACTCATTGAACCAAGAGCCACCAAGAACTTAATCTCCTTTACGCTCTTGCAGACGGCTCAAAATGCGATAATTTTCCAACGATTTGCTATGCTAGGTATATTAGTTGCTGCGGGAGATCAGCTATTTACAGCTAAAATAAACCAGCGAGATTGACCGACGCCTGGTGTGAGAATAGGCTTCTTTCACCAGGTAACTACGTCACCTGATGAGGGGCTAAGCTGACACGGTTTCACTTAAGCGACACGTACCCCGCATGTTTCCCTTCCCTTGAACGCCAGCTCATTTTCTGTGCTGTAATCATGGATGCCCCTATATCATTTGGTGACTTAAATTCTGGATTACAGGTGGGGATCAATCACGGCCCGATCACAGTAGATTTTCTTCTGCAACCAAGTTCGGGTACGGTAATTTTCATTCAATGTAGATTGTACTGACTTTTGTTATAGACTTAGGTGACAAGTTGCCAATCGTGCACGGGGCTGCATTCGATTCATACGTGAATCAGCATGGGGACGAATGTCTCCCAGGCACAAGGACAGATATCCTCCATGAGATTAGACAGTGGGCTTTCTCCCCACAGGCAAGATGTCTCTTTTGGCTTAATGGTATGGCTGGGACAGGAAAGTCAACCATCTCTCGAACAGTGGCAAAATCCCTTAGTCAAGCTAAATCACTCGGGGCAAGCTTTTTCTTCAAGAGAGGTGAAGGTGACCGAGGCAATGCTTTAAAGCTTTTTCCGACACTCGCAATACAACTCGCAACTGCCGTTCCCCAGCTGATTCCATCTATCCTGAAAGCAGTCCATGGTATCCCAGATATTGCGACGAAGGCGATGAAGGAGCAATTTGATAAATTACTCCTTCAACCTCTCCTAAGCTTGAAAAAATCCGATCTCCCAATCCAGACCGTGGTGATAGTGATTGACGCATTAGACGAATGTGAGGGAGATAATGATGTGCGGCTCATACTCCAGCTTCTGCCACAGCTACAGAAGTCAAATGCTCTACGGCTGCGAGTTTTTCTAACTAGCAGACCAGAGTTGCAAATCCGTCTAGAAATCTCGAAGCTTGCTTGCCATGATCACAAAGACTTGATTCTCCATAAAATTCCTAGTGAGGCCATTAAGCACGACATATCCTTATTTTTGAATCATCGACTTTCGGAAATCAGGACTGAACGTCTCTTGCCTACCGATTGGCCTGGAGATATAAATCTTCAAAAGCTAGTGACATTGTCTATCCCATTATTCATTTTTGCCGCTACTATTTGCCGTATTTTTCAAGACCCATATTGGGACCCCGAAGACAGTCTCACCGAGATCCTTACACGTGGAAATGATGAATCTAAATTGGATGGAACTTATCTTTCCGTGCTCGATCGCCTCCTCAGAGGACAAACCGACAAACGGAAAAAGTTGCTAGTTCAAGAATTTCACCAAGTGGTTGGTCCAATCATGATACTGGAGAGCCCGCTCTCAGTGATCTCACTGTCGAGACTTCTGGGTGTCCCCGAGAGGCTTGTTCGTCTTAGATTAAATCTATTACACTCAGTCCTGAGTGTGCCAGATGAAGAGACTTCGCCAATACGCCTCTTTCATCTATCTTTTCGGGATTTTCTTCTAGACCCGGAAACCCGCCAAAGAACTCCGTTTGGAGTTGACCAGAAAGCGATGAACCATAAGTTGGCCATAAAATGCCTTCTTGTGTGTCACAATCTGCGGAGAAACATATGCGGACTACCAAGCTACGGAACACAACGTGCAGATATTGATCGCCACACTATCGATCACTGTCTGTCTCCAGAATTGCAATACGCCTGTCAATATTGGGCACACCATTTAGCACAATGCGCAGACTTAAATGATGTGATAGATGATGCTCACTTGTTTCTTCGGAGACATTTCCTGCATTGGGTAGAAGCAATGAGCTTACTAAACCTTGCATCGGAAGTGATGGAGATTCTCGATCTTCTCCAGAAGGTTGTTCTAGTAAGTCCCAAAGACAGGTACTTATATAATCCACACTGATAGAGATAGGCCGACCAACATCCTGCAGTTTCTGATTTCGTACATGACGCAAGGCGCTTTATGCTGAAAAATCTCCTGATAGCCGATGAGGCGCCCCTTCAACTTTACTGCTCAGGACTTATATTTGCACCCCAAGCGGCAATAATTCGTAGAGAGTTTGGAGCGGAGCTTCCTTCTTGGATATCCCGATTACCAAATGTTGACCAAAGATGGAGCGCAGAATTGCAGACACTCGAGGGCCATTCAGATTTGGTTTGGTCGGTGGCGTTCTCGCCTGACGGCCAGCTATTAGCGTCTAGCTCCAGTGATAAGACGATCCGGCTCTGGAACACGGCGAAGATGATGCTGCGTCACACGCTCGAGGGTCATTCAGGTGCGGTTCTATCCGTCGCTTTCTCACCCGACGGCCAGCTACTGGCGTCAAGCTCTTATGATAAGACGGTCCGGTTGTGGGAACTAGCAACGGGTACGCTGCAGCTGACTCTAGAAGGCTCTTCTGGTCCGGTGCAGTCAGTGGCCTTTTCACCCGATGGCCAGCTAGCATCCGGCTCCGATGATCGGACAGTCCGGCTCTGGAACTCGGCGGCGGGCACACTGCAGCATACTCTCTTAGGCCATTCAGGCAGGGTTAAGTGCGTGGCCTTCTCGCCAAACGGTCGGCTACTGGCTTCCGGCTCAGATGACCGAACAATTCGGCTCTGGAACACAGCAAGGGGCACACTGCAACGTACACTCGAAGACCATTCAATTTGGGTTCAGTCGTCAGTGGCCTTCTCGTCTGACAGCCGTCTACTGGCGTCTAGCTCCAATGATAACACAGTCCGGCTCTGGGATCTGGCAACAGGAGTGCTGCAACATATCCTGGAAGGCCATTCAGGTTGGGTTCTATCTGTGGTCTTCTCGCCCAACAGCCAGCTACTAGCGTCCGTTTCTGGTGATCATGCTTCTGGATCCGATGATAAGTCAATCCGGCTTTGGGATACAGCGACGGGCAAATTGCGGCAAATACTCGAGGGTCATTCAAGTTGGGTTCGGTCGGTTGACTTCTCGCCCGATGGCCAGCTATTGGCATCTGGCTCTGGTGATGCGACTGTGCGACTGTGGGACCTAGCGACAGGCACGCTACAGGAGACTCGCGACAGCAGTTCATATCTCGGTTCAATTCTAGAGATGGCCTTCTCGCCTGATGGCCAAACGCTAGCGTCTGGCTACGATGGCTCTGGTGATAAGGCTGTCTTACTTTGGAATACGGCGACAGGCACGCTACGTCAGAAGCTCGAGGGTCATCTAGGCGCGGTTTTAGCAGTCACCTTCTCGCCCGACAGCCGGCTACTATTGTCCAGCTCCACTGACAAGACAGTGCGGCTCTGGGACACTCTGACAGGCACGCTGCAGCGGACTTGGACTGTTGAAGCAATAATCACAAATCTTGAATTTCCTCAGGACGAACCATTGCCGGGCACTAACTCTGGAGCCCTCGATATTCAACCCAGGTGTGATAGTCCAAGGCCTAGTTCACACCATGTGAGTCCGGAGATTTCCATTGACCACGGGCAATGGATAAAATTGAACGGCGAGAAAGTTCTCTGGCTTCCTATCGAGTTTCGGCCTAGCTGTTACGCGATTGATGGAAGTTTAATAGCGCTAGGACACGCATCACGTCAGCTCTCCTTCATAGAATTTAAGATGTAGCAAGTGTTTATCACGTTCTTTATCTCTTTGTATTTCCGTCCAACGTTCTGGTTATGAAGGCACGTATGCCTTTCACCGTGCTCCTCTATTGCTGATACCGTCGAATCTTTTCACATTACCGTTGCAGTGATACCCCTCTTGACGTGACAATGACCAGGATGGCCGGTTACGTGCTGAGCAGATGTTTTCGGCGTCCATCTGGGGATTGAACACTGCAACGATGTTCTATAGGTAATAAAGGACAGCATGGAAACTGTGTAGTCTGGCTTCTTGTATCTTGAGGCAGGCACAAGTACATCTAACTTCTATCTCATAGCAGGCAGTCTTTCTGAAAGCGACCTTAGTACATTAAGGAAACATAGTTCACCGCGCAGTATCTCGCCACCCTAAATGTGTTTTAGGTGATAGATTAAGGTTGAGCTTGTGGACCGATGATATCAAGGGAAATTCAGAAAGCAACCAGAGATATATATGTAGTGTGCCAGTGGGGACTATGCTCTATTCACTGTATCATGTCAAGATTAGATTCCAAGGTTACTATGTGCGTGACAAACAACCCAAGAAAGATAATCAAAGATCTCGCCAGATCGTTAGAGTTCCCTTTTTGTTTGATCGGTTTGCACTTTGGATTCTACCATTTTCTAATAAATTACGGTACTATAACAATGGCTCATTGTGGTTACAAGTGAATACAATACAGCCCCACAGGGATTAACAGGGGAAGAGTTAAAATTAGATTAGTATGTCTCCACTTAGGGTCCGGGAATTAAGTAGCAAGAGTGTAGAGTTAAAACTGATTCCGAATTCCACCGTACTAACAAATTGTAATATGTACTTTCTGTGCAACCCACATTCCCACATTCCCACAGATAGATATAACTTCCCAGGTAAAACACAGTCAGTTAACTACACACAAACAGGCCCAGGATCCCAAACCATCACTTCAGTGAGCCTCAACAAGATCTCATCTTAATTTGTCAAATCCACCTCATCCATATCCGAGAAAACGTACCAGCTCCTTCAAATTTCCGAATGATATATTGCGTTTTTTTAGAGTAAAATCACGATGCTAGCTGGGTTCTATTTGATTTACAGCCTTCTCTTTCCCTTTTCTTTTGTTCGCCGTCGTTAAAAGGGTGTCTGGGTGCGACGCTGAGTCTCTCTGAATACGAGTGCATCTCTCTATAATTCTTCACTTAAAAAGGTTAATTCCTACTGCGAGACCTTTGTATGGAATTTAGAAATATAGCAAACCAATCATAGAGCCCGAGAAAACTCTTATTAAGTTTGGTCTAGGGCATTTTCCCGCTAGGCTCGTGTTAAGGATTCACAGTGGGTAGTAGTGGGCCAGAGGTCGTATTTTGTGATTTGGCTTGGTCGATCCTTGGCGATCAAAGCATTGCTCAGTTGAAGATGTCAATTCTACACGATTATTACCTTTAATGATGTTGGATCTATCGAAAACGTTTGTTAATTATGCGAATTGGGAAGGTTGATAGAATCTAGGTGGAGGGGTTTCTAGGCGAACTTTACAAGGGGCCCTGACCAAGATTATGTTTTTATACGTTGAAAAGTCTGTGTCAGGCTGTTCATCTAAATACGAGATGGAGGCCAAAACAGGGGGATCTGCTGCTTCCTAGCCTCAAACTACATCTGATCTCAACGGTAATAGGCTCGTCAGGGTCTTCCGTGCCCTATTTACTAAATTCTGACGCATCCATCTTAAACTAAACACGATGAGGCTGAGTGAGCCTATGCTCGAATTCCTTAAGAACTACGAGACCCCCTCTACCCTATTCTAGTCTCTATCCTACCCTAGTCCTTCCTTTACATTCCTTCCTTCTGCTCATCAGAAAGGTTCCTCGCACCCAGGAATCCTCGTCCTCAATCATGCAATCAGCCCCAGGAGCTCCACGACCATCACGACTCACGAAATGGTGGCCCATCGGCTTCTTCATTGGCGCCATTGTTTGTTTCATCATCGGCGGTGCTCTCGTTGGAAAATGGACCTCCCACTCATACGATCACTGCTCTTACAGCAGCTCGTACTACAGCTCCTACTATTCCAGCTACTCTTGTAGCAATACCAATATGGGCGAGTTCTATGGCGCTGTTGCTATGTTTGTGATCGGTGGTGTGCTCCAGCTCACTGCGTGGATTCTACTCATCATCTTCTGCGTCAAGCGCAACCGCCACAGCCACCATACCGTCACATACGTGAACTCTCCTCCTGTCCAGAAAGTCCAAAAACCACAGTCTTTCTAGTAGTCTTACGTCGCGCCTCAACCTACCTACTCCCCTGCGCATCAGTCTGCTCAGTTCCCTCATTCCCCTGAGATGGTGAACTCGTCTGCCCCTGGTACGCCTCCGAATGAGACCAATGCAACGGCAAGCGCTGCCAAGTACTGTACCCAGTGCGGAACCACTCTTTCTGGCCGATTCTGCCCGCAATGTGGTTCCTAGGCCTGAAGTGATATTGGATTACCTTGACAGTATACCTCGACTATTCTCATTGTGTTGCATGTTGCGTAGTAACTCATGGGAATGATAGAACAGATCGTTGATCAAAATTGGTATGGTGGAGAAGACGTTGGCCTGGAGATTTGGTTGGACTATGTTGGCCTTTTTATTTCTTAATTCTGCGATACCCGGATGAGATATACATCCGCTTTGTAATTAAACTTGATTTATATCGCAATGTCCGCTCAAATATGAGGAAAGAACTGAGCCTATTCAACAGTGAGATATGTAGTCCAAGGTAACGATATCAATCCCACGAATGTCTCAATAAGTATATATGTACGAGCAATGCGATAAATAAATGCAATCGGGAAGATATTCAGATGGACGAAGAAGCACACCGAGAGAGAGGGAGCTACCGTAGTGATCAGAAAAAAGCCCTTTCACACATCAAGCACATTGATCGCCGAAAAATGAATTTGGGATAGAGCTGGCAGTCCAGCTCACAGCTTTTTTCTGTTAATATACATGGCGATCGTGCCTAGGGAACCGAGGATGACTGCCAACGTCACCATTGGCCGCTCATCGACCAACTTTTGAATAAAACAAAAACCTTCCATGAAAGAAGGTTTTTCGTTTAGTGACTCACAGGCTGGCGAAAATAAGGCGATTGAATCCAGTGCTCGTAGCAGGCTACGAGAGTTTGGAAACCCCCCGTCCACCCAGCAGTCTTCAATGATTGAGCCAAGCCAAACATCTTCAGTGCTAGGAAGGAACTCCCTCCGCGGTCAGGTCGCTCGACCATCAGTTGGAAGGTTGTTTTTAAAGAGGTCGATTTCGCATTTCTTGCTAGTCACAACTTCATAGATAACTGCGTTAAGAAAGCCGAGGTCTATTCGAGTCGTATATCCGTTATTATCAAGAGTGTCTATATCGATATCTAAGGGTAGAAGAGATACTTTAGAGAAATCGTAGAATTTAATTGTTATATCTAAATCGAGAAGGAAGTTTCGACTAGCAATATCTGCCACAAGCACACGTTAATCGTGGATATACTCGAGTGTACGAGCCATTTCACGAAACCAAGAGAGTTAGAGTTGTTGAGACGGCCGGTTGGTTTCTAAGTAGGTCCGAAGATTTCTATTTGCCATATAAGCAAGTTGGGTAGCTTCTTCTAAGAAACCAAGGCAATTTACAATACTACCACATTAGGGATTGGATGATTGGAAACGACGATAGACATCTTGTTCACGTTTAATGACTTCAATGTTCATCTCAACATCTACATCCGAGCTCCAACAATATCTCAGAGGAGTTTTGACGGCTAGGCCGTCACATAACACCACAACCGCTGAAGATCCAGATCCAAGGACTTGCTCCAAAGGAATAGAATCTCCGGAGAGATCTAAAAAGGGAGAGACCATATTTATTGTTGAGAATGAAAGGAACGAGCTTTCGACTGAACTTTACAGTAGGAATGAAACAAGGGGTGATCAGTAATAATAAAAGACAGGGATAGCTGTACCGTGCTTCTCGGATGTTTCAAAATAAACAAATATAGACCCTTTAGCGGATAATTGCTTTTTCGTTCGTCACTTATGGGCGGTTGTGGAGACTTCTGTGACTATGAATAGGTGAATGACTGCGAAGTCACTGCACAGTACCTTTGGTTCGCAGGCACTGGTTTTCAATCACATCTAAACTCCCCACTATCTACCAGTGTGGTGAGCCTGATTGGACTTGAACAGTCCTGAGATCCACGATAGCGATGCGCCTGCTCTCGTAGCCAATCACAGCGCACTTTTAACCGCGAGACTTGTGCGGGGTCACGGGGCTAGGCCACGGCTCACGATACTCTGCCATCGCACAAAAGGTCCCGGTCTCGCTCATATTTCGTTGATTCGCTTTTCCCGGGACATCGTCCAAACATAATGGACGAATTTACGAAGTGGCACTGTTGTCGCCTGTGGAACGGGCGAGCGGCACGGACCGCAGCGACAGCCCACTCCTCAGGGAACTAGGCAGCCCCTCAGGCCCACGGCTGCTGAACCGCGATGAAGTTCCCTCGTGGTATGGCCATAATCCGTACATTCGAACCAGCTATAGGCCAGTCACACCATCAATTTCTTGTTGTCTTGGCAGTTTGCTGTACCTCCACAACGAAACTGTGAATGTTTACTCCCATCTCATCCCCGCCATCATAGCTTTGTTGGGCAATGGGATCCTCTATGTTTATTTCTCTACATCTTTCCCGGATGCTACGTGGGCCGATCAGCTTGTTTTTCATATTTACTTGACCACCTCGGTCATTTGTTTTGGTATCTCATCCGCATACCACACTTTCCTTTGTCATTCTGCCCGTTACACTGATTTATGGGGACGATTGGACTATGTTGCGATTGTATTCCAGATTCTTGGTTCATTTATCTCGGGGATATATATTGGGTTCTACTGTGAACCACATCTGCAAAAGCTTTATTGGTCAATGGTCCGTTCACAATTCTCTGCCCTTTCCATCGGCTATCGAACTAACCTTACGACGTCCAGATTGGCAGTCTGGGATTATTGACTGGATTTGTCGTGGTGCATCCCAAATTACAGAGCCAAAAGTGGAGATTATTGCGGTTATCAACATTCGTGGCGACGGGACTTTCGGCATTTGCTCCTATCATCCACGCTGCTAGTATCTTCCCTTATGAACAGCTAGATCAACAAGCCGGATTACGATATTACTATCTTGAAGGACTTGTCATCGTGATTGGGGTCCTGTTTTACGCGGTACGTTACTTTTCCACAATGGGCTGATGCGGGATGAAGCTGATTGGTGGCAGACACATTTCCCGGAGTCGCGAAGACCCGGAAGCTTTGACATTTGGGGATCGTCTCACCAGGTATTCCACATCTCAGTTGTAATCGGTGCGATAATTCATCTGTATGGGATTCTAGTTGCCTTTCAGTGGAATTATGAAAACCAAAGATGTAAGACTGGATGAGATGTGATATTGACAGCGAGCCCGTTCCGAGCCTTGACATGGCAGGTCCTGAGGCCCATACCTTTTAAACAAAAGAAAGGGAGATCCGCTATAATCTACATAATATCATTATTGTGCATGCAATATACAACAATATATCCTTTAAGCCAAACATAAGTACACCGTTGAAACTTATTAGCTTGGCGGGCTGAATCTGACAAACCCCGCCCCTGGTCATTTCCACTTGCCACGTTTTTTCATCATCTTTTCATCTTTTTTTTTTTGCTTTTTTTGTAGTCCAAAGTCCGAAATCCAGAGCTATGGGAGAAAAGATTGTTGTCGTGAGTTATTAAGGCAGAGAGGTTCTAATATTATTATCTAACACTGTAAGGATTCTAATTACTACACCTCGACCCAAAACTGGGAAGTCGAAGACTTTCAGTCGTGAGTTGCCGAAATGCTGTCCACTTTTTCCCTTTTTAACACTCTCAGGGAAACTACATCTATCGCGTCGGCAATTGCGAAGGGTCGATTAGAGAATGGTAGACGGTGAGTGAACTAGCAGTAACAGTGAACCAATGCGCCCTTGCTAATATTACGACCAGATACCAAGCTCTAAAGGAAGATGACTATTGGTCGGTCGCAACGCTTCAATGTGGGACACCGGAGGCTAATCATGTCATGGCATACAGGAGTCCTTCTGATGAACAGCAATTTGAGGCTTTTGAGATTGGGTAAATACTCATTTTCGTCTTCCCGTCTGGTCGAAACAATAGCTTATGCGCGTTCATCAGTCATGTGGTGTTTCTCGTGTTAGACCATGACCGAGAAAACCCTCTTCACCACGCACCTATCGGCAAGTCTCCTAAGGTGAGAGAACGATGCAGACTTTGGAATTTACCCCTTGCTAAGAGTAAATTTCAGAATATTCTGGACATTGGGACTGGTAAAGGAACATGGGCTATGTAAGTTCCCATTCATTCTCTCTAATCGATTATCGCTAACAGTTACCCAGTGATATGGCAGATTTGTATCAATCTGGTACCTACTCTAATTTCTTCCCTTTCTCCTATTGTGTCGGTCTAACGAATGTCAGCAACTGTCCGTGGCGTCGACATCTTCCCCCCTCCCGTGACATGGATGCCACCCAACTGCGTACTAGAAGTAGATGATGTCCTCCGTGACTGGACCTGGAGAGAGCCATTTGACTTCATCCACATGCGTCTGATGCTGGGAGCATTTACATCAGAGGGATGGGATCAATTATACAAACAGTGCTACGAGTGAGTCCCTCGTCCACACTTTCCCCCTACCTACCGGAACAATTGTATCTAACCAGTACACCATCCAGCGCTCTTGCCCCAGGCGCCTGGATCGAACAGATGGAACTCGATGTGCGGGTATATAGCGACGACGGCACCTTGAAGGAAGGCGGGACTCTAGCTGCATGGGGAGATAATTTCATCGGCTGCTCCGAGCGAGCGGGTCGTTCCCTCCTAACACAGGAGACAATGCAAGGCGCAATGGAGAAGGCCGGGTTTGTTGACGTGCAAGAGAAGCTATACAAGATTCCTTTGGGGCCGTGGCCGAGAGATAAGGTTCTCAAGGAGGTTGGGCAGCTCCAATACGCCCACTGGGTTACTGCATTGGAGGGATGGGCTTTGTGGTTGCTCACTAAGTTTGGTGCCCCCACTCCTTGGTCTCCGGAGGAGGTCCAGGTTTATTTATCCGAGGTTCGGGCGGAGCTGAGAAATCCCCGTACACATGCTTATGAATATGCGTGAGTTGTCATAAGTACCCTGAGATGTTATAGTTGCTGATCGCCTTTAGTCGTCGAGTCTGGGCTAGGAAGCCTACGGTGGAGGAAGAAATGGCTAATTCGCCGATTAAGACTGAGCCTGAGTTTTAAATCAGCCATGCTGTCTTGAATTGGAATACTGGGTATCTCTGCGTTTATTAGTATGGCTTTTGTTATAGCGAGTCTTTATTTCGGGGGTGATTTTGTATGTTATTTGCATTGAGTCCTGTTAGGTGCGTTCGCCTCAGGCTAAGACATGCTTTTATGCTAAATAGTAATAGCATCAACTATATTACGATTCAATCAATTTGTTAAAATTCAGCCCCCCCGATGTTAGCTTCACGATCATCTGAGCAGCTTTCTCAAACTCCCCTTCTACAACCAAGTTTTTCAACCCAGATTGTTCGATCTACAATAGCAATTAGCTGACAGTATCACAAACCCACAGGTTTACTGACCAGCTTCAATCCCTCTTCGGAATTTGTTCCCTGCAACCGAACCACAACGGGACATTTGAAACCACCCATCTCAGCAGCAGCAGCAACAATCGCCTCGGCAATCATATCACATCGCACAATTCCTATCACCGATCAGCTATTCCATTTCCCTTTATTTATGTGTATACTCACCACCATAAATATTAATCAAAATCCCCTTAACCCTCTCATCCTTCTCGAAAACCCCAAAAGCCTTCCGTAAAGCCTCCTTCGTCGCCGCACCCCCAACATCCAAAAAGTTCGCACATTTCCCTCCATACGAACAGATAAGATCATTAGTCGCCATCGCCAACCCAGCCCCGTTAACAATATTTCCAATATTCCCATCAAGCCGCACATAAGAAAGTCCCAATTCCGCCATCTGATGTTCCTCCTCTTCTTCCGGCGATCGTTCCTCCAACGCAAAAATCCCCTTCTGTCGATACCGCGCCGAGTCATCAAACTCAAACTTAGCATCCAGACAAATAAACGCGCCATCCTCCGTGCGCACCAGCGGATTCAACTCAAGCAGCGTCGCATCCTTTTCCTTGAACAATTTCACCATCTGCACCAGGATCCGGTGTATATCTTTCATCTCGGTATCCGAGAACCCAAGCTCGGCTTGGATATACGCGTGGATCTCGTCGGTTATGCCGGTCGAAAGTCTAAAGTAGAGTTTGTGCATTTTGTCTACGTTAGACTCGATGTTCGTTCCGCCCGACGAGGAGATCAGTACGACTGGTGAGTTGTGCTGTCGGTCGAATGTCATTGCGAAGTAGAATTCCTGGGCGATGGAGACGGCTTGGTAGATGTAGAGCTTGTCGACGTGGAGTCCATCCGTTGGGGTTTGCGCGGTTGTTAGGGAGTACCCGAGCATGTTGGAGGCATTTTTGAAAGCGTCGCTTGGTCTGCGTGTGTTAGGTTTGGGGGTTCCTTGTGTTTGGGATTGGATTTCGGGGAGGAACTCACGAGTCGGCTAGTCTGACGCCGCTTTTGCCGTCACTGTTGAATTTCCCTTTTCCGCGACCGCCTGCGAGGACTTGCGCTTTTATCATTGATGGTGCATCTGGTGTTATATTAGTCTTGGTGGAACTGGGAGTTTGAGAGGATGGCGGAGAGAGACTTACTTATCGCAGAGACAACATCCTTGGCTTGTTCTGGGGTTGTGACTAGGAATCCCGGTGGAACTGGTAGTTTGAACTGGGTTGGATTAGCATTAAGGTTGCCGTGCTTGAACGGATGTCTCACTTCTCGCAGTAGTTTGTGTGAGTGGTGTTCAAGCAGATTTAACTGCCGTACTTGAGCTTTGATGGGCGCATGATGCTGCACGATAGTTGATATATTATTCAAGATCACCGCTAGATTATACGAACCCGTTGCAAGGTGCGCGTGATGGATCGCCAGGTAATCATCGTGGGTAATATATCTTTCATGTCAGGATGTCAAGTCTGAACGACTGTCTGAGGTCAGATTCATGGCTGTTGGTTTGGGCGATGACATCAACATATCAGTTTCGGTTCCTTGGGTGGAGTTTCCGAAAGGATGATTGACCCCGTGATGAGTTATGGAGTAGATTTTCAAATACGACATTCTGTGTCGAATTAAAATAAGCCTACGAATATTATCATATGACTAAGTCAATTCATTGAGTTCTTGACTGATCTGGGTCGAGGTCGAGGGGCGAACGCGAGAACGAGGGCATTGCGAAGGACGGGCTTCTCACATGTATGCCAGAGGTACTGTATAGGTGTAGGTCCCGACCTGGAGGGCCACAAGTAATAAGCATAATTTTAATTAGGAAGGCGGTATCACATGTTAGGGCGGGGTGTGTGTTTCGTGTGGCAGAAGGACCAACTGAGACTTGACTTTGAGTGGTGAAGATACTCTCGGATATGAGCCAGATGGGAGTCATCTGTCCGGAGAGAAGTTAATCCCAATGTATACGATGTGGCTATACCGTACAGCATTTCATCGAAGTATATGTGTGGTAACCCTGTGCGAGGGCACTATGGGTCCTTGAGATTATCACGGTCCGTCCCGCACGTCTATGCAGGAGCTCACCGTTCGAAAAAGACCATCTCTCAATGTGCTTTTGATAAAGTGCCGATACGGAACTTCACGGATGGAACAAGATTGTTCAATTGAAGCCCAAGTTCATTCATAATGCAAGGGCTAACCACTGTGACATACATCACATTGTTGGTGATAATCCCCCGGCGCATCGCTAGTGTTTTCATCACAATCCGCCAAAGTGAAGGTGTGATATTTATTCCACCTCGCTCGCTTCGTGAGAAATGAGTTCTACCTTAGCACAGCCTCTCCTTCTTACTAAACCCGTCCTGTACTGCAGGCCCAGCCTTTGCGGGACATCATTGCGTCTCTAGTCGTCCAAACGTACTGTCTTGGCAACACTAGTGGTTTTAGCTTGCGCTATTTTTTGGCCACTTTCTAAGTCACTCAATCTCTCTTTTCTTTCTTTTTTATAAGGGTACATTGCACGGACCAAGTTGCACTAACATACAGGGTCCGAGGGACAATGCGCGATATTGCCGGTATTGGGGCATGGCGCAGCCAGCACATAATTTTTAAGAGCCTCAATCATATGCACAAAATTGTGGGAAGATTTGTGGGAAAGTTTACGGGAAAAGATCCACCTACGGCCCGTGTTGTGGTTTAAAATTCCTTCCTTCTTTAAACAGCATCGTGGCGGCCCCAATAGGAAGATGCTTACCACGCAGGATAACGAGAAGCTATTTTCGTGCGATGATCTTTCCTTCTTAGGGCCGCAAATATACAGTATCGATCTAAAGATAGTCCATCATGTACCATCATGGCTGTGTCCATTAACCCCGGGTGGCTGCAGGGTCGAGTACCTCGCTTACTTCAATGTACAGAGTATGAATCCAGCAGATGTAACCTTGACCTCGCAGCAGGCGCACGACATCTTAGCTGTCCAATTATTTAGCTGGTCAGCCCGTATTCATTCAACGGTGCATCTGATCAAAGCGTCCGCTTCCAAAGAGTCCAAATAAATCGGTTCTTTGAACAGTATTTCACAGGTACTGTTCCGCACGATCCCTTTGCCTTAAACCGACAAATTGACCCCCGCTTCCTTTGTATGAGTCTCCATGCCTCTTTGGGGGCCAAAGGGTCTTAGGATGAGCCCTTTCACCTCGCTAAAGCCATGGGGCGCATCTTATCCTCTATGGTATGAGTCAGGTGTTGAATAGCCTCACGCTAAAGACGTGCGCAGCAATAAGCAATAATACCCGATGGAACGTCCGAGTCAGCAAAGCATACGCTATATCCGGACTTCGCTTGAATCAATGTGTCCCGTGGATCGATGCCTAATATGTCAGACACAATTATCGCAGGCGCCCAAGCGGATCACCAACTTGAATACAGTATTGTATGGAGTCCTTTGTGTTGATTCATAAGGAGAAGGATTATACGATCCCCCAGGGCGTAAAGTCTTGGCTTCTAGACATGCAATAGAAGCATAGCCGGTGATAAGGTTAAACCACGTAAGGTAATTTAGAAAACACAATGTGGAAATTGTGCCAATCAACAACGTGGGAGAAAACCCTGGAAGAGGCCGAAAAGTCTCAGATTGGAACGTTGATGCCTTTTCGACACTAGTCCCAAACGGGAATAGTTCTATTGTGCGACCAGCCTCCAATAAAAACATCAATCTCTTGTTATATCTATTCTAATTCCTGACTACTCCGTATCTAGTTCAGACATTTAATATACAACATAATGCAAAGTAAGCACTAGTGACTGTAACAAACAATGAAGTCACATTGACTGGTCTCAAAGATCGCCAGGAGTAAACTGAATAGGTTTAGATTATCTGACTGAGGCTTAGATAGTGGGATCGCCCCCTGAGTTGTCCACAGATACCCAGCCACCACTGGGGCTAAATTAGCTTACGCGAAATTAACAAATCAAGAGGGTTAGAAAGCACATTTGATCACTTGGATCTGACGTTAAAATTTGTTCGGAAGGTAAATATAAAGAAAATGGGGTTTCCCGGTTTGCCGTTCTTGCGTAGCTTCCTCCACAACTACACAGTCACCACTCCAGTCACCAGTCACCATGAGACAGTCGACACCCATTCTCTGGGTTGTCCAGGCTTGTCTAGTATGGCTGACAGTGATATCAGTGGTATCGGCATCACCTGTCATTTCTCATGATAATCCGGTGTCTTCAGATTCAGACTCCGATGTCTCTGCGCTTCAGACCCGTGACACAAAACCGTTTCCCCTTCGAATTCTGCCGCTTGGTGCTTCAATTACCATGGGGTACAAATCGAAAGATGGAAATGGGTATCGGAAATGGCTTCGACAGCAATTACGCCATGCTGGTTGGGAGGTTGATATGATTGGCACTATGAAGAGTGGTACTATGCATGATAATGTGAGTTATTCGGTTTTGGTCCTTCGCTTCCTTTTTAAAACAATATATTCTGATTCTTCCTAGGAACATGATGGACACATCGGCTGGAGAGTTGATCAAATTGCTTCTCATGCCAAGCAGATCATCGCACAACAACCTAATCTAATCCTTCTCAAGTGGGTCTCCTATTGCTGGTGCAAACCAACGTGTCTTCACATGCTAACATATCCCCCACAGTGCTGGCACAAATGATGCATTACAAAATTACAAAGTAAAGACCGCAGGCAAGCGGATGGACGCTCTCCTAACATATCTCTTTGACAACATCCCCAACACAACCATCATCCTGTCAACCCTCACATACAACGGAAAGAAGCCCCAACTGGGCACAGACATCAGCAGGCAATACTTGGAGATTGCAGCAAAACGCCGAGCGCGAAACGAAAGCCTCGTCGTAGCGGATATGAGCACATTCATCCAGTGGAAGCAACTCGTCGATAACATCCATCCAACAGCCCTTGGATACGAGGAGATGGCCTCGGTGTGGTGGGCAGCCATTCAACAAGCCGAGAAAGAAGGCTTGCTCAAGGCGCCAACGTCCACCGCGAAGAATAATACTGCTTTTAGCAAGGTCCGTGAAAAGGAACTCGATGATAGCACCGCTGATCCGAGTCTGCCTGCATACACGGCACCGCCTCAGCCCACGATTAAGACTAAGAGTAGTAACGGCTCGTCTTTATCTCACCAGTGGCATTTCTGGGCCGTTGCATTCCAGATGGTTATGAGTACGTCTCCCCTTTCCCTGTACGCCTTGGGCAATATTAACCTTATACATAGTGTGCATTGGTTTCTCCTTTGTATAATATTAGGGGAATCGTGGAACAAAACATAAAAAGCAGTCAAAAACAATTTAAAAATTATCAAACTATCCATCCCCAACCCCAACAGTCAAGCATTACCGCTATATACCCAGGGAGGTACCAAGGTATACAACTAAATCCATGCCATACCTCCACGCCAACCAACCCAACCCCGCAGAAGAGATACCCCCTCAACCTCAACCATCTCTCTGCACCACTCCGAAATCCTCATATTTAGCTTAAACCACAGTCCCTCCGCCCCCTAAGTACCCCCAGAACCGTAAACCATCTCGAAAAAAGGAACCTAAGGCCCTCACAACAACTCTGCACCTATTGCTCCGCATCAGGACGAGTTGTCAGGATCATTCGTGCGTTCGGGTACATGTGGATTCTATCAGAGAGGAAGAATATATGGCATATCGCACATTACGGCGTAGCCGGATATCAGAGTGTGGAGTTGTTGCTGACGTGTTGCTGTGTCTTTGATGTGTGTAGCTGCGATCAGGAGTTCTTGGCGGGATGTTTGGGGGATTGGGAATTATTTTTCTGTCTGGAGACATGGGGTTAGGTTTGGTTTAGTTCTTCTGAGCGGCTTGTAGGGAGGAAGTTGCCGGGCGCCGATTATGAGGTCTTGTTTTTGTTTGGCGCTGAAGGTTGACTTAGTGTTGGGGCTATGCGCTTGTCGCTGAGGAACGGACCATTTTGGGTGTTTTTTTTTCTCTAGGGGGACTTGCTAGGGAATTTGTGGTCCGAAGCTGGCTTAAGATGGTTGGATGAGCATATATATCGAGGGTTGAGGTTGAATCTGACGTCAGCTGGGGATTGGGTTTTGGTTAGTTAGGCTTGTAGCTGTTCTTGTATAAACGTGAGTGAATCCTGATGATTCCGACGACTGTCAGATATTGGGACAGAGAAGGGAATCCAACGATGTTCTGAACTTCCAATCTGAGCTGCTTTCCGAACTGGGACACTATGACGTCACCTGAGCTCCAAGGTTGGAAGCTCCAAGACCTGATTTATTTCAAGCTGCTACACTTAAATATCTCTTGAGAACTTCCGTTACCTAAAACACAATTCCCTTCTTTGATTCACTCGAATACAAAATGTCCGAATCCTTCGCCATCCTCCGCCAACGCCGCTCCGACGAACTAGCCAAGCTCGCCGACGAGCACCTCCAACACGACCTCCAATCCGCCGACCGCGACAAGCTCAATGCAGCTGCATCTTCAATTTCCTTGTGGACAACAGTTGGCTCTGCGGTGGGTGTTAGTCTCGGTCTTCTAGCCGCCATTCGATTGCGCAGCACGCGCAAGGCGTTCTTCTCTGCTATTCGTGCACAGGAGAAGCCTACGAAGGTTATTTTTGAAGATGGGAGGACTGGTATGTTTGATTCTTGGATGATTCAGGTTGAAGCGAAAAGAAAAGAAAAGAATGGAGTGGTTAATCTGTTGCTTAGAGTCTATTCCGGATCTCACGCCACTGTTGAAACCTACTACTCTGGGCGATGTGGCGACGTATTTCTTTGCTACGGCTGGTGGGTTGTTTTTGGGTGGAGAGCTCGGTAAGATCATCTTTAATATTGTGCCGGTGTGGTGTTAGGCAGACCATGCTAACGGACTGTTGTGTAGGGTTTGCGGGTGGTGTGGCGAAAGGAACGAGTAGTATCAACTCGGATCCGGAGAGCAAGAAGAGAATTGAAACTGCTTTTAGGAAATTCCGGGCTGATGTGCTGCGGAAACAGGCTGATGCTTTGGACAAGGGGCAGCATGATTATAGCCTGATTTGAGATAATAAATATAGATATTAGACTCTAGGACACAGATGAATTGTAAGATGATCAATTATTTCAGGTATATGTCGTAGTAATGATATATGTACAAGTTGAAATTAAACCTCCAAAGCCTTCAAGAATGCAGGGCTCTCATGGCCTTGCGCAACCTTCGAAATGGGCGTGAGATATGCCTCAGAAGATTCCTGGCTCTCCTGAATCTTCCGGACATAGAACTGGGCAACCTTGAGCCACATGGCCTTCTCACTGGCACTAGCTCCAGCCCCCTGCCAAACCCAGACTCTGTTACCCGAATCATAAAGGAAAACATCATTCCCATCCAGGTCAGACCGACCAACCCGCCCGCCATCCTTCACAAGATCAAACGACAAGTTTCCAGAGGCATCGCTGAGTCTGAAAAGCTTGCGCGAGCGGGCACTTTCATCAGCACCCCTCCTCGCAAACCGTCCAGGTCTAGCCGCCTCCAGTGTAGACGGAGCGACATCCTTTCCACCGAGCAAGTCAACAAAGATCCTCGACCTCGACTCAAGTTGTGACAGAACCTCAACATCAACATGCTTCGCCTGCGTCATATCATTAACCACCTGCGCCGCCTTCGCCTTCTCCATCGGGCTACACTTCTTCCCCTGCCAAACCCAGATCTTATTCCCCTTATCCAAAACAAAGACATCACTCTCATCGAGACTCTTCCACGTAGGCTCGACCTCATGCACAATTAGCGAGTCAACACGGGCAATACCAGGATGTTTGAAGACACGCAGTAGCGTAGTCACCTCGACACGCTCCTCGGGCTCAACATGCGTAAACCCGGAGCGCACACCACCAGCTCGGATCGCGTAGTTCCGGAACAAAGCAAGGAACTCGTCCGAGGGATGCTGCTGCACCTCGCGGTGTTGTGTCGCAGCGCCTTGCAGGAACTCATCCAGCTCGACGGTCTTGTATGCCGCAACACCTGCTTCATCCTGGGTTGTTTTGCTGCCGAGCCAGAAGAAGATATCATGGCCCAGCTTGTTGTCGCCGACTTTGTAGGTGTGTAACACGATGAAGCTGTCTCCGTCGTAGAACTGGCCGGTTTTTTTCTTTCGGCCAGGGGATTACTTGGAAGTTTTCGATGCGCCAGATTGCGAGGCCCGGTGCTTGGCCGATGTTTTGCCAGGCGGGTTCGGTGAGGGCTGAGTTGTACTTCACGCGGTGGTCCAGGTCGCTGCCGATTAGCTCCACGTTGCTGTCTTTGATGTCATATTCTTTTGGGTGGACAAGGCCTTCGTGGGGGGCCATATTTGTTGGTTGGTATATTGGTGTTATATTGTGATGTGTGTGCTGTGTACTCCGTAGGGTTGAAGGTGTTGATGTTGATAAAGCAAGATGTGGCGGTGGGTCCAGGTGACTGAGCCGCGGGGCATCATTTTTGGGAGTAATTGGCCAATGACGTCGACAATGTTCAAAGATACTATTTTTAGTCAGTATAACAGGGCTTAATTCTATGTTTATATGAGGCTGAAACTTGTGGAAGACGCTTAGGGAGAAAGGGTTCTCGCAAGAGGGCTTTGAACCATCATGGTGGCATTTGAAAAAAACAGGGGGTTTTTTTTTTGCCATAACGTGGCTTCATTTGTGTGTGATTTGACATTGGAATGTACAGGCTACAGACTAGCTATCAAGAAGAGCTCATATATCAAGCAGCAGGCTTTAGTTGGGTGGACAACCTTTCAAAGGAAGTCAATGATATCAACATATCATGCCCCGACGAAATTTTCAGAGAAATTTTCAGAGCGGAGTAAAAAAAATGGTATTTTGCAATTTGCAATGAGGACACACAACATTGTGTGGTTTGCCCTGTTCCGTTTACAATTGCTACACTGAGTGACACCACCTGCGATATCACGTACAAGCTGCTACATTGCAACCAATAGTTTACTACAAATCCAGCCTCATGGTAGCCTTGCATGCAGTTGGGCACAACAACTTTTTTAAAAAATTTACAGTCTAAGAAGAAAAAGAAAAAAATAAAAAATGGCGTGTAAATCAGTGCACGAATCGATCGGCTCCGAAAATGAAATTCCAAATGTCCTTTGAGGTATATGAAACACCGAGGGAAAATACTATCTACTTCATAAGTAACTCTAGTAACTGCCTTGTGACTGATTTCTCAGGGGCGCACAAAGCACCGTCACCAACGCTAAGCGTCAATATATCACGTTTTTCTCGTTCTGCATAACCATCGCGCACTTTTTCAGGGTCACTGATCACATTTACCAGCGGCCACCACCGGCACCGCCACCACCGCCGTTGAAGCCACCGCTGGGGCGGGCATTGGCGAGGTTGACGCGGATGCGACGACCATCGAGGCTAGATTAGGGTTAGCAAATTGTGTTTTTGTGGTATTCGGTAGGAGAGAGGAAAGGGGTTGAAAACATACTCCTGCTCGTTAAGAGCGTTGATGGCGGCCTCGGCCTCCTCAGCGGAAGAGAAGGTGACGAAACCGAATCCACGGGAGCGACCAGTCTCACGGTCAACCATGACGATCTAAGAGATGAAAAGATTAGTGTCTTTGCTCGAAGCGAAAATTGGGAATTTTGGAATTTTTCACGTACAGAGTCGACAATGTTGCCGAACTCACCGAAGGCCGCGCGCAGCGACTCGTCGCTGGTGTGCCATGAAAGGTTTCTGGGATTGTCAGTATAAACTGTCACTTAAGCATGAATATTAGATGGTTTTTGACATACCCGACGTAGATCTTAGACATTTTGAAAAGAAAGTGAGAGTCACGAGGTGTTGATGAAGAGAATTAAAAGATGCGGGGCATCTGAGGAGATATAGGGCCTTCGTGGCGGTGAGAGGCAAAATTCATTCGCCCCGCATAAAATGTGAGCACGTATTTTGAAGGAGGCGAACGAGCAAACTCTACCCTGATTGATCACGTTCTTTCACTGTCATTCTCTAGATTCTTCTTATTCTAACCATTCATTCAAATTACTGTTCGCCCATCAAATTCCCCCCACATAGGTCGCTATAAGGAATCTGGTCTTCTTTGACGCAATGGCAGAATTTCTGTAGCGTCAAACGATGGTCTGACAAGTATCTGGAACCCAACAGAACTAAGTCATTGGCTGCTGGATGGACCAACAGACTATTGTGATCTACGGGTTCACATAGAGGGATCATGCATATGAGAGCCACAGCGCTTTAGGGTTCTAGGGCTTAGGTGGTATATGAAGAGGTACAAAAGTGGATATGGTCAAGCCAATCTTGCATACAACTTCCATTTGAAGATACCTGCATACTTCAAAATAGCCTAGTAATTCTAGAGCCTTTATCCATACGTCTATCTAGTTATCTATCCATCTATCTATATCTAAAAAGAGTAAAAACAGAAAAACATACAACAGTGAGGATTCGCTGGTGGTCACCCACCCAACTACTAACTCACCGGCGTGTGGCTTGAGTACGGCTGAGCGGACGGGAAGCCCTATTTTCCACACCCTATGGTCGTATGTACCTGTTCGTATTATGAAGGGCTATATATAGCCAAGTGATAGACGCAGTAGTAGAAATGATAGAGGGGGGTCCCATGAGTTTCTAGGGAATATTCTTTCGGAAATAAACTCAATTTAACAAAACAAAAACATACAACAGTGAGGATTGGCTGGTAGTCACCCACCTAACTAGTACTAACTTGCCGGCGTGTGGCTTATGCTCGATCAATAGTTTGGTGGGTGTCGCCTGGGTGAGCTTTTGATTGGCGTCAACTTGCGCACCCAGGGTGGGTGCGGAATAGCGAGGGTGTGATAAGGTGCGTGTGCGACCACCGATACATAACTCTCCCATTGGTTAATATTGCCAGACAGTACACTTTACAAAACTATGTTGTAACTTGTATGTAGTTATTAGAAATATTGAAGCCTGAAGATGTCAGAATACCTGGATTACTAGGTCAATAACCTTCATTTTCATGCCTTAGAAAATATGCACTAAATGTTGACACTATTCTGTTGTGGAGAGAGTTAGATTCTGCTGGCTAACTTAACTACTGAGGTAACTATTGATTCCTAAGGCCACCACCATAATATAACTATTCGTACTATATACATCCTGGGATTCCCTTATTTCCCGGCGTTGAAGCCTTCCCACTATATTATCGTCCCCTTCTCTTCTCTTCTACTTTAATATCACTAGTTTTAATCTCTTCTTATAGGATTTGGTTGAGTAAATGGAGCTAAGCCTCTTGCTTTTCCTTTGAATTGGCGCGACGACGAATACTAAGCCGGAGCTAGATCCTTTTTATAGTGCGGACACTAATATTAAAGCCTTCGGTCTAAAGAGTAGTTGTAATTTGCCGATCAGAAAGGCTAACTTGGAATATAAGCGTCCTTATTCGTTTATATAGAAATAAAAGAGAGGTCAGAATTAGTACTCCGGAGTCCGTATACAAATTGAAATTAGTGTATATGCGTCAAGAACGGGGTGATGAAATAGGCGGTAAGGCAGTATGGGAGTTATGTATCGGTGATCCATTGGTCGTACAGGGTCTCTAGAGGACGGGGCTTATCTACACGGACCTATCCGTACAGCAGAAATGTTGTGCTGAGGGGATTACCCCCGTCCCGGCTAATTGCGGCCTCATCCCCCATTCTATCTTTCAACTTGTCGCGATCAACTATTTTCCAAGGCTTTCAATACGATAGACCTTCTAAAAGGCACCTCCGGTTGCCCCTCCTCAGGCCATGAACGACCACAATAAGGAGTCCATCAAGCAAGTAGATGAGAACACATGGCTTATTGGTAGCCTGATTCTTCATTCTTCGAGTGGTCGTTCCGATACCTCTTCTTGGTATGACTCGACCGACAATATTTCCTACACCCTCACCAACGCGCCCGCCCCTCCGCCTCCGGCCGTGCCACTGCTTGCAAATACTCCAAAGATTTCGCTCGTGTATCAAGCCGGAAATAGCTCCGCAGTCTGGTCCATAGGCACCAGTGCCTTTTGCAAGGTTAAGTTGCGTGTGGAAGGGGCAACATCTGAGGCTGCTACATTGGCTTTTGTCCAGGAGCAAAAGCCTTACTTTAAGACCCCTACCATCCTACACCAGGCTGAGGATAACAACCGGTCTTACCTCTTCCTCGGCAGAGTGCCTGGACGGACCCTTGCAGATGCTTGGCCCACTCTAGATGAAACTTGGAAACATTACTATGTGGAAGCAGTGGTGAAAGTCTGCGAAACCCTTGAAGGCTGGAAAGGCGATATGCTCGGTGGCGTGGATGGAAAAGGCATACCTGAAGAGTATCTCGTCAAGCTCGGAGCTGTTACGAAAGACTTTCGCCCCGAGAAACTTACGGAAGTTTGTCAACTGATGGGTATGGATTGCTCGAGATTCGTTTTTTACCATGCCGATCTCGGTCCTGGAAATATCGTTGTGGAAGATGTGCCTAGATCTGGCACTATTGGCATCATTGATTGGGAGATTGCTGGGTATTTCCCAAGGGGATGGATACGAACCAAGTTTCGCATAAGCAGTGGACTGGACCTTCCCAATCCGGGTGTCAATGAGTCGTATTGGTGGAGGTCGGAGGTTCAAAAGTTACTGGAGAAGCATGGATTTGAGGACCATGTGGCAGACTGGCAGTCCTGGTGGTATTGATCTTCTATTTAGAATCGATGGAGGTATTGGCTTGATGACCCCCGTCCGGTCTCTTTGTGCAAGACAAAAAAAGAGAAATTGTTGATATAAAATGTATTAAAATGGGGTTTTGGGCACGAAGGCGTGACACTCCCTACAAAGCTGAGTGTAAGGCGCATTGAGTATTGGCCGTGCAGAGCACATACTTGTTAACTCACCTTGATTCACAAAAAAAAAAAACATACAACAGTGAGGATTCGCTGGTGGTCACCCACCCAACTACTAACTCACCGGCGTGTGGCTTATGTGCAGTCAATAGTTCGGTGGGTGTCGCCTAGGTGAGAAATGGGTGAGCGCCGCTTTACGGTCGCGCGACCGGGGGTGAGAAGGGTGAGTGTACTATAGACTGGGTGAGAAGCTGGGTGAGAAGCGGGTGAGAAGCGGGTAAGAATCACAAGATAGCGTGACGCCCGCACTAACCCCCTAAAGTGATATAGAGCGCGATATAATTAGATTATAAGTTGAGCCTAAAACGATTTGACCCTTAGTATCTATATATAGCCCTAAAGGAGATCTATCTTTAGTTCAATTCGTTGATATAGCTTTGTCACCCCGTCGACTCGTTAGTTATAGCCCTTCTGATTTGCCTATACTTATAACAAAACGAATAAGACTTATTAAGTAGGCGAAACACTTATCCTTATAGTCCGAGCTAATCTTTATCGTTATAAGGTCGAGGTTTGATTAGTATACTTCGAACTATTTACTCTCTTCTATAGTATACTTAGTTAAAGTATAATCGCTAACAACTACCTATACCGGAGTAAGAATTTATATAAGGAAAGTTAGGTAGTACTAAGAACTAATTTCTTACTCCTCTTAGAGGTACCTAGTAGCCGAAGTAACTAGGGGATTCCTAAAGCCTAGGCAATACTACCTAAGAATAGCTAACGATTTTACGAGTAACGATTACCTAGTACTAGGTTTAATAATTAATTTTATAATTTATATAAGGAGCTCCTAAACGTTAGCTAGTATATAGGGTAGCTAATAGGAGTCGCCTAGTCTACTCGGTCTCTATAGCGATTAGTTGCCGCGGTAATAGGATATTATTTTATTAGAGAATATAATTACTTCCTTCTTACTATTTATCGTCTATAAGAAACTTTTTAACCTAAATTCTTCTTTCTCTAATAATTATATTATTTCCTCGAACTTAAGTAAGGATAAAATAATAATTAGAACTAGTATAGCGACGAAGATACTTAAGGCGCGCTTTAGGCATTTATCTATCTACGAACGGAATAATAGGAATAGTAAGATTATTTTAGACTATAATACTAAAGTACGTATATTTATATATTATAATATATATATAATTAATATTATCGAGGAGATTACTACCCTAGGTACGTATTTATCGGATATTACTCGACTAGAAGAACGCTTTAAGGCTACTCTATATAAACGAGAATATCCGACCGTCGCTTCCTATATAGCTCTAGAATATAGTAGAGAATCTCTTTCGTAAGCTAAAAGCTACCTCGTCCTTCTTTCGACGTATAATCCTAATAAAAAGGTAAAAATAGGGTATCACTCTAATATTAGTATTAAGTAATAAACTATAATAGCTTCCTAAGTATCTTAAGCTAAAGATAAATAACCGCCTTCCTAGGCTCAATATCCTCTTTCTATTATTATATTATAAATATAAGATCTAGCGTTCGAGATATAAAGAGATAATGTTCCTAATTCCGTACGATATAATACGGTCGTAAAAAATATCGCTTCTAAGGGTTAACTAAAAGGCGGATAAAGCCTTTACCTAGATCGCCCTACTCTATCTACTACCTTATTAGAGATATCTTATATAGTAAGGAAGGTAATAGAATACTCTATTTAGCTTATTAAATAACCTAACCCTAAACCCCTCTATCTAGGTATATTTAAGATTAGTAAACCGCTAGGAAAGAGAAAGTTCGGAAGAATATATCTTATAAAAGAACGAAAGTCTAGTTTTATTTATACGCTAAAGGTATTATATAAAGATAAGATCCGATAAGAAGGGATTAAAAAATAAGTAGCTCGTAAAATCGAGATTTAGAGCAATTTACGCTATCCTAACGTCCTACGACTTTATAGTTACTTTTATAACCGGAAGCGAATAATTTTAATTCTCGAGTATACCGGTAAAGAAGAATTATATAAGTATTTATAGAGAGTAGATTGTTTCTTAGAGTAGAAGGCCGCCTAATATATTATATAAATAGCGAGCGCTTTATAGTACTTATATCGTAAATACGTTATTTACCGAGATATAAAACCTAAGAATATTCTAGTTAGTCTATATAGGGAGCTAAAGATATTAGATTTTAGCTAGAGTGTTTATACCCTAAGTAGGTATAGGCGTACGATATATAGAATATTAGACTACTTATCCCCTAAGATAGTCGACCCGAAGAGATATTTATAGCCTTATAATAAAAAGGTAGATCTATAGGCCCTAGGAGTTTTAATATATAAGTTCCTAGTTAGAAGTATATCTTTTAAGGATATACCGATTATAACGTAGAGGCGAATCGCTAAGAGAGATATAATAATTCCTTCTTTTATTAGCCCTAAAGCTAAAGATCTTATCGAAAAGGTGATTTAATATTTAAAATAATATTAATTAAGTGCTAATAATAACAAAGCTACTTACCCTTAATTCGGATTAGAGAATATCCTTAGAGAAAGTCCGATAATACCTTTAGATTATTAAATACTATAAGAGCGCTATAGAGAAAGGGAATTAATCTTAAGTGATAGTATTATAGGATATAGAAATAATTATTAGTAATTAGCTTCTAGGATAAGCGATTTAATTAAAAGGGCCCTCTCTATCTCGCCTTAATCTAATATAATTAAAATATACGGCTAAGTTCTTAGTATATAAATAGTTCTACTACCGCCTCTAAATAGAATTCCCTAAAGTTTATAATCTTCCCGCTACTACTAGCTATATACTCGCTTAGTTAGGACTATAACCCGCTATTAGCCTCTAAACTTTAGTTCTATAAGTAGAATAATCCGAGATAATAATAATAAATATACTACTTATACTTCTATCGGAATTATTATATATAGTAATTAGCCGAGTAAGTTAAATTCCCTTTTTAACTTATTTTACTACCTTATTATTATTATAGATTATTAGCCGCCGGGACCTAAAGCGGCTTTATAAAGTTTATACGCGTCTCTATAATATTACGATTCTATATCTATATCGGTTACTTATCTTATCTATACCGGAGCTATTATTAAAGGATTTAGTTCCGACTTTAGAGGTAATACTATAGAAATACGTTAAGTATATATAAGAGCTCGGCTTTAGTACTCTAATCTACGACTAAGTCGAATCCCGTTATATATACTATATTAATAATAGGTACTTTATTAGTAACGTTATCTAAAATAGGCTTTCTAAATATCTTTTAGATAATAAAGTTATAGACTATAAAACTTTAGATAGCGAGGATATAGATAAGAGTACGGATAGGATAAGTAAAAAAAACCTTTTTTTTTTTAATAGTAGACACTTAAAAAGTTAGTTAATAATCTAGAGTAGACCTATATTATAGGCTTACTTTCTAATTTAAGTTGCTTATTAAATTCTCTAGGGCTTTTAGAAGACTATTTACGAAGTTTCTAGTTAGTACCTTATTTCCTTTCTACTTTAGGCGATACTTATATAAATCTAGGTAGGAGGTAGGAATATATATTCTAGAGGCTTTTTTTTATAGTAGCAACTCTTTTCTTAAAAACTAAACTCGTATATAATCTATTACCTTTATTATAGATAATAAATATAGTACGAATAAAGACTTATAGTATTTTATAGATCTTATTTAGTTTAGAGAATTACGATCCCTTACTTAGAGGGGTTTAAACCGGTATAATAACTTCGAATCCGTTAAAGAATATATTAATATTTATAGCTATTAAATATAGTTACTAATACTTAACCTATTAACCTAGACTCGTACGGAGAAGATCTAGGCTAATAGATATCGCCGCTAATAGAACCCCTAGGCTATAAGGATTCCTAATAACTTTTTCTCTTAGAAAGTACTTAATATCTATCCTTAAAACTAAAAAGTTATTTTTTCGTCTCTTAAGAATCTTTATCTATCGGTAGTATCTTTTTATTATACTAGTATAGAAATAGCCTATACTTTTAATATCGGACTCTTAAAGAGTCTATAATTACAGAACTACCTAGGGTCTCTTAACTAGTTACAAATAATATTAGATTCCGGAAAGCTAATAAAATTAAAATCCTTCGAACTTGCTCTCGATCTTAATAGCCTAGAAAGATATATATACCTATATATTATAGAGACGATTTATAATTTTATCTAATATATTTCCGACTTAGAGATCTTATTTTTAATACTCCCTAAGCCTATTAATTAGATAGACCTTATAGATATACTATTAAGTTATCGTCTTAAGCGCTTTATTATATACTACCTAGTAGATAAAGATAGTTAGAACCTTATCGATAAAGAAATACTATAGTCTTTCTATTTAGAATATATATTATAAGATAATTAACTAATCTATTTTAGATCTTCTATACTACCTAGAGATTTAGTATATATTAATTGTGAATCTTAGATTTATATAACTACTAACTAAGTATTAGGCTAGTTACTTATAATATATATAGCCTAAGCCGTCCTATAAATTGATATACCTTAGAATAAGCGGGGTAGTCCTTAATAGATTAATAATATCTAGGCAACCTAGCCGGCTTTCTATATCTCTCTATACTTATAAATATAGCGATAGTAAGCTAATCTACTTAACGGAATCTATAGTTAAATTTTAATAGAAACTAAACGGGAACTAGATTTGATATATAAATCCGGGAAAGTTTACGATTTTATATAGTAGGCATTTAGTACTAATAGTCTTCTAAGCCTTTAAGTACTCGCCTAGGGGGACTTCTCCTATAGAGGCCGCTATTTAAAGTTTAA